TGCCCCCCGGAGGCTACGGCCCTGGTTATGTAGTTGCTTGCTACGAGCGTAGATTCTGTGTAAATATATATATATATTTAAAACAGGTTTCTCTCAGGTTAAAAAAGAATGCATTCGGCATAGTGCAATTATTAATTCTGAAAGATTTTTCCATTAAGTACAATTTTTTCGGACAGTACAATTTGTTATTTTGGAAGATTTTTCCACACACTACAATTATTTAGGACTTCAGAGTAGTAGCATCTTTAAATAATTCACGGCACACATTTTTTAAAAATGGCCCACTTTTTTTGATCAAGTGGGCCAAATTGGCCCAACCAGATTTGACCCAGGACGATTCCTGAAAGTAAATTGAAATTTAAAAAAATTCACAACATTTGCAGGGTTTTTTGCTCTATGAGCAATTTTATTGCTTAAAAAATCATGCCAGACTGCTGGTAAAGAGGTTTCATGAGTAATCCTAAGCAACCCTGATCTCTCCTATCACATTCAACTTGTTTAGGATAATATTTATTTTTGTCCACTGGTTTATCGAAAACAACATGAATTTACACAATATCTTTGACTTTAAATAATTTAAGTATATTACTATTGTAAAGAGATTGTGCATATTGTTTGAAAGTTTTAAGTAATGGTAATGGTGGTGCTATTACCTGAAACATTGCGTCAATAACTATATATATATATATATATATATATATATATATATATATATATGCTAGTGTAGGCAATTCCTTAGGGAACCCTATATTAAAAGCTTGTGGGTAATTTGATTGAAAAAAAAAATGTCTTGATAAAGACTTATTTCCTTTAAAGGGGGGGGGGGGGTCCATCTTCTCCTTAGGGGGATCCATTTTCTCCACATAAAGCTAAAGGGTTTGGTATTATTTGTTGAACATTTAATGGTAGTGCTTTTTCCTTTTTTGCCCAATTAAGGCTTCGTTCACATGAAAAATCTATTTTCTATTTGCGGTTTCTTGTGATCATGGCCTGTGCCCTGAATACCCCGTGGCGTAATTACTGGCAGCGCGAGCCAGTTACTTCCAAAGCTGTAATTAATTCTTGGCTGNTTATTTGTTGAACATTTAATGGTAGTGCTTTTTCCTTTTTTGCCCAATTAAGGCTTCGTTCACATGAAAAATCTATTTTCTATTTGCGGTTTCTTGTGATCATGGCCTGTGCCCTGAATACCCCGTGGCGTAATTACTGGCAGCGCGAGCCAGTTACTTCCAAAGCTGTAATTAATTCTTGGCTGCGCTCGGAGTGATCACAAGATACCGCGAATAGAAAATAGATTTTTAGAAAATAGATTTTTCATGTGAACGGAGTCAAAACTGTTTCCATAAAAGGATAATAACTCTTCGTATGAGATCTATATTTCACAATAAATGAAGGGTTTTATATATCTAAATTGTCTAAATTGAGAAAGGTGAAACTTGTTAGCAGTAAGCCTGACCGGACAGGTGACCAGAAGCGTCAGGCCATGCAGCAGTGTAATAATCACATATACTTCATGTGTAAATTTATTAATAGGTATGCTAACTTGTTTTTGTAATGTTATGTAGTTGCTTGCTACGAGCGTAGATTCTATGTAAGTATATATATATATATTTAAAACAGGTTTCTCTCAGGTTAAAAAAGAAAGCATTCGGCATAGTGCAATTATTAATTCTGAAATAAATGAAGGGTTTTATATATCTAAATTGTCTAAATTGAGAAAGATCAATGGCTTAGCAGGATATGTAGACACAGAAAATATGACTTAGACCCCATTTCCATAGATTTTAGATCGATCTATCCCTGTGGGTAGTCTCACTAGATTACTGTCAGCTTAGCCGGCTTAAGCGTCTGTCTCGCCTACTGAAAGCTGTAAGGGGGTAATTAACTAAGGTGCGCGCTCAGCTGACTGCAATTTAGCGTGAACCCCCAGGGAGTTGGGTCGATCTAAATCTTAATCCCTGGATCGATCTAAATCTCTGGGAATACACCCTTAGAGAGGTTTTTGAACTCAAACCATATACATTGAAGACTGTATGATATCTAGTATTCTATGCCTTTTTTGTGGTGAGTTTTTTTTTCATTATGGTAGACAAATGTTGAAAGGCGATTAATTTTGAAAGGCGCCGTGGTCGAGTGGTAAGAGCGCTTGACTATGGTGCAGAAGGTCGCGGGTTTGAATCCCACTGGGGTCCGGACTGGAAAACTTTCTCTGTCCAACCAGCAGTAAATGCCTTTTATGTGGTGAGTTCCCTGGTCCGCTAGGGAAGTTAAGGCATCGAAAGGAGAGGGATGGGCTCCGCCTTTCACATGCTGTGCCCTAGATACAATTAGGTATTATGTCTATATGATAAAAATTCTGAGTTAAGAAGAAGTGTATGCTGATAAAATACTGTGTCAAAAAGTTATCCTTGAATTTTAGTATGTGAAATATATGTAGGCATTGTACATTTATAATGCTTTTACTTTGCTTTTTGAAGTCTTAGTTGCTTTCTATATTTACTTTGGGCTATTGATAGTTTGTGGCGGCGCGGAAGTTTGTGTTGTTTGAGATGTGTAAGTATGAGTTTGATTAAAGTAAGCTGTTCGTATGTTAGTTTTAGGTTTTACCATTGGTTCGCATCATGTTTATATTAACTGTCTTAAGGTTTCCATTTAGACTTTTTAACTTTAACTTAAGTTTACAAGAGCATCGGGAGAATTATCAATTAAGTAAACACCTCTATGACCCCTAACGAAAAAGTCCTATAGGATCCTATAAGATCCTATAGGATCCTATAGGAAATTGGGCCAATNTGCGCTCTAAATTGTCTAAATTGGGAAAGATCAATGGCTTAGCAGGATATGTAGACACAGAAAATATGACTTAGAGAGGTTTTTGAACACAAACCATATACATTGAAGACTTTGATATCTAGTATTCTATACCTTTGATGTGACGAGATTTTTTATTTTGCATTATGGTCGACTAGTGTGGTATTTTAAAGACTTTTGTAGTACTAAGGATCTTTAACTGTTTAAGCCACTATCAAGCGTGATTGTAAATATCATAATGCATTACTTTTTTTTACATCCCTTTATTGTCCTTTTGGTAATTTTTACTGCAGCATATTTCAAAAGCAAATAAGAATACAGACATCATCGATTCAACATTGTTTAAAGTTATCCCAATTAAAATTTAAAGAAAAACATGTTAACTTCTTAAATTGAAAGAATGTTTTCCGAATAATCCCATCACTGTAAATGCACATTGTTTATTAAGGACAAGATTGTGACAATCTGATTATATTATCATCAAAGTCAGAAGAAGTGCACTATAAGCACATATCTGAATATGTGTACATCTCAAATGTCTGAAAAGTGTGCAAATGGCCAAAATTGAAAATTTCATCATTTAACATCCACGCAGATCTGCTCTCATAGAAATGTGACTATACCAGGAAGTTGGATTAATGCGCACATAACGAGCATATATGGGAGGATAAAGCACGTTCTCTTGGATATTCCTAGTGTCCACATTTCCCTTGAAGGTCTGAAAAACATGAAAAGCAGTATACTAGCAATAGTACAATACTGAGTATAAGAAATATGAGTTTAAACTGTTTTGTCAAAATAACAATTGAAGTCTGATGTCATAGGGACATTCGTGTCGTCTATATTAATTACAAATAGGCTCTGAGAAAGTGTGACATAGTTTAGGTTGTTAATTAAGTAATTTCATATATATATATATATATATATATATATATATATATAGTTTCTGTATGGGTGTTTCACAGTAGTGCTATACCTTAATACGTCCATTTGCATCCCTGTATGCTTTCATCCACAGTTTGTTGTTATAACTATAGTGCACCTCATATTCTCTGACATATTGGTTGTGATCAAATTCTCTGCCCTTGGTCAGTATTGCTGTCACTTTCCTCACTGTCCCAAGGTCAAACTGTAGCCACTGACATTGGTCATTTTTGTCAGCACACCAGGCTCCAACCTTTCTGTAATTATTATTTATTCTTGACATGGCTGGGCTGTATTGTCCATTCTTCCTCCAATAAGTAGAAGCTGTAATCATGTTATCAGAAATCGGGTGCTTCCCAGATACCAGTAGGTCCATACAGTTTTCTGGAGGGACCAAGGAATTCAGGCGGTTGGTTAGGACTTTCACTTCATCCTTTAAACTTCTTGACTGAACAGCAACATAGAGTACCAAAATGATCAGCACCTTAGCTTGTCTCATACCCATCTTGGCATTAATTAGGGACCTGTCTGAGTGACTGGTATGAGGTAATACAGCTCTATTTATTTACAAATTGGCACGGAACAAAGACAGAAACTGAGACGCTGATGGCTATCTGTTCATTTCCTTGAAATAAACAAGAAATGAATTTATGTGTTGTGTCAAGTTATAATGAAAATGGGCTTGATTATATTTCGTCTATGATGTACAGTTGAAGAATCACATTGCTCTGCAATCCAGAGACAAAATGGCTTTATGGAAAGAGATGAAAGGCAATGAATTATTAAATAAAATTTGTTTGGAAAGAGGGTATTTATTTAGACTCCTCTGGCCTTGGAAGTTACTCATTCTTTTTTTGTACCCTTCTGTAGTGTGTTCTTTTCTTGTCTTCTTTGGCTGCGTTCACATGATAAATCTATTTTCTAAAAATCTTAAAATCTATTTGCGGTATCTTGTGATCACGGTCTGTGCCCTGAATACCCAGCAGTGTAATTACTGAATTAATTACGAGAATTAATTACAGCTTTGGAAGTAACTGGCTTGCGCTGCCCGTAGTTACGCTGTGGGGTATTCAGGGCACAGACTGTGATCACAAGATACCGCAGATAGATTTAAAGAAAATAGATTTTTCATGTGAACGCAGCCTTATTCTTTAATGCTATGATACTGCAACTCCTGTCTTTAGTTGGTGAGGCTTTTTTTCTTTTTTCTTTTTCTTTTCTTTTTTTTTTTGCATTGTTTTCTTTTCTCACAAAATGACATTTTAAAGGTCTGACTCTGAATTCCCAAGCTCTGTCCTAGTTGCAATTTCTGAATGTCAGTAGTAATAGTAGTACTTAATCAAAATTTAGTAATAATTATGCGTAATTTTGTAACAAAGTTGACAAAAAGTATTTTATTTTTTCATCATTAATATGGTTATTCATCAGTTTGTGACTTCTTTAATGCCTATCAGTTTTTTACAGTAATGTCTGTCAAAATGTCAGCTTTTCTGCCCTTTATTTTGATATATCATTATTTTTCAATATAATATTTTTAATTAACACTGTTAAAAAAACATCAACAATATAAGGTGAATACTTTTAATTTTACTCCATAATAATGTGCCATGATACAGTATCCTTGACATATGATTTTTTCATTTGCCAAGTCTCTTGTTTTGTTACATTATAATATGCATACAAACCTACTTTCTACCAGAGGCCAGAAGGGGACATCATAAATGAAGAGAAATTGTCTCATTGAAAAAATATTCACTCTGTGATCCTGGTAGAATATAATACAAACTTACTGTGTAATGGAATTTAATTGTTTTTCTTGCTTTTATTCTGGTTTTTAGGAGGTGTGTTTTATGAAATGTATGGAGGGTCAGCATGGAAGATGTAGTAGAACAACTGTTTGAAGAAGTGAAACGAGGTTACCAGATTCATCAACATTGTATGTACCAGGGCTTGGGTGTATAGCAATTCAATTATTGCTTGTAAAATTTGCTATTAACCATTAATATTTTTTAATAAATAAATTTAGTAATGTGAATTTATAGAAATTACATTGGATTTGGTAAAATGAGCAAAATTGATGTGAAAATAGACAAACATCCAGTGATAATGGATATTATTTATAATGGATATTATTTATACTTATGTTACGTATTTTAAAATGAATTATTGTCTAACACAGCACTGAAGCCTCCAAGTAATGACTTTTGTGTGGGTTTTGGTATCTGATTTAGAAATACGGACCTCTCAGATGTCTTCCTAGGAATTTTGTTGGAATACAAAACTCACAAATTGGAAGACTAGATCAAAATGTTAGATTGCCACTCTGAATCCTATATACGTTTATCCAATTTCCTCCTACAGTGTAGATGTAATGTGATAAAACAGTTGTTCTTGAGTTAGAGATGAATTAGTCGCACACCTTGTTTCAATCCACCATCCATGGACCCCAATCATTGAAATTGATGAAACATTGGGACCATTCCCACAGATATTTGGATCGATCGTTCTCCCTAGGGAGTCTCACTAAATTGCTATCAACCTTACCGGCTTAAATGTCTGTCTAGTAAAGCTGTTGGGGGTAATTGTCTTTACCCCCTAGCTGATTAGGTAAGCGTGATAGACATTTAAGCCAGTTAAGTTGACAGTATTTAGTGAGACTCCCCAGGGAGATAGATCGATCCAGATGGATCAGTGCTTGGGTGTATAGCAATTCAATTATTGCTTGTAAAATTTGATATTAACCATTAATATTTTTTAATAATTAAATTTAGTAATGTGAATTTATAGAAATTACATTGGATTTCGTAAAATGAGCAAAATTGATGTGAAAATAGACAAACATCCAGTGATAATGGATATTATTTATAATGGATATTATTTATAATGGATATTATTTATACTTATGTTACTTATCCAGATGGATTGATCTAGGGATGGGAACACAGTCTAAGAGACAATTGTCATTCAATCTCTCAGTCAAGAAGAACCTTGCTTTTTTGAAACCATGAAAAATCTTTTTCATAGATGTAATTTGTTTTCTACATTTTTTAAAGTTCCATAATGCTTTAATAACGCCTGACTTATGTAGTGTTATCTTTTTTTTTCAGTGACAGATGACATACTGTCAGCGTAAGTTTTTGTAATTTCCCTAGGAAAATGGAATTTCAGTTCTTTTGTCATGAAATTTAAAGAATCAGTTCAATGTGGTATGCAGAATTTAATCAATATATAATCACTTATGAAGATCATTAGTATATTTTTACTGGTTACAATGTAAGCTTTTTTTTACTCCGTGTAAACCTTGCTAGTTTTATACATTCATGAAGCCACTTTTAATCCATTTCTTATTTCATTCATTGCTGCACACATTTACAACTGCATTTGTGTGTTTTGCTTTTTATGGTGTTTTATGTTTCCCATGTCAAGTGGACTGAAGGATCCACAGTTTTATTCTCACTGATGGATGCTTCTTCCCTGCATTGCATTAGTGCATTTATTTGTAGCTGCTTCTCTGACAGACTTTGGTATACCTTGAATGGTTCAGAAAAAAAAGATGATCACCTAATAATGAAATCATTTTAAAATGTCCTCTGGGTGTAAGTGACTTCACCCTGGTCACTTTCTCCTGAAATCAGAATCACTAAATCTCGGCATCTTATGAAATAAATTGGAATATCCGTGGGTAATATATGTGGAAGACTGGAAACTCACCAGTGCCATGATTTCTCCTCTTATAGTAATAAAGCTGTTTATTAAACACACATAGCTAATAAAACTGTTTAACATCCTCTTATCATGATAGATATTGATTCCTCTCTTCCAAATGTTTTGAGAAAAAAGGGATCACCCATCTTGCCTAGGTGTCAGTGAATCCCGTTTCTTTTTCTTTTTCTTTTTTGTTAATTTAATGCTTTTACATATGCCATCCTTGATGTTTTGTTACAAAACCATTTCCAGGCTGAATTTTGTATTCCAAGCACCATTGTTGCCATCGTTGGACCTCATTGACCATGGCAAGATCACACACCTTGTCAGCCCCAGCGGGCGGTCAGTGTACCAGGTGACTGGCACCACAGGTGTTCCTTACTGCTGTCTGGCATCCAGCGACTACTGCAGTTGTCCAGCTTACACTTTCTCAGGTAAATTATTGCAGTATTAAGTGGATTGTTTTATACCCATGTATGCATATCTGTACCTATTGTTATTTTAGTAATGCTTTCAATACATGGTAGTGGGAAAGATGAATTCAGTGGCGGATTTAGGGGGTGTCAGGGGGGTCCTGACCCCCCCTTTGATTTCTGAAAAAAAAAAATCACACCAATGGTCCCCTCTTGAAATAAGAATTTTGACTAGCTGAATTATAGTTCTAAACTGTACCAAATGGCACCATTCGCCCTCTAAAATACCAACATTTTTTGGGGGCCTTCATCGGGCCCCAAACCCCACGCTAAGGGGGTGGGGTTGGAGGTTGAGGGGGGGGAGTGTCAGCTTCACATTTGCTGCCTGTCGTTCTTACAAACCAGACTCCCCCCCCCCCCATAATTGTCTTCTTTACTGGAATATATTTGAAAATATTGCTTTCTATTCATATTTTGGGCTCATTCAAACATTTTACGATTTCAGTTTTAAAAAGAGGAGATACTATAATGGTAAGTAATGATAGTTATTTGGGAATTTTGGTCACTATATTGTTTGAACAATATTAAAATATACAGTAAGTGGAAAACAAGTAAATGATTTTAAAGACATTTAAACAGTCATTCTCATGTTCATAACCACGTGAAGTAACATGGTCACAGTCTGTTTTGCTGTTACAGTGCAAGCATGTGCTAGCCATCCATCTCAGTGAAGCCATGGGTCTGTGCAAGAAACAGGAGGTTTCAAATAAAGAGCTGGCTCTACTTCTCCGACAAATGGACTAAGAGTTTGAGCAGATCTAATATCTCTGCAGGCTTTTGACATCTTATGACTTCAGGGTCTGCTAGCGGACAAGTATTTGATGTACTTATTCATTTTGGTTTTTCAACTATAGATAGGTCCAGTTTTGTCCATCATGACATGAAGATGTGTTGGTTTTAATATTTCATAATGTGAAGGACCTAGTTAAACTGAAAATCACTTGCATGGTTTTCATCACTTCTTGAAACCAAGTATGATCAAGTAGATTCTCGTTGAGTAACAAGTAAGGTTTTGAAAAATGAAATTTGTGCTAAGCAAGTTGTTCGACACACTAAGACCGCATTCTCAACGAATTGAGCCAGGCTTTACAAATCCTGAGAACTAAAAATGGCAGACGTACATGAAAGAAAAACCGCCTAATCTTTTAATAGTCTCTCCGCCTCTCACACGCCTCCCCACACGTCGTCCCTGCGGGGTACAGTAATTAAACCTCGGCTCCGTTCGCCATGCGGAAGCTACCTGAGAAATATTAAGTGCGCATGCTCATCAGTTAAACTCGTGGTGAAGAAAGCATGGCGGCTGAAGGCGATCGAAGGAAAAAAGCTCTTCTGTTCTATTATCTTTCAAAACAGAGACGAAAAAGGAATGAATTGGCCCGTAGAGCAGCAATGAATCGACTATCTACGGAGATAATATCACCAGAGATATTCACAGAGATATTCATGTTCGGAGCCGAGATTTAATTACTGTACCCCGCAGGGACGACGTGTGGGGAGGCGAGTGAGAGGCAGAGAGACTATTAAAAGATTAGGCAGTTTTTCTTTCATGCACGTCCACCATTTTTAGTCCTCAGGATTTGTAAAGCCTGGCTCAATTCGTTGAGAATGCGGCCTAAGAAAATACTACATTAACAATAGAGACTGTAATTTAAGCAAAGTAGCGACAAGCATGTTCAAAAAGGCTCAGTATGCTATTGAAAAGAACCTTACAGTAAACCATTTCCCATTTGGTCTGTGTCCCATGGCCCATGTTTAGTAAATTTTCATGTGTAAGATTGCATTGCAAAAATTCAAACTGTTGCTCTAATTTTGGTCTTGTTCCACTTCTTTTTATACTTTGACTGACATTGTATTCTGAGGTGCTGAATTTTTGTATGATGATATATATTGTGAGCCATATCAGAGATTGATATATTTGTTTTTTAATCCCATGAAAGAGTAAAGGAACTGAAATAAATGGAAGAAAAAATGTCCTTATTTTCAATAATTTTAATTGTACGTCAAAAGGCAGATAAAACCTCTAACAAGAAACCATGACCAGCAATATAAGCTGCACATTTACAAAGAATTTGACAGCAAGAAGAATTATACATGTAAAGAAAAAAGACCATGCTAGCATTAAAACATAAAACTGAGACACTTTTTTCAGTGATTAAAATTCTGTGTGGCAGGTATGGGTATACCTAAAGGTAGAAAACTGTGATATCAGCTATTTACATGAAATGTCAGAACTTAATGATGAGCACAAAATATAATGTTATGTGATTATAAATAAAATAATGAGATATAGCATATTGTGACAAGAACAAATAAGACGATAAAAATTTCTTGATCAATTAAAAATAAATTAATAGAAATATAGTGCCAATTCAACAAGAACTTACAACAACAAAATTGAGAACAAATTTAAAAGTGTTGTAATTTTAGCTATCAGATGTACATTGACTATAACGTGCTGGTACATGTAAATTTGAGCAGTGCATTTGTGCAGGAGGGGATTTCTTGTGATACTACCCTTGTTTGTTCTCCACAGATTGTCTTGTATTACAACATTGATATGTACAAATACCGGTGGAAAGCTGCTGGCAGCTTACAATGTTACACAGGCTTAAGCCCAAAGAGACAGGTTGTTCTACAATATACCTACCATATATATATATATATATATAATTCTTGGGACAATTCTTCATTTTAAATTAATGTTACAAATATGCACACATGCTGAATGGTAACATAAAATTATCCACTGTAAAAAATCATAAATATACACATAAGCTAACAAACAGGTTATTTATGCTTTACAAAATATTATAATGGCTCTTATATGCAAAGTAATGTGACAAATTTTTGAAATAATAAATAATGCCCTCCAAGTAAAGATACACTAAGGCTCTGTTCTCACAACTTTTAGATCGATCTATCACCGCGGGGAGTCTCACCAGATTACTGTCAGATAATCCCCCTTAAGTGTCCGTCCCCGCCTACTACAAGCTTTAAGGGGTAATTAACTTTCGTGTCCGCCCGGCTGACAGCTATTTAGCGTGAACCCCCAGGGAGTTAGGTCGATCCAATGTAGGTCGATCTAATCTATGAGAATGGGGTGTAAGTCCCTGTGAAAAGTGAATTAAAGTAAAAGTAACACTGTCACCTTCACAAATGACCCACAATGCATATACAACAATACATGTACAAAACTGGAACCACAGATTAAAAAAAGCACAAAGAATATCCTGCCAATATTATTCCAGAACTAGCAGCATAAAAATATTTTAATTATGGTAATATATATCAATAAAATAATTTTCTTTAATGACATAGGTTCATGTTCTTAAGGGTTTTGGTTTGGTTACAAATGTGAGTAGAGTTTCAACATGCTTCTCACCTTTCATGTTATATATCTCTGGGTCAAGAGTATGGTTGGCATAGATTTTGCTGTGATTTGCTTTTTCAAAGGATAACTTATGAAGGTGAAGGTCTGCCTCACATCTTAAAATCACTTGTTACATATTTAAGCCTACTCTTTCTACAGCTGACTACAGAAACCAAAAATGTACACAAAACTCCTCTTGTTACCCTTCACAACAATACAAACATTGGTGCAGTGATATCTTGCCTTGTCACTGTAGTACTTTTGTTTTACATCTATATACACTGTAACAATTATTGTATTTTAGGTAGTAAAGTACATGCATCTATTTATATTAATGGTTAGCAACACGTGGAAAAAAAGCCTATCATAATATGTTTAAAGCATAGCTTTTGATTACCTTACAATGTACCAGTTATGAGTAGTTCAAACATGGAAATTACATCATTTATAATAACTTAAAAAACTTCTTAAAAATGATCAAAAAAGTTTTTTTTAAATGATTAAAAAAATAAATAATAATTGTTATTTTCCACTGCTTAAGCCCACTCATCAAATATTCACTGATTATATCACATGTAATTCACTTATGAATATTAGTTTGAATTATGTTGTGTAAGTGTTCCAGATCTCTCCATCCCCCACAGTAAGTACCTTCAAGTTCGTGACAAAAAAATTAACAATGATCTTTGTGTATTACTAAAATCTACATTTCCTCTTCACTAAACACGTCAGAGTGCAGTCCCAGTGAAGCTTCGACCCCCGCTGTTCAGCCATGAAACTCAAAATGTTTGTATATGCTGGCCACGTACGCCATCACCTGCATCCAGTCTGGACGCTCTGTGGCTGCCATCTCGCTGATACTCTGGAGAGAGAAAATGGCGGCTTAGGAGAATAAACGCCGTACCCTAACATTTTTACTAACCATGATGTTTTTTAGAAAGCAAAAAAATTACACTAACAGCATTACTTTACCAAAGCCTTCTCCAACTATATTTTAAATATAAAATGTATCACATAAAAAAATACACACACACACAGGTCTCTACAAAAACATGGAGTCTCTGTTGTCCACAAACTTACCAGAGTCGATGGAATTCCAACCTTCTCTGCAGCTTTGAAAGCTAATGTGAAATTTCTCCTCTGTAAAATAAAGAATTACATAACATAATTTGGTGAACTGCTACACAACAGCAGACTCAAAAATGTGAGCTTTATCCACAAATTAAAACCAACTCGTAACAAATATAGCTGAAAAGTGAGAGATGGTCCATAATAAATGATAACAATTTTATTTCAAGAGCAATTTGTTTATTATCGGGTACTGTGATTAAAATATTTATCAAAACATGATTGATTCTTCTGTTCTGTACCTTATCATGGCTGTTGAGTTCATTGTATGGTATTTTATCTGGCATGTAGGAATGGAGGAGAGCACAGAAAGCCAGCCCATCATTCCAGCTACTGCTGAAGTTGGTGATGTCAATACCCTGGAACAACAGCAAATTTTAGATACTAAACTTGTTTAATATAAAATATATTTAATTAGCATTAAGTTTTTTTTCTTTTCTTTTTATTTAAATAAGACTTTTTTTGTAAAGTAACTGCACCCATACTTACCCTATGTGCCAAAGTTTTTTGTTGGCACCATTTGAGGAGGGCATTCCTCTTGGAGCCGCCCATCTGTTTGGCCAGTGCAGCCAGGGGGTCACGCACCTCGGGACTCCTGAAAGAAAACAGACAAAAAAAGGTTCAATGACCAGTCAGACAGCACACTCTAGGGTACAAACAGGTGAAACAATTCATGTCTGTCATTTTTTTTGTGGGCCACTGTCATTATAGTACAGCAGCCAGGGGGGGTTGGGTGGGGGGGGGGGTGTATAGGGGGTTCCAACGAACTGCAGTTTTGGAAGGAAAGGGTACGCTCTGGGTAAAATTTGATCTAGGTTATGAAGGTTTCATGGTCCCCACCCTACTTTTTAAAATTGTTAGTTATGGGCCAACATTATTAGATGTATTTTCTGTTTAAGCCTAGTATGATATACTTAGGTACATGTATAAAATTTGCATTTCTAGTCCCCCTTTTTTTTTTGTTAAAGTGACTGTGAATACCACAGTAGTCCAAATATGTGAAGTCCACATGTGAAGATCCTGTGCATGAACACATCATTGTCTGCATTGGGAGAGTAAGCGTACATTATTTAAAGCAATATATTCACAAACACACACAGGAACAAATTCTTGTTTTTTTCTCCCCCAAATTTCTCTCTGCATTATGTTCATCATAACATTCACATGGGTGCAGGCACTGGAGCTGTGCCATGGTGTGCACAGCAGTGTGGCTGAAGGGTTAGAGACTGACAAATTGCAGAGGTCAACAACTTCACCACAAGATGTCAGTAATCTTCAAGAGCCATCCATTCCTTTCACACTCCAGCTCCAAGCATATCCTCAGCCTTGACTGGAGTTACAGGAAGGAAGTGCTGGGAAATGACCATGCACTGCCAGTGAGTTGAGGGTCATATTTTTTTTATTCAAGAAAACACTGGCATGGTGAGAAGTTAACTCTTTTCCCAGTATGATTTCAATATAGTTAATTGACTAAAGGAGATGGCAAGTAGCAATGCCATTTTTTATCTTAAATTTGTTATAAATGAGGAGTTGTAAGTTTCAACCAAATGCAGAGGCACCAGACTAGACCCTCACTTCTACTATTTTGCCCTCCACTATGAAAAAAAAAAAAATGCCCCTTTCTGCCATTCACAGGAAAAAAATTATCAATGACAGCATGTTGCTGATCATGGGAGATTTACTCTTCTTCCTATTTAAGCATTGTTGCTGAGCACAAGCATGGAATGTCAATTAAGGACCGCGTTGTTGTTCAGGTGGACATATTGGTTCACTGTGTCGCTGAAGGTCTCCAAGGGTCGTGGGGTGCACCGATGCCCAAAGAGGAAATTGCCGTCTACCAAAGTTTCATGCCAAAACTCAGTCTGTGAGAAAGTTTCTATTCAAAAATACTGAATGGAACTTATAAGCCTCACTTGATACTTCAGTGCACAATTTTCATAACATTTTCATGTACATCACTCATCTTCATGGGGCGCCTGTATTTAAGTGGAGGTATGTTTTCTGTTTGGATGGAATCAAAATAAAAAAAGGGCAGCATCTTCAGTTCTCAAGCCACTTCTCACAATTCTATCATACCTTTAGGGACACAGCTTACAATGTTCAAAGGGACAAGAGGGATTTGCCTTTATACGCATTCTCTGCAGCGTGTGAATGAAATAAGGATTATTTTGTGAAATAGTCATAACTTGGTATATAAATGGACTTGAAGTGCTAGCATAAGCCAGAATAAATGAACATTTCTCAGGCCTTCCAACAGCATTTACCAGCCCCCTCCAGTCACAAGTATGATATTAATGTTGTTTAATTAATATAAAGCAATACTTGCTTTACACAAACTGTTTGCAATCTAACTGGTAGAACTTCTTTCTTTATATAATGGAGTAACAGATATATGAAATTTCATGCAGTATCCATTATCCATATAAGACCAAACTGTACAATAACTTTTTTTCCAATCATATAGTGATATTTCAATATTAAGGAATATTTGATTGCTTTTGTGATTATTTTCCAAATTACAAAAGTTGACGCCAAGTTGACAGTTCATACAATGAATTTATTCTGTTCCTTTGAGTGCCAAAATACAAAGCTATGTAGCCAATCTAACTGTCATTTCTGTTTACTAGCACTACAGGCAAAAAAAGCCAATTTGGACGAAAAAAAAAAAAAAACCTTTAAAAAACACGTAAATGATTAATCCCCTGACTGCTGTGCTACCCCCTGGAGACCGTTAATGTAGCAGTCCACGTGCAACATGAATTAGACTTATTTGAAATGAGTGTTACTTATAGCTACCAGCTGCAGTAAACAGATTGTACCAGTTTAATGGTCCGTTTGCCTTACTTTTAAACTACCTTGGGTCAATCTTGGAAACCCAAATGCTATATCTATAGCATCTGTAGGCAAGATATTATGAGGACACATTCCAAATGTTGAATTTTCTTTAGAATATCTCAACACAATAAAACTGATTGTTATCAAATAAGATCTTGATGAGAATAATGAGAAACAAGACTGATAAAAGGGGTAAAATTTTAAATACCAATAAAACTTGAAAGGAAAAAAGGAAACATTGTTATATTTAACTTGGTAGAGAAAAAAAAATTCATCAGGTAATAAGATACTCACCCAGCTATACTGTTTTTTCTTGGTGTTGTTGTCAATATGGAGGTTATCGCTGGACTTCTCTTTGGTGTTTCTCCCTCACTCCTGGCTGTAGGAGCAGCCAGAGAGGGCGAAGATTTGGCATCGTCAGTTTGCTGTTGTGAGCTCTCATAGATCAGCGAGGTCACGGAATGTCTTTGGAGGCGCACATCTTTGGCGGAATCAGGAGTCTTTTTAAATACAGTTTTATGTGAAAAAGGAGTGTCCACAGCTACACTTGCTCTTCGCAAGTCACCTGTTGGAGACTTGATTGTCTCTGATTTAGGACTTGTTGCCCCCATGTTGGCAGGGCTACAGGGACCCAGACTGTCCATAGAGCCCCTCCTGGAGCTGTTCTGACTAGATGACTTGGAAGATGTCTTCACTTGATCTTCAATAGATCGGATTAAATTTTTCACAGATTGCGACTGGTTTCCACCTCTTGCGTCACTTGGCTTTCGTCCTTGACGCAAAAGAATCAGCTCACGATCAGCAGAACTCAGGATGCGTGTTTTCAGCTCATTGGAAGAAATCACACCTGGAGATCTGTTTTCTATTGTTCTTTGGGTTTTTAGTCTGTCGGCTTCCTCACGATATCTCTCAAAATCATTCTGCAGCTTTTTTATCTACAAAACAAAGACATATGATTCTTCTGTTACACACACGTTTTAGCAGTACATAACAGCTTGATAGAACCCACACAGAAATCATGTCATCATTTTCAATTTTAAAATAAATACTGTAACTAAAGAGCTAATGAGTAAAATTTTCAAGATATTGAAATATTTCCAATGTAATAATAATTAAGGCCATATTGACTTTATTTGATGCTGAGTCTTCATTATGATAGATCAATGATAAAAAGTCATTTTCAGTGTCTTCTTCCCTCTTTGATGATTTAAGTTTGGTGAAAATCCAAACACTCTATATCTTGAAACCATACCCTGGCCTAGCATGCCACCCTACCTGATCCCTGAGAACATCATTCTCAGTCCTCATCTTCTCTCCATCTTCCTGCGCCTCTGTCTTGATATCGTTGGCAATGACCACTGCTGTCTGGAGGTCCTGCTGGAACTGCTTCCAGTCTTCTATCTCCTGCTCGTGTTGGTGCTGCATCTCCTCGATCTCCTTCTGGAGCTCCACGCAGCGTAGGCGCGACTCACGCAAGTCCTGCTGCAGGTCACTCAGCGTGGCGTTGTAGGATTTCTTGGACTCCAGGTAGCGGTCGCAGTCCTGAGAGAGCTGGTCAATGTGGTCGCGCAGGGTGTCAGCCTCCTGGCGCAGCTCCATCTTCTCGGTGGTCACCTTCTGGATCTGTGTCTCCAGCTCATCCACGCGCTTTGTCTGGTTTGCTTTCACCACTTTGTACTCCTCCTCCAAAGTGGTCAGAGTCTCCTTCAGTTTGCTGACCTATGGAGAAAAATGGAAATTAGAACAATGTTAAGTTATCTCTTAAATAACTAGAAAAGCTGCATAAGCAAGACTGGTATAAATAGCTATTATCTGTAACTGCACGGGATGACTGTGCAACTGATATTTAGAGAAAAGAGCATCCAATATATAATAACAATAATAATATAAAAAAATGTAAAAACTGTACAAAAAATACTGTAACATGATTATCTGCTTACATAAAGCTGTTTACTCTATGGGTTGAAAGACTCCAAGCTGTTACACTGACATTTACTTTAATATCAAATACCACCTAAACAAACAATTACAAGAAGTGAAATGCACTTGACAAAAGGAAGAAAGGTTGAAACAGCAATCTTCCCTCCCCACGATTGCACTGTGCATGCTGGGATTGGGGCCCTTTTCACATTGAATGGTATACTGAACTGGACCAGTCCACTTTGAGAGGCTCTAACAAGTAATTTCCTTACAGGGGATTTAACTCTCTTTTACAACTTCAAAAGTTTGCTTCCTGCTAGAGTGTTAAGTTAATGGTTTGGCCATGTTGAGTAATATTAGGCAACTCTTAAATAATCACCAGTTGTCAATGTGTGATCCGAGATGTACCTTACAGGTAGCAAGGGACTCCAATGACATTTATTATCATGTCTTTTCAAAACTAAATGAAAATAAGAAAAGCCTCACATTATTGAAGCACTAGAGACATTCCTTTTGAATATACATGAACACAAGCATTCATATACAGGTAAGTTTCAGGAATAATAATTTAGCCACTTAAAAAAAAATCCCTTTCCCTTAGACAAAGAAAAAATATAACAAAACAGACATTTATTTCATACCTTGGTATTTTCTACCCAATCATTCATACATGGCATTCTGTGAGGATAAACAACCCAGCAGGTGATTGCAGTTATCTACATAAAAAAGCACTGCAATTCTCAGCTTGCAGCACATTGGGTTGTAAACACACCTTTAGATGAACGTGCACAGGTAAAAGGAGAAGTGGTGGACTTCAGGTGTGTATATTTAGTTTGGTTTATAAAGCACATATTGCTTTCCCTGTGATTCACTTACGATAGGGTCAACTGAAACCAGAGGTAAGCTGAAACTGGGGTATACAAGTGCAGTCACTGTTGCCATTCCAAATTTGCCATGATCTGAGTCAGTGGTATACATGTATATCCACACTCACTCAGTACACAGTGATTAATGTGGCTGGTATGGGGGGTAGTGCCTTTAGCAGCAACTAGCAAGCTCATCTCATATATCAGTAAACATACTGGTGAATTCTAAACTTGCCTTTTTTTCTTTCACGATATTAATTCATAAAGGGTTGTTTCTGTAATAACCATGCCTCTCTCTATCTCTCTTGCCCTCCCTCCCTCTCTCTGCCTGTCTCTCCACCCCTTCCTCCTCCTCCCCTCTCTCTCCCTCCCTCCTCTCTCTCTCCACCAGTTAAGTACATACCTCACACTGACTGTGTGCCAATGTGTCCTGCACCTCAGCTAGTTCAGTCTCAGCTTTATCCTTTTCCTGTCTCAGTTTCTGCAGAAGGGTCTCCAGCTCAGACTTGTCTTCTACATTCCTGCTGCTTTCCAAGTCCACTAACTTAGCTTTCTCATGCTCTACCAGGGCCTTGAGGCGATTGATTTCAAGCTGATCGTTCTCAATCCTTTCTTTCTGCTCCAGGACCTGTTTCTCAATCTCCTGCTTATCTGCCTGGAGGCTCTCTATTTTGTCCTCAGATATGTGAATTTTGTCGCGTAGCGCTTTAATGATGTCTTCCATTTCCCTGTTCTCTCCTTCCACTGCGTGGAAACTGTTAATTAGCTCCGTCTGTTTGAGCATCATTTCCTCGCGCTCCTCCTGCGCACCCTTGAGGAGCGAGACCAACTGTACCTCACGCTCAGAACGATCACCATTATCGATATCAGTCAACAGCAGTGCTTTCAAATGTTCAATCTGAATGCGACAGTTCTCTAACTTTTCAGTTTGGGTGCACAGAGACTCCAGCAGCACCGCTTTCTCGTCTGCCAGCCGTTCATTCTCCATGGACAGTTCGTTGACAGCCTCCTGCATGTCTCCAAACTCCTGCAGCGTGGCCTGCAGTTCCTCATTGGTGCTGTAATGGGACTCCTCCATCTGGAGAATCCTGTCTTGAAGACAAGCCACGGAGAGCTCACTCAAGACATCGCTGCTCTTATTACTCTTGGTCTCCCAGTTAGCATTCTCAGCTATGGAGAAGCAGGAGCCGTGGTCTGGAGTAACACAGGAAAGCTCACCCACAGACAGCCCCGTGTCTGATTCACCTGCACAGGAACCAGCAATGTTATCTATGCTGCCTGTGCAGCACACGGCACTGTTGCCTAACTGAGGCTTGTCTTCTGAGGCACTGCTACCTGCAGGGCCCTCCTCATGCCCAGCTGAGCTAGACTCAGTTCTATTTGTGGCACTGGTAGCAGGAGTTGAGCCCACAGTCAGGTGTTTCTGGACGTGATGGGATTTCTTCAGCATGGACAGTTTCTCGGTGTCCGTGATCTGTTCCACAGATATTCCAAGCTCTTGCAATCTGTCTTTGAGAAGTCTGTTCTCATTGCGTAATAAATCAAGTTCCTCTTTAACCTCTTGTGAGGGAAGCTTTTCCTTCAGTCTTCTTGTTTCTATTTTGTATTTTTCAATTTCTGCTTTTCTAGTTTCTGTAATCTGGATAAGCTCTGAAATTCTACTTTCCAATATGCGTTTCTCTTTCTCAAAGTTTGCTAAGAGTTCTGCATTATAAGCCAGCACATTTGCTGGGGCAGAGACACGGTTATTTCTCCCCATTCTTTCTTTGCTTAAAGTCTGGGAGCTTGCTGCCCGTTTAATAACAACAGGAGTCTTGTCAATATTCTGAATGCTAGAACTTTTCTTCATCAGTCCTCCATTTTTGGCCTCCATGTTTTTAGTTGGTGTCGACAAACCAGTGCGTTCTATACTTTGTGTACTAACTGCTTTACGCAAAGATGTTGTACTACCACTTGTAGGACGTGATTTTTGTATACGTGTCGTAGGAGCAGGACTTTTATTTGTATCCTTGTTCATATAGAATCTTTTGCTATAGTCCTCTGGCTTTGGTATCCCTAGCGTAGATTGGGGTCGTGGTTTTGGTGCTGTATTAGCACGTCGTCGTAAAGTAAATGCAAGATTGTCATGACTCTTACTAAGATAGTTCTTGCTCATAGGCGGCTTGTCTGGTTTCTTGAAGACAGCTGTGGCTGCAAGGTCAGATTTGGATTTTTCAAAAGGCAACTTGCTCGATGACGGTGATTTGCCCTGAACAGGGATTTTGGTGGAGCCTTGTTGTGTCTTCTTCATTGCAGGCCTGGGGACAGGGAGCACACTTGCTTTCTGGCTGTAAAGAGGCTGAAATTATGATTTGAAAATGGTCAGTTTAATTTCATCTTATAGAATAAAATGTAAGAAGATGTAATACATTATAAAATTTATAAAACAATGCTTAACTCAGTTATCAAACATTTTGATTGTTAAACATCAACATATAACCTGCCTAAACTCTGCATAATTGTCATATAACATCAAAAACCACTAAGGACCTGTTTTCACAATATGTCATACAGTTTAAGGAAATGACAAATTTCTTGTTTAACTAGACACCCAGGGTGGGTTCTAATTGACACAAACAAAATCCATTTGGTATTCTATTGTATTTTACAGTTGAAAAGACATCCTGTTCCTTTTTTTGTTCTATAAAAAAGTGACTCAGACATACATTTCTGAAACAAAATACAATATTTGTGACATTTTCCCACCCCTTCCCAAAACCAATCCCAGAATACAATGTAAATATGTTAATCTTAATTGTAAAAAACACGATTCCACATATCATAATTTAATTTTTTTTTGTGCACAGTTTAATTAAAATATGTAACTTAGACATGAGTATCTATAACTTATTCTTATACCCCTAATGTCTCAATATTTTTCAGAGTCAAGACAGCCCTTCAAAATATCCTACCAGACATATCTACCCTGGACAGCTCCATACCCAGTGCTGCTATATATTCCTATACATGTAGTAAACACATTCAGTTTATTACCCTGCACTCTTAACTGCACTGGAAAATGATCAGCATCTCTCACGAGATCGCATGGAGTGTTTCGCAACAGCGAGCAGCCCACACTGTGCCTTTGTGATGAAGGCTATTCACTGGGAGCAATGATGCACACATTATTGAATCATTATCTTTTTTACAAGGGACAATTTCTTTTCTTCGGCTACAATTCAGCTGTCATCTTTCCATCGGGTGGGCATTTGATTGATTTGAAATAACTCAAATGAGACATTTGCCTTGCCAAGCCCAGTGATACTGATATGTCTCACATGCCAGATGTTTTATTTAATTTAGAAATAAAATCCTCCATGAGAAACGCTCCAAACACTCCCTATCTAACTACCCAAATTTGCTTACCTATTGCACTGCCTGCATAGCCTTATTGCATCACTGCCTATAGATCCTTGCTTGGCCAGTTTGTAATATAGGGAGAGATGGCACTGAATCACACAATTGTATGCCGAGGCCAATTTATACCAAGCTTTTGATCATATTTCCAATTTTTTTTTCAAATGACCAAAATATATTTATAAGCAGACGCATAAATTCAGTTTATTAATGGCTAAAGAGTAATTTAAAGACAAAAAACCCTCAATAAGTCAAAACCATATATATATACAATAACATGCCATTAAAAAGAAAAATAACTCTTTGTTATGGAAATCAAATACAAGAAAGAGTATGAATGCCAGCCAAACTGTTTGCAATTTTTCAAGTCTAAGTATTTAGATTTTTTTTAAAGAATGACTTAATGATTATATTGTGAAAGTGCTTTGGTTCTCACTGTGCCCAATGCAGTGAAAAAAACATATGTTCAATTCATAGACAGACTTTTCCATTAAATCTTTCCAGCTTTCCATTAAAGAAATAATATAATAAAACTTTTATTTAAGCTCCCCCATCATATCTGGCTATTAGAAGAAGCAACTATATATGTGCTGTGTTTAAGTGTTAGCTTACAGTTCCCAAAACAAAGCATCACTTTTCTCATGCAAACCTTTGCAACAACAAATATATTTTGACCCACTTTTTGTAGCTACCTGTGTGTTCCTTAGAAGTGTGTCTTGTTTTCCAATAAAATATTCCATGCCAGTTAAAGAATGAGTCTATTTTAAGTCTTCAAGTCTTCATGCTGTATGCTATAAATGATAGCAACTATAGAATGGCCATGCATGAGCTCTACAATTATGATCTCTTACCCAAAGAGCATTGCAGGGATCACCAAGTCATAAAATTACCATGAAATCCCAGTATAAGACAGATTATATCTGAAGCCATAATTAAAGCCTTAATGAGACACATTAGGATACACAAAAATGGCAGTCAGTATCAATCATTAACTGCATCTGTGTGGGAACACCAGCACACACGCAAGCTTGGAAATATTACTTGAACAATATTGACAACTGGGAAACCATGCAACTGCATCTGCAAGAGTCATATTCAGTCAGTTATGATTTATCAGTAAAATGAAGAAAACTGTAAGAATGAAAAAAAAAAAAAGAAAAAAATGACAACAAATGGAAATGACAATTACATGTTACATAATAAACCTGAACTTGAACAGTAAAGAAATCCCTGCTACTTTTTGCACAGCCACTGTACTCAAATTCTGCACTGGATGCCTAGTTATATTGGATACAGTAATATCACATAAATAGGGAATTATAATTCACCTAATATTATCAAATAGGTCTGATGGGGGAACTAATATTTGCTTATAAGGATATCAATAAGAGATATTACATAATGCATTCACTGGCCAGAAGTCTATAGATTTGCCAGCTGCAGCTCCAATCAGTAGGAAGCAGCCATTACGTCATACCCAACCAAATTAGGTAGGGGAGAAAAGCCCTTATTTTCAAAAAATATGTATATATATCTATATAGTTTTGAAACTTCATGTTTGACAGCTATCATCATGTATACTGCAACATGTTTCTTTGAAGATGTATAAAATCCTGTACCTTCAACTGAGGATCTGAGAAAAATATCTCCAAAGAAGGGGATACTTTGACTGCATAAATACAGCAAATATTTTCAGTTCCAGTCATATGCAAAATGCCAGCATGCATCCTTCACATAAACAGCTCCTTTTGTACATAATTTATATACAGACTAGCAAAGATCAATTATAAGCATGAACATAATATCTGTCTAGAAATAAATCTAAAGGATGACTTAATGCCAAAAGTGCTTCAGACCTAAAAGATATCATTAAAAGAAAACACAGAGAAGAATTCCAATAATGCACCTCATACACTTCATTCCGTCGTAAAAAAAATAGAAACAGCTAAAATTTATTGTCATACAGCCATATCTCCCCATACAAAGCCCTGGTGTTAAGTCATACACCCAGTCACAGTTCACTAGATCAACAAGACTCACCTAAGGGTCCCCGATCCATTTCAGCACTGTTCCCATACACCAAATCTAATATATGCCTCTTCAAGAATGCACATCTGAGAGCAGTTCTGACAGCTGGGACTTAAAAACGTCTTAGCCAGCACTCTGTGCACTGACTAGGAAATGCACTCGCTAAACCACTGGCCATGCTTTCATATGGTAATGGTGGGGCTCAGCCCACAGCCGATGAAATAAACACAGTCTATTGGAGCAGGTATTGATTAGTGCCTCTAAATAAACAGATCTACATTATAGTGCCTTAGTCATATCTTGACAAGGGCACAACAGATTCAATAACATGGCATTTATTAACTGAACCCAGCTGAGAAGGATTTGCCCAAAGCGCCCTCTTTTTGACTGAAGTGAAACATCCTAAGGGGTGAAATACAATAGAAATTGATTATAAGAAAGAGATCAAAGGGATAATGGCTATAAAATATTGGCAAGGTGTGAGGAAAATATTGCCAAGTTATGTCATGTAACGATATGCTTATTCTAATAAAAACACATTTATATTGTTCTAATGACTGTTTCTACTTATGACAGCCCCAGGTTGGCGGGGAATAATCAAAGGGATAGCAGGGCAAAGGAAGACAGATTAACAATCTTTCAGCTGGTTCAGGTAGCCTTAGAGACTGGCCAGGTAGTAATTAGTACCTGTAATCCTAATTCACCTGCATAACTCCCTGTGGTCACTCCATTAACACAGTCAAGACTGACCTTTACATGCATACACACTGTACATGGCCAAGATTTATACTCAGGGTTTCCTGATCAACATTGTCTATCCTTGATAATGCCAGCTGGAAAAGTCAAGTAGTAGTTGGACAAGGGGGGGGGCAAAGAGAAAAAAGGTAAAAATCATATTTGTGTTATTTATCTGGTTACTGCCATATGGACGTGCCACATATATTTTATTTATACCTGAAGCTCCTCAAATGAGTTCTAGTTGGGTCTAATACACTTCAATGGAAATGTACTTGTTTTAAGTTACCAAATACATTAATTAGTTATATCATGAACCTTTCCATTTTTTCTATTGCAACAGATAACAGTTTGTCTCACCTGAACTACCGTATTCCTACTGATGAGCATTAGACAGCTTCATGTCTAAGGAACCAAGGAACCAAGTTAATGCATTAATTACTGTAATAATCTAGCCTTAAGTGCCACATAAATTTAGACAAGAAGCAACAAAACCATTCCTCTCCAATATATATATATATATATCACAGAAAAATAAAAGTAAAACAGACTACCTTAGCTTGCAGGGACTTCCTGACAGCAGTAGACATCTTAACAGGTTGCGTGTTGATGCTGAATACAGGCACTAGCACTAATTCACTCCAGTCTAGATCAACTCCACTTTGAGAACCTGACTATCAGATGTTCTCACCTGCAGCCCATTATTTGCAGGGAGTGAAATCATTTAATTTCCATTTCATGAATCAAGGTTGTGTATGTGATGTCAGCGTGCCCCACCAATTATAGCAATTAACCCTCCCTGGTCTTACCTGTTCTGTGTGCACTGGTCTACTTTAATAATAATATACCATCCACATGTTAAGTAGTTGTACAATGGAATAATTATTTCAAATAAGCATTAGCTTATGCAGTAAGTCACCGCTTTTGAGTGAAGCCCCCCCCCTCCCTCCCTGAGTAGCCTGCCCCCTCTTTCACTCTCTCTTTAGGAGTACTTATAAATAAGATGAAGCCAGATAAATCTGTTCTGTATAATTCAAAATTGAAAAAAAATTCACTTTTTGTCTGAAATATAACTGAATGTAAAATCCTTAATTAAGTAAAAATATAGATTCTTAATTAACACTTTATATCTCTGATGCTATTCATGTATTAGTACTGTATAAATTCTTCTCACCAGTTTCACTAGTAATTAACTAAATGAGATATACATTTCAGTTCATCTTTCTTTACAACATACCTTTCATTAAGTTTCTCGCCTTACCTTCTGTGAGGTTGGTAACTTGTTAAATAATCACCAAACGACACAAATCTTTTCTCTACCACGTTAACACCCTTATCAATGATAAATTTAGTCATGACAAACCTGCTAATCAAACAATTAAAGTGTTTGAACTGTAATTTATATTCAGGGATGGACTGGGTTCCACAGGTATGATACAGATTCATTTATAAGGAGGGTTAAAAGCCAACAATTATCCTGAATTTGGACGACAATGACTATACTGTGAATACTGGATTTGCCACTTACTGTCCACACGTCACCTGTTGCTGCTGCTTTCTGTCCCACTGTCTATTCTCGGGTCACAGTCTCCTCTGCTTGCTGTCCCACTGTCTATTCTCAGGTCACAGTCCCCTCTGCTTGCTGTCCCACTGTCTATTCTCAGGTCACAGCCAGAGCTGACTCAATTCACACAATTCATGATCTGAAAGTAAGAGACAAAACATAGGTAAACACTTTCCTTTGCAGCAGTATGGACTGTGTAATATGAACAATACAGTCAATATTATCGACTTAAAAACAAAAAACAGATGCACATAACAAAATAAATGGCTAGTTCCAACATTGATTTACATGGGTGGTACCCTCCTTCCTTTTGACTTGGAGTACTGATTTGTCACTGAAATCAGTTTCTGAAAACTCCTCATTCCCAACATAATTTTATAGAACAATAATGATATTCTGAGGAATTGTCCAATTCAACTGCTAGTTTTCTCAGACATATATATATATATATATATATATATATATATATATATATATATATATATATATATATATATATATATATATGGAAAACTAAGAATACATGTACAGAATGCAGAGCTACCTAAAGCTCTTGACAATCTCCAACTTCTTGTTCAGTGTCACAGATTAAGCTAAAAAAAGACAAAATCCTATTAATCACATTTAAGGCACATAAAATGAGGCATGAAATCTGAGCTGCAGCCAGAGCTACAATTCATTTTAACAAGGAGAATCGCCCACAAACACTGCAGAGACATGTGAGTTATGACACAGGCCTAAAATAAGCTTATGAGCAAACATCAAATTTCCATAAGAAGTTGTGGTTGGTTCACCCCTCTTCCTCTCTGGTTAACCATCAACAGTTCAAATCCTATTTAACTCTTCTTAGAAAATTATGAACATCAAATAAGTTCCTTTTAATTTCAGACAAAAATTACCACTTTAGACAGGGGGGGAGTTTCAAATTTTGTCCAACAATTCAAATGTTTTTGCTGCACAACCCTAGATGTGAGACTCAACATACTATATGTAGAGATTCAGCAGCACCAAAGTGTGTTTGTTGGTAATCTCTGAGTGTTCTCTGGGTGACCACTTCCAGCTCAATGTGTAGGCTACTCACTCATCAGCATGATGAGTACATGTGGACTACGCATGTCCTAATTCAATAACATGGGAACCAGACAGACTCAGCAATCCAAAGCCTCACGTGTGATGATAAATACCTTCAATGTCACGTAGATCAAAGTAGATCATCTTCACCATTTCTAGTCCTAAGCTCAAGTTTCTTGGGGTATATATCTCAAGTGTACATACAGCCTCTGATCGCCAAACACCAAGGACCTTCCCAACCTGTACTCTTATCTCTCAGGGATTAAGATGCCTGGATGGGCTGTCACCACTCCAGACCCCTACCGACTCAATTCAATGAAGCACATCCTGTAGGTATACACTGTTCAAACTCCCTGGGTACTGTGCTCAACTGCTTGATGTTTTTTCTTCACCAAAAGACTTCATTGTGCACCCTGGGCTTTGCCTTCCCACTGCAAACACATCGTGTTTTCTTTACGCTGTTTTTCTTCTTCTCTGCCAACAAAGCTAGGAAAGTCGCACAAACATTTTGTTTCCTCAAAGGGCCAATTCTTCACAATGCTACCTGGGTAAATATCGGGGCTGTTACACTGGCTGGGTTTAAATGAACATGGATCAGCAAAGCAGAGCCACTACCGGGGATGAAAGAGACCCATGAAAAGACTGAGCTAGAGAATTACTTATGTATACATTAAAGTAAAAAAAAAGTCTGCAAGGTGACAGGTGAAACTACTGAAGATGGATTTATGTCGTCCTCCTTTCACAACCTGTTTCAATAGTCACAATTACAGCTTTATCTTTATGCTGTGAAAACATGGATGGCAAATGAAAGATATCAGCTCAACTTTTCAAATGTGGAACAATACTTTATGCCGGAAATTAAATGTGCTTTCAATCATAAATTATTAAAACTTTTTCAAATTTTAATTTGTGAACTCAAGCTTCAAAGGTAATTCTAAGTTGGGACAAATAGTTGAAAGGTTTTGAACTTATTGATTTTTACTTGCAATATCAAATTTCATTTTGCAATCTAAACAAATTACAGCATAAAAGCTTTTTCAGTATTTAATATGTTATTGGTATACTTACAGAAGGAAAAACAACCAACAAATCTCTTAAAAGTCATACAATAAGAAAAAGGCAGCCTGATAAAAAAGACTTAAATAACTTAAAGACTTAAAGACTTAAATAAAAAAAACTTAAATACACATGCATGGCAAAATCATTGTACCGGTAAGTCATAATTATATCATGCTTGTCTAAATGAAGTGATATAAGGGATATACAGCAGGGTTTCCTGCCAGTCTGCATGGTGTGCAGATTATCAAAGCACAGATAAAGATTGTCCAGCAGGATAATATACAATAAAGACTGAGTTCAACTTCTACATACTGTACATGTAGCTTCAACACAAATCTGTTTTCTTCAGTGAAATTAAGTGGCATGAACATACACCCCCCACAATAAATAACTAAATAAACAAATAAATAAATACTACTTCCTATAAAAATAACTAACTTCTTACTTTTTTGTTAGATGCCTCAACCAAGAGGTATCACAATTACTGCAGATGCACAACGAGATAAGTACTAGAGTTCCAATTAATGCAGTATTTATAGTGAGTAGCCCCCTCATAATTTTTGCAAAAGTATAGCGTTCACCAAATAAAAGTGTATTTACTCAAATATATATATATATATATGTGTGTCAAGCACTCAAACCTACGTCCTTACCTTCTAAACTTGAGTGACTGTAACATGTGTCTGTTGAGTCTGTTGAACACCTCTACACCAAAATCATAAACAAAATAAAATCAACACAGCGTAAACAATTGTGGACTTGTAACCATAATATAATCGGAAATACATGTAATTATTGCTGAAGGACTCTTGGTCCAGGTAACATCCTACAGCCAGAGGTAAAAGCAAACTGATGACAACAAAGATAAAACCTATAGAATATTTCATGTAAAGCTAACCTATTAAATCATATCAAAAGACTTGCAACCATCGCCAAGGGTGGTCAAGTAACATCAATCTTTCCAGATATGTCAAGAAATTTCATGCCTTTCCTCCTTCTACTATAACTCCCATACACACCACATAATGTAGGCTTTTATTTCCATATCCACTGCCTTCAGTGCTGTGTATGTATGCACCTCTCCATTGCTACAGGTGGATCAGGTTCACTTCACCTGAAAACACCTGCCATGAGATCACAACCACAAATCATTTAAACCTAACCCCTGTGGTTGATCTCTTGCTCCCATTTAATTATGATAACACCTCAGACATCTTACAGACAACTTGAATATAACACATCCCTGCCTCTCAAAGAATACATGTACACATACAAACCAGATACATGGCGATGCACTAGAAACAGTAGGTTAAAACTGGAAAAAAATATTGTATTATCATAAAAATTTCATATCTCCAAAAACCTCAAAATCTGATAGCATTTCAATAATTTAGCTATTTTGTGAATAAGTTTATCTTCAACTTGCTGGGGGTCAACCTTTCAATTACCTGTATTAATACAGTGATATCTTTCATAACTGTACAGAATCATCCTATGGTGTCAATCCTTAATTTAATCATTATCGTCTTCAATCTTTTTTATGTTTAAGTTGATAAACATGAATTTTACAGCCTTTTATTTTCTAATTAAGTTGGAAAGATTAAAATGACTTTCAAATTCACTGAATGATATGAATCTTCAGACAGGAAGGGAGTAATAGAAGGGAAGGTGTTAGGTAAGGATACAATGTAGCTTTACAATGTTGTTCAATACTTTACAGGTTTTTAAAGTATGGATTTACTTTTGTAAATTGGTGAAGGTACAAAATGACTGTAAGTTGGTGGGGGGAGGGGGCAAATTGACATTTTTTTTAGTGTGATCTGGAAAATGTGATAAGCACCTAAGTTTTATCAGAGATGTTGGATGACGAGGGGAAAACTTGTACCATAAACTGGACTGCAAGCCATTGGGGAAAATGCTTGAAATGTCCTTGAAATCTTTAAAAACATTTCATTAGCTTTATAAAAGTACTGTTATACATTTATAACCCTCACAGTAGTCCATTTGAGGTTACTGGATAAGGGCAATTCAGTGAAAAGTGAAAAGAAAATAAATCCCTTAACCGAATAAAGAAAAAACTCAGCGCATCTAAAGAAAGACAATTGTTTTGACTGAGAAAACATTGGGATATGACAATATACATCATGCTAAACCTCAATTAATTTTGGAACAAAAATTATTCACAATATATGCCAGTCTTAATTTTTAAATCCAAATCAAAATGAAACAGTCTGTTGGTACTACACAGGATTTTATGGCAAATTGTGAAAAAAGAACACAGTTTGGTTCTTCATAAGAAAGTGACAAAGTTGCACAGACTGCTGCCAATACACACAACTTCACGAGATTGGGTATTTCTCTTTACTAATTTTGTATTATAAGTGTTAAGTTACTTGAAGAAAACCAGATGAACGAAAGAATAACAGCTGTCGTTCTTGTCTTTTTTCTTCGTTTAATAACGATAGCAACAGATTGGTGTAACACGAATCGGTGCACATAGTTCATAAAAAAGAACTGATTTTCATGAAGATGCCGTATTATGTCACCGGATGTGACAGTGATAGTAACACCTAGAGTATGAAACACTTCTACTGTAGCTGCCACTTGCAGCACAGTATTCTACGTTCGCGGTGACGACCTGTGAGTTTGTCCTTTATCACAGCAATTTACGGGTAGTAATTACCTCTTAATAACCATTTTCTGTTCACCTCTTAAACACTGTTAAGCTGTATCATTTTCATCAAAGAAACTACTTACTTGTACTCGTACCGGCCAATGTTTACACTTGCTGCCAGTCACGCCAAGTTTAAATTACTTATGCGCATCTATTTTGCGCATTTCCGTTTTGAACCGAGAGTGTCCACATATGATACTAAACAAGGAACTGAAAAATATCTATTCAATCATTTCTTGAAATAAGGCATGAAATTCATCGATTTTACTATATAGAAGCTATTTTATGTAGGTAGATCTATGAGAAAGAAAAGTTGCATAATTTGGATAGTTCATAGTCCGATCTCTATTCGATAGAAACCCAAGTAAACGGAAATGACTTTTCACATTCAAATTTGGACATTGACCTCGTGGAGGTCAGCCAATCAGCTGGTCTTGCTAGTGTCAGGCCCGAACAAATGCATATTTATGAAGTTGAGGAATAAACGAAGCTGAAATATGTGGAGGGGGGAATATCAAAATTCTTCTTCTTTCCCTGAAATGGAAGGAATATGCAGAGGGATCGGGGCTAACTTAAGAGTGACCATGAGTCTTAACCAAGGGATGAGAAAATATATGGAAGATGTTACCCAAGTACACTTTGAAAAGTCACCAGACGGCGATGATATACTGTTCGGGTTTTTCGCCGTATACGATGGTCATGGCGGACCAGAAGCCTCTCAGTTTGCCAAGAAGCATTTACTTCAGTATTTAAAAGATCAGCCTGGATTTTGGAGTGAGGATGACGAAAAGATCAAGGCATCGATCAAGCTGGCATTCACACTTACACATGATGCGATGTGGAAGGAAAGAGGTACGTTTTCGTTACCGGCCGTTTGGAGCGTTTACTCGTAAAAACATTTTCCCGCTTAGCTAAGTCTTTTACCGCCCAAAGTTAAAGGATATGTAAAGTTAAAGGGTATGTTTATCAGACTGTATTTGAGTACCAGAAGCATGATCTTGTGGGGACTGGACAAGATTTTTTTATTTGAAACTATAGGCAGTCTAGTAGTAAAACCTGTATGGGCATATCAAACGTATTTACATTTTGCAGGTCTCTGCCTGCACACTCAGGTGATTAGCTGGCTATGGGCCAACTGTGATAACACTGTCCTTTTTGCTCTAGAGTTTATGTTTGTATTTATGCCTTTGTCATTGTAGGCAAATGATTTACCATGATATGCACTGCTTTTTTGTCAGATATGGTAAAATGGGTCTCCTGCCTTGTGTATTATTCAATATGTTAGCAACTTATCTATGATTTTGTGTATGTTGTTTATTAACATTTTTGCTTTGTTTACAAGTGTTATCACACTTTCCCTACATTCAGTTAGAACTGTCAAATATGTGAGGGCAACATAATTATATTATCAGCTTATTACCCTGAGCTTAAGATTCCTGCAGGCAATATAGTGAACTAGTGACAGTAGTAGGACTTGTGTGCCTCGAACCCAAGAAATTACCTGTTGTTCCATTTCAAGTGCACTGAGTCAGATTCATGCTTTTGACTATTATCTAGAATTCTAGCTCTCTTGCATAGGTTTGACAAGTTTACCATGCCCTTAAATCAATAAATTTGAATAGTGGATTTTTTTGTTAAAAATATGATTGTTTTCTTTCAGTAAAAATGTTTTAAGTCAATTAAGAAGTCATTAATACTTATTGTTTTAATCATGATTCATGTACTAGTAGTATTACTAAAGGAGCTCACCAGCATTCATCATAGTGTAGTGCTTACAGGTGTGGTAAACAATGAGACTGCCTTTTTGTTATAGATGGAGTTGATGATTGCATACCCATAATTAATGGTAAATACCATGCCTATGTAAGCTGACATACACACACTTTCTAGTAATGGAGACAGTCATTATTGGACTTAAAAGCTCAGGGTAGTAATTATATGAATAATGGTGTATATAGATTTTGGAGTCCTCTAAATGATGGACCTTAATTTTTTTTTCTTTTGCAGGTAATTGGTCTAAAACATCATCTGGGTTTCCTAGCACAGCAGGCACCACTGCCAGTGTGGCCATTATGAAAAATAGCAAAATTTATATTGGCCATGTTGGTGATTCGGGTATTATACTAGGGTACAAAGATCCACAAACCCAGAAGGTACATGGAAAACAGCTTACAAAGGTAATGATAATGACACGTTTAGAATGTCTTTAATAAAAAAAAAAAGAGTCCCTGTTTAATTGGATTTGAACTGCAACTTAATTTTAAATAAAAGGGATTTATTAATTATCTCAAAATGTATCAGTGATTTTTTTATCATTTCATAAAGGACCATAAGCCAGAAAGCCCCTTTGAGAAAAAGAGGATAGAAGATGCTGGTGGTTGTGTGATGGTGAAGTCTGGGGTAAACAGAGTGGTGTGGAAGCGGGCCTCTGTCAACCATAAAGGTCCTATTCGACGCAGCACAGAGCTAGTTCATGTACCTTTTCTAGCAGTTGCAAGGTCTTTAGGTAACTTAGCCTAGTAACTAACTTATTATTATACTTAACTAATTATCATCATCACTATTGTATTTTTTAACAAGACTTTGAATATTTGTAAATTGTAATCTCTGAACTGTTAAAAATTGGAAAGACATTTTGGGTAGTAATGAAGGGACATTGAGTATTTTGAAGATAATATGCAATAATGTACAGGAAGTTTTATGATAGGATGTGGACTTCTGGGTTGATATGTCTCAGTGCCATCTCCAAATGTACATATGTTTCAAAGCTAAATATGCCATGTAATATGTGATGTTTTTCAGGTGACCTGTGGAGTTACAACTCTTCGACCAATGAATACTCGGTCTCACCAGAGCCTGATGTGGATGTTGTTCCCTTTGACCACAGGGTTGATTACTGTCTGATCCTAGGCACTGATGGGTTGCTGAATATGTTCACTTCACAGGACCTGGCAGAAATGGTGCATTGTGTGGAGAAGCAAACATACGAAACAGTTGTTAATAGTCGGGTATGTCTTTGAATTGTTAATAGTCTGGTATGTCTTTGAATTGTTAGGATAAGCAGCTTTGGCAAATAGTAGTGACCTCTCCTTTACAAAAAATAAATAAATAAATAAAAAATAAAATAAAAAATAATAAAAAAATAAAATTCTTTACATAGGTGAACATTGAAAAAATTACCAACTCATATGCTTGAATACAGAATATCAGAAATGGATAAGAAATAATAAAAAATGAATAAATTCACCAGGAAAAAATACAGTTTGCAGTCACTGCATTTAATTAGATTGACCTAAAAATTCCTTTTTGCATTTTTTAGAACACGACAGAAAATTTCTGGATTAACCCAGCTTGCACCCTGGTGAATACTGCCATAGACAAGTGGCGCAAGAGAAGCCTGAGGGCAGACAACACCAGCTGTGTAGTTGTCTTGATAGACCCTCCAGGATTTTCACGACAAGAATACCTCAAGAAAGAGAGATTAAAGAAACAAAGTATGTCCAGCCCTGTAAATACAGCGCCAGAGCCAAAAAGTCGGGCGATGTCTGAGAAGAAATATCCTTCTGTGACACGTGAGCCCAAAAGCCTGGCTGGGCCCCAGTCTAAAAGTCAGTATCAGAAACCCTTCAGAATTCCTGATCCAATGGATGGTCCGTATCTTCGTATCCTTACACCTAGCATGTACAGGAAACGTGCTCATGATGAGTCCCCTAAGGAACGATCAGCAAATCCGAAAAGGATAAAACTCGACTTTGAGGAGGCTGATGGAAAAAAGTTGACTCCTAGTCAACCGCCTGTAGTCAAAGCCCCAGAGGGTAAGGGAATCAAAGAACATACTCAGAGACAACATGGGAAATTTCCCAAGTATTTGACACCAACTAAATACAGGGTGGGTGCTACTGATGGTGGTGGAGATGGGGACCCAGAAAAGCAGGTTGCTGGCTTTAGCAGAGAGAAAAGTTTTCAAGCAAAAAGCTTTTCAAATGCACACTCGACACCCGAAAACTCTGTAAAAGATTCTGTAAAACTTTTACCTGAAGAAAAGGCTAAAGTTAAAAGACATATTGCCCAGTGCAGCAAAATAACCCCTGATGATTCCAGTGCAGACAGAGAAAGCATAGCCCAGTCTTGCAGTGGTAAAAAGGAAAGGATGCACCAGTCTCCACAATCCACTCAAAACGGTGTCACAACAGCACACAGTGAAAACAAACCCCAGGGAACAAAAATGGTCACAAGGCTGTCGACTAAGGATGCCACACAGGAAATGGGTGGCATATCTGAAAGCACAGCTACTCCAAGCAATAATTTTAAGAATAGTAAAGGGGAAAAGTCCTCGATCAATACTCCTTGTAATGGTGGAAAGGAGAACACTCCACAGTCAACCAGCACATTAGGAAAGTTGACGCCAGAGCATCATGAACCAGTATGCACAAGAAGATCGTCTAGGAGATCGTCAGAGATTGTCAAATCTGAGGAGTTGGACAGCAGTAAAGGAGACATAGGTACTGAAAAGGATATAAAAATAGCTGGATCAAAGAGGCAAGTTGGTGAGGTTCTGGCCTATAATTGTGACATGTCAGAGAAGCGGTCAAGGCGTGATGGCAGTTGTAAGTTGACCAAGGAGCAGGCCAACCAGCACCTCTATACCAGTATGAAACTCAGGCTACGACAAAAGGTTCAATAGCGGTACAACCTTTACCATCATAGTTGATTATATTTGTTATTGTCATAAAATTTGTGATGAATTTAAACATTTTCACATTATTTTTATGAAACAAAATATGCAAGGGATTTATTGATGTTACAGTATTGGCTGCTGATGTTTAGGAAGTTGTGTATTTTAAGTAATTGTCAAAGTTTTTAAATGATGATGGATAATTTTTGTTGCATAATTTTATGTGATGATTGCAGATGTTATAAATGTATATTTTTCGAAACCATTTAGGAAAAAAATTGCAGACATCTTTTGTGGGAAAATTCATTTTATTAACAATTTAAATGATGTTTAATGATGAGTTTTAGTGTTTTCTTATAAAAAAAATGTTACTCTTTTGTCTTAACTCTACAAAAGTGGATTTTTGACTGAGGATGGACAAGTCATAGTACATTAAATTTTTTATGACCAGACTTGCAATGAGGTGAACTACAGAAATGTGTGCTTCCACCTCTTGAATATTCCATTGACAAAGTCAAATTCAGGGTTTTATTGACTATTATCCACTTTTTTTCATTTAGTTAACCCTGTTATTTATTGTTGATATGAACATTTTAAAATAAATTTGGTTTTTTGGCATTAACAAATGTATAGAGTCATATAACAATACCTCCCACCATAATTTTGCACACAAATAGACATGCATACATGTTAGTAGTATTATTCCTAAAAGAGATTTGACCTAGATACAGGCCAGTAATTCAGTCCATTAAATTCACAATGTTCAGTGTTTGTAACACATTACAAATATGATTTATTTTTGTTTGAAAGATTAAGAAATTACTTTAGAATTGTATAGTGAATTTTAAATCGCATCTAATCCAATTTGAGCATGTTGCCCTCTTAGGCATTTATACTCTATTTGGATGTTGCTTCAACTCCTGTCATTTTACTTATATTTTTAGTGCATATGCTTTCTGTCCTGTATTGTTTTAATATGTTAATTTTACACTGGGCTCTAATTAGTATAATTTTATAAATGATATGGACTGATAATTTAAATAGTAGCATGTGATTTAATGTATCATTGACTAGTAGTGATGTGTACATATTTGCAAATTGAAAAGTTGTTTTTGATGTGAAATTTTGTAGTATTTGCTGTTAAGAATGTCATTTTCAGAGTTTACTTTATGGTGCTTTATGATAATTTATTTATTGACAGTTTGACATACCACATCAGAACACTGGCACGTATGACATCACATCTTTCATTGATCTCACAGTGTATAAAATCTCTGTAGAAAATTTGTAAATAGATGAGGGATGAAGGTGGCAGTAAATATAATGTTGAAGTCTTAACTCTTTGTTCAAGTTCTGTGTAATTTTCTTTTTTTTTTAGATAAAAGTTTTTATCCACTTTATGCGAGACAAGCAAATTTCTAAAAAAAAAAAAGTATTTTCACAGCAAAATCTAGTCATCTTTCATTTCTAGTATGCAACTGCCTTGGGTATGCAAATGTCTCCATTGGGTCAGCATTTACCAAGTCTTGGGTACGATTCTGTGACAAAATTCCTATCAGTTTATTGATTTTTATTAATTTTAGTTTAAGAAGAATTGACCTCGGGGTCAATCCAAAAATACCGGTCCAATGGCACGGCTCCATTTCATAAAGCCCGTTCCATGCGCTACGTCACGGCCCGGTTTTTAAAGCCCCCTTGGATGGTGCAGAGACGGTGAGATGTTCGCTTCGTGCGCGTTTACCCTGGCATTTCTAACTAATGTCTGAGGGGAATTTACAACGATGAATGGGATGTTTTAGCGTAGGGCGTTTAGTGTGAGTGGAGTGAGTTCGAAAACGATTTAACGTCTGTCTCCATTTTATTTCGATCTTTTAAGGCGGGTGGTGCGTATTTTTTGTTTCAGAAGCTGCTCTCCACAATGCAACAATGTTTATAATGGTGGCCAGTGTAGGCTATTTGCCCGCGGTCGATTATCATTTTATTGCCTTAAAAGAGTAGCAGTGCATGAAGATAAACAGTTGAAGAATGCCCACAAGTAGTTCGTACCACGAAAAATACGCCAATGTATTAATTGCGATTGTATTTTGTCCAAATATCAAAATAAATGGCCCTGCCGCTCAACTATTAAAAGCACAGGAAGAAAACGTCGTGCCTCAATTTTCACTGAATTTGATAAGAAATACTTAACCAATTTTGATGATTTTTTTAAATTATTATAGGTGAATTTTAGATTCGACGAACGATTAAGGTTACAGCAGGGCGTGGATAGCATCAAAATGTCCGATAATATGGATAACACAGAAAACGGACCAATAAAAAAGAGTGCATTTCTATCTGTTTCGTGGTAAGTAAACAGACTGCTGTTGAAAATACATTGAAAATACATCAATTTAAAATAATTGTTTGACATTACATTAACCTATATATGTTGCATTGATTTGAATTTTCTCTGCATTGCTTAAACCATATTTTCTGTTTCTGACTCTGGACCTTCCTTATTCACATATTTTGACATAGGCTGTCAAGTCTGATCGAGGAGCCTGTGTCAAAATAAGAAAGATCACATGCAGAATAGCAGGCATAATTATCCATCAGTACAGTTCAATGTATCTTATTTATGTTAAGATTTAAAAGATATTTGCCAGCAATTTTTCTGGGGTTTGATTCATATAGTAATATTCATAATGATAATATTTTTAAAAACAATTATTTTATCTGGTCAACTACATAAAAAAATTCAATAATAAAACATAAATAATTAGTGCCATATTATTACCCTCCCCCAATCCATGGACCTAGCTCTAAGGGCAGGGTAAAGAAGGGGGAGTTGTTAAGAAAACTGGGCCTAATTTTTTTCAAGCAAAGCTTTCAGAATTCTTTGTTACCATATTGTAGAACTGGCACTGTAGCAAACCTACTCTTATAATTAGAATAATATCATTCTTTGTGCAAAGCTTTGAAAGTTGTAAGTAAACTCATTTGATGTTCACTTGCCTTTGAAAAATAGTTATAAAGTATTTCTGATGAAAATTGATCTGTGTTACTCCGAATGATGAAAATTTAATTTTTGAAACTCTTTTGTAGGATTGTCACGAACTACCGACAAAGCCCTCCCGTAGGCCCAATGAAGATGAATCATATCTACCAAATTTACCTGGAAGCTCTTATGGTGTCAAACCTGTTGCTTGAAATAATCTGAAAAACTCAATTATCTGAGTGCTATTTTTAATATCCCAAAAGAAATTGTGAAACAGGAGAACAATGTAAAATATCTCAACATCAGGAGTATACCAGACTCTGATCATGAGAAACCAACTTATTTCCTCCCATTTCCCAAGGGAGTATCTGGTGCTCTAGCTGAAGCAGGTTTTATTATTTCCAGTGCAGATGAATGTGAAGCTGTTGCCACCAAATCCACAGAGTCCATGTCTGGCAGAAGGAGGATAATGAAACAAATTACAATTGATAGCAGCGGTGCTGAACGTTTGTGCCTGTCACACCAAATTTCTATCTGCATTGAAAAGAAATCCTAAAATAGAGGATGCCAGGTCATCCATAGTTTGAGATAACAGCTGCTTCTTCTGGTCAGAGGCAGTTGTGGCCCGTTCCTCAGACTGCGCGTCAATACTGACATCACTACTCCCAGTAGCTTGTCACTGCCATCTTTAATTGGTCTTAGACGTACTTGCTGGTTTGCTATAGAAGTTATAAGCATAGATTTAAAGCTGTAAAAGTGCTTCAATTTTTATAGTTTTTTTGCCCTCATACATAAACTGTGTTTTGGGTGTTTACGCAGTGGTCACTTTTAGCTAAGGTACTAATTTACAAGGTAACATAAATTTGTTCTCTCGCACACTAAGTTCAGAATGAGGTTATACAGGCAACCCCAATAACCAAGTAACATTAACATGGGTAGCTTATTATATAAAGAATCTTAACCAGATATGGAATTTAATAATAATATAATAATAATCTTTAATAGTTCAAGCACAATTTTACAAAGGCTATGACCAAACAATTACAAAGGTACCATATTGAGAAAGGTTAATGCTTAGTGTGTATACTGAAACGTAAATTCTGTTATACACCCATTATCAGAGATGACAATTATACTATTTGATGCATTCTGTATTTTCATATACATTAATGATCCTAAAATATCGTACATATTTCTCTCATTTAGTAGGTGGTGGCTGGTAGAGAATACCAGATCTTTCTTGGTTACATATTGTTATGTATCTAGCTAGATTTTGTATTGTGTCATGATTTCTGTTTTGCATTAATGGTTTGAATTGTTCTGTGTGGTTTGTGTTTTGGACTAATTATTGGTTTAGATTCTTTCTTTGTTTTTCATATTGGAGACATTGCAACAGGAAGTGTATTTCATTCTCTACTCCTTGTCTGCAAAGTCAACATGTTCTTTTTTCAGGCGGTAGAGGGGTGGGTTTTTGAAATCTGCCTCTCTGTATTTCTAGATCGTGGGCCCCGGTTCTAAATTTTGGGAGGTTCTGGAGTTCCTGTTTTGTTAGGGGAGCATTTAAATATTCTTTGGCTTCATAAGATGATTTGTATAGCTTATATGTTCTCAGTAGTCTATTTTCTCTGTCTAGTTCCTTAAAAATAGCAATATGTAGCCACAGTGTGTCTGTACATAGAGTCATAACCTATCTGTCATTGTCATTGCTGTGCACTTTCCATTTACCGCAACAAACAGACAACCATGACATTATCCTCAGACTTACTAGAGTGACTTATAGCATTAACATGTAGGCCAAGTTTGAGTATCAGCAATATCAGACAGGGAAGAGATCAAATTTGTCCCTCCCAGACTCCCCCCCCCCCCCCCCCAAATCAGATGATGCTGCAATGTAAGGCTGTTCTAGTGAAGTCACAAGGCCACTATCTTCAATTACGACATTCTGGTGGTGCTTTTCTAGTTCTGACAACAATGCTTCCCTGGCAGCTTTCTCCTGAGCATATCCCCACATTGTGGCAGCTGTTTCAAATGGTTTCTCTCTTGGGTAACATATATATCCCTTTCACCAAGGTTTGGGGTTGGTTTAAGGGGTCTGTGTGACATGCTGCTCTCATCTTGGAGGCGGTGATTCTGCCTGCATGACATTTAAACCACGTCTTTGTCTGGACTGAAGCCTTGTAGCTTTCTCCTTATTGTCAGCTTGCTCTGGTGTGGCACTGGTGTCTATACCATGGCAGTGCAGTACTCTATCAGGTCACTGTAACTTAGTGTAACAGCATTATCATCTCCCAGTTCTGTAAGTGGCTTTGGGAAAGAGTCAGTGGATGATATGGGTACATATCTATAACTGTGGGCCCCAGCAATTGACAAAATGGCCACTTTATTCTCACAGCTGGCAATTTCTTAAAATGCCTTTAAATCTTCTGTCAGTTGTTGGTTCTGGCACTGGGTAGTTTTGTAAGAGCGGCAGGTTTAGGGGTGCATTCTTCAGGGCTCATCATCCTTTTTCTGTGTGTTTTTGTTGCTGTGAAATCAACTCTCACCTTGCTATACAAAACAGTTGAAGACATTGGCAACAACCAGCGTGCATCTTCTTGAGTTACTGTCTTTGTATTCCTAAGCTTGACTGTACCTAATACAGCGAAATGAAGGGCTCCAATCTATATACACATCTCTCCTAGTTTGGCCTTGTAATAACATTGGGCTGCAGTGATGTTGCCATCCTTCTCAGCTATTACCCAAGGGGTTACTAAGTAAGGATATTTCTCTCAAGTGCTGTGGGTGAAGTACCTGTGAAAATGTAATGTTGCAGGTTTGTAAGACAAATGGGTAACATTGTGTATTATTAAAAATTTTCAGCTCGCACATGCATGATGGGATGTTTAAGACCACGGTACAATAGAAGTTCCACTGACGAGCTTACCTTGGGTTTTGCAACATGCCGATTTTCGGTCTCCACTGTACATTATTCCCTCACCCATATGGACACAAACAGATTGTAGGGTGATAAGCTTTTATACCTTTTCAAATTATCTGCCATGTAAAGACCTTTGCTGAAAACTAGATAGTTCACAATGGCAGGATAGGACACATTTGGCAGCAGTTTTACATCATTTGTCCAAGAGTTGATCTCATATGGGTTATTTCTGTTAATAAGTTCAAGTTTCTTATCACATCTGTCCCTTTCTGTTTTTCCCAAAAAGTCATGATGAGGTTTCTTTTGTTTTACTTGTCTCACCTATACTAATGCCACAACTCTATTGTTCTGTGCTGTGTTTATGTCTGTTGGTCAAGTGTTACGGAGTAATAATGACATCACTGAAAAGGGTCAATGGAAAATCTTATGTAAGATGTCATGCTCCGATTGTTACTCTTTGTTTACAAAAGTGGCCTAAATTTGATGCGAGGGATGCTCATCTGTCAAATGGTAATAAATTCTCATTGAGTTGTTCTTCCTGTCTCACTGATAGGCATGCATCCAGTGCTCCCACAAGATGGGATGCCTATTGTAATCTAGGCTCTTTCTTTCTGGTTTCCTTCTTGCTTGATTGAATATGCCTTGATTTATAATTTATGATTTATAAGGATCACATCCAGGCAAAAAGATAATAATCATAATAATCTTTATTGAGCAGTCAAATGTGTACACGTTACATTTTAAAGGCTCTCTACTCTAGTCATAACAACTTAACAACAATTATACAAATCTATACAAATACTTACTAGTATGGAATGATTACTGGGAAGCAGCACAGAATAAACGACTATTGCTATTGATGGGTGTGTCGTTTTTTCAAACTTTCAAAAAGAGAGTTTTCATCATGATTTCCTTCTCATTCTTGTCTATTCTGTTCATCAATTGGCCAGAGATTTTTTCTGCTAAGGCGCTGTCTATCTTGTCTGATGTAAAGTTCTTTTTGACGACAAACATGCCACAGGTTTTAAGTTTTACTTGACTGTAGCTGTCACTCAAACTTGGACCCAGCGGGCGGTCAGGCTTGTGTTTTACCGTTGGAGGTTCTGAGTCTGACAGTTCTTCCTGCACTTTCCCATCTGACAATTCATGCAAATCACTGTCCTTTCCACCCACATAGGAATCGGTGTCAGTCTCTTGGGATTGGTAATTCTTAGCCTCATCATTAGCAGCCTTCATTTCTGTGACGAAACAGAGCCTCTTGTATATACACACCGCATCAGTAGAATGACTACTTTGTTTCTTAATGGTTTGTTCATCAAAACCAGCTTTATGTAACTTGGTGTAGCATGTTACTTTACCGCTGTGACCACTAATATTTCTCCCTTCTATACTTATGCCAGCCTCTTGAAACATCTTGGGCAGGTACCTTGATAAAACATTTAAACCAACTGGTTGGGAACTGAACAAAGGAAAAACCATCCTTTCAAGGCAAGGGGTGCCTGTAGAACCTACCTGCTGGTGGAATAAATGGCAAATATTTCTGAAATACTTTTACTGTGCATCTTTCCTTATCAGGGTCTTCTTAGTGATGGATTTTTCTAGGGGGTGGCATTAGAACCGAGAGAACTGGTGTACCATAAAAATCTGACTCCCCTAAAAGGTGACTCCCCAGTAAGATTTTCATTATATAAGTCCATTCGGTTTGCAACATGCCTGTTCAAGTGAAAATTGTTACTCACCACGACTAACAGTGGCTTGATTTCCCTCTCACTTTTTTCCTCGAAGTTTGTGCTCTGCCTCCATAGTTTTATTACTCCCGGGGTGAACCATAGGTTGAGTGCCCCTGTTGCAAATCCTGAGGGTAGGGAGACATTCTTCTGCAGGTGGAGGCTTGTGCTCGATAGTTGGTGCCTCTGCCTAGGTCGCCTCAGATTGAAGGAGATCCCCACTTTTCACGAAAGCACCAGAAGAGTTAGAAATTTTATAACTGGCATTGTTGGCCTTGCATGGTAATAGATTTTACAGTGGAGGGCAGGTTATCTCTGAAGAGAAAATCTGGCTGTCGGACAAAGTTGGTGGTATCCCGGTGCAATAACAAATTTGAGCTGCTCCCTCCTGTTAACGTTAATGTTTCTATTGCCCTGGACCAAAAGCCTGAGGCTGTCCCCAATCAACTCTACCATGTCTTTGGAGTCAATGGACTCTATAGGTTTTGAAGTACATGTATAAGAGGAACCATGCCTCTGAATATATTCAATATGCAATCTTGCTTGTTGGCCATTTTCAGGTCTAATGACCTTTGTGTTGCTGTGAGCCCCATCCAGATTTCGGGGTTAACACTGGGGGCCATAACACCATCAATATTGGCAGGGCGATCATGTTTGTTTTGTAAGTCCTGCAATTTATCATCAGTTTCACAACTAATAACATCATAAATGTTAGCTGACCCTGAGGGATTGTCTTCTTCCATTGGCTGCTCTGCACTGCTTGCATCATCCCTCACAGAAACATCCAGTGTATCATTTCCGGGAGCAATTCTCCTGGGGACAGGACTATCTGAATTAAGCCCAAGACTGGTTATAAACCGATCAAATCGATTGTCCCTTTCCCACAAAGCATCTTGGAAAGCCAAAGTCATCTCGGCCATACTGGTGGCAAAATCATACTTCAGGTCATCTCTCAGCAAGGCCAACTCTGGCTGCAGTGCCTGGTGCACTAGTAGTAGCCTTCGTAGTAGTAACGCAGCAGATTTATTGCTGGCACGAGTACTAGTAGGTGCGGACGCATTTGATCCAGTGGATCTGCTGTCCAGTACATGTTACTTTCTTGCTACTACCTGCAGCAGCAATATCCCCGCTGGGGAGAGCCTGACATAGTTGAACGCTAGTATCAGTGGCCAGCTGATCTAATAAAGACCGTTGGTCTTTGGCTGCCATGATTAAGTTATACAATACCAGCTGAGGTTGCAGACAAAGGCCCGATCACAAAATGTCTAGGAAATCAAATCGCATGAGTAAAAACGTCCCGAAAATCCTACCTGAAGTTGTACTCCACGTCCACTGTATAGATATATCCAGAAAACTACCTTCGATATGATGATAGTCTGGAGAAAAATCAAACACAATGGAGACAAATGAAAACCTGATTCACATGTACAAGGCCACTAAGTTCACTGAGCATGTGCGGCCTTATTCTATCTGTCGTAAGCCATTTGTGAGTGAAGACAAGGCAGAATTTGACTAGCTGCTCGATATAATCAACTACAGCTTGACTTTGTTGATCATTTAATCCAAATACACTGTGTAAATTGTACACATAAGCATCTGTTATCCATGCAGGTTTCTTTTTAATGTGTTTTGACTTTCTACAATTGTCAATTTCAATTTTTTCCTGTGAAGCATCATCACTCTGTAAAATTTGACCCGTTTCAAATTCATTTATACCAGAACGTACCTCACCGTGTGTTGAAACATTGTCGTTACCCGCATCTGGTACATCATCACTGTGTAAAATCTGACTCACTTCAGGTTCGTTTATACCTGAACGTACCTCACCATATGGGGTTGACAACACTAACTTCACATACTGCGAGTCAGAATCTTCGTCAGACTCCTTTGCATGTCTTCTAAGCCCAGGACCACTCTTTTTCTCTTACTAGAAAGAGATGGCTTCCCACTTGAAAGAGAACAGATTGGCAACATCAAATCTCTATGAAGTTTCTGTATTTCTTTCACCCCTTCTTTGTTGGGATTGCAGGCTTTCACCGTTTACATCTCCAAATAAAATGGGATGAGCCTCCTCTACAATGTTTTTGGTTGTTCAACTTGTTGGCCATCATTCTTGGCTACCGATTGGCTATCTATTTTCTTTCTTTCCTCCCCACGCTGACTTTCTTTTATTCATAGCTGTACTATGCAATTGCTATATGCACTTACCACTTGTATAATAGTGGGCTCTAAAGCAAATTAAACAGTTGGTGATCAGACACTGGGGGTGAAACTAAAAAAAAAAAAAAAAAAACAATGAAGACAATCTTTCTCGAACTGACCTTGCTGCACTACAGATGGATTTCGCTCTGATGACTTTCTCCAGACCCAAAAGTGCCATATTAATAGCTTCTGGCCTACTTTAAAAAGTACTTGTTGTCACAAAAAGTATATAATGACCGCGAATTCGGTAAAAATCAAAGTAGCATGTGATTCAGTATATCATTGACTAGTAGTGATGTGTACATATTTGCAAGTTGAGCTGTTTTTGATGTGAAATTTTGTAGTATTTGCTGTGAAGAATGTCATTTTCAAAGTTTACTTGATGGTGCTTTATGATAATTTATTGACAATTTGACATACCACATCAGAACACTGGCACGTATGACATCACATCTTTCATTGATCTCAGTGTATAAAATCTGTAAAAAACTTGTAAATAAGTATGGAATTAAAGTTGACAATAAATATGATGTTGAATACTAATATTTTGTCTTTATTCTGTGTACACTGTTCTTGGAGATAACTTTTATTTTATTTATGCAAGATAAGTAAATTTCTAAAAAAAAAAAAAAGTGTAAAAATGTAAGAGTCCATGTTATTGTCACAGCAAAATCCAGTCATCCTTCATATCTGCTAATACAACTGCCTGTATTCCAGTCTGCCATACCCTGGGTAAGCAAATGTCTTCACTAGCTCAACATTCACCAAGTCTTTAACATTTGGGATAAAATACAATCGGTTCATTCTTACTAGTTTTCCATACTTATCCTACAATAATGTACAACCTGCAATTGCAGACCTTTATTGTTTTTTTTTCAGTGTGCACAATATTTATACCAACAACAACATGGTTGTAAATTGCACTTTGGAAAACTAAGAGAAAATCTTGATAGTCAGCCAGTCTTTACAACTACACATTCTCATGAAAACACATCTTGCCATCTGAAATTATGGTCAGCTGTCATCATAATTGTCTTCTGCTGTATCTTCTTCCTCACGTTCCTGAAAATCATATTGGATATTCAAATTAGGTTCTATACCAGAATACACTAATAACTAATAAATTTTTGTAGAAATTAATAGAGGTTCAGAGAGGCAGGGAGCTGCCCCCTTACAATGTTTTCACAGTCACATATGTATTTCAAATTGGGACAATAGCCCCATGAATTTCAAATATTCAAATCACTGCTGAGTACAACACATTTGCATTTTATCTATAATTATCTATACTTTACAGTGTACTAGGTGGGTAGAGCTGTGACATTAGGGTCATATTCTCATTTAAGCTGGGTCAACCCATCTCAGCTATATGTGATTACAATGAGCCCAACATGATTGGCAAACCCCATTCCTTTACTGTCATGCCACTGTCCTGCACTGAGATTTGTGACTAACAGCCAGTGGTGAGCTAAACCTTAGCAGAAAGCCTGCCGAGATGGGCCACACTGAGGTAGGTCAACCCAACTTGAATAGAAACATGCCTGGCTTAGGACTACCGCGAGTTGTATGATCTCTTTGTGAGATAGGACAAGTTGATTCATTTAATAGTATCATAAAGACACACCTTAATTTCTTTTGACTCCAAATCTTCCCCGTATTGAATTGCATTGTCTATCATCAGCAGAATATCACTTATGGAGTCTTCGTCTGTATTATCCAATGGAAAGAATTTCACTAGACTGTAGTCCTCTACCTGAAAAATGTTTTCCTCAACCATTATTGATAGTTTTTTTTTCTGAAACCACTGTGCTTTGATTTTAGTGTAACAACAGGCAACATAAAGCAAGCATGATTTGTCCTCATCTCTGAAATTCAAGAAAGCTCCTTATTTTAACAATCTTACCAGTCCTGCAATTGCAGTGTTAAGCTTCTGGAATTTGTTGCTCTTTATCTTGTGCTCAACTTCTTCATCTAGCAAAGCATGGAGGTCAGGTTCCAGGTACCTTTAAGAAAAAGAAGACAAAATTAATTTTTGCAAAAAGATAAAAAAAAAAGAATTGTATTGCATGAAACTTGTCATCATTTTTACTTAAGTTAGGTAGTTCCCTCAATCAATTACTAAATAATTCTTTGGAAAATTTCCCTTTTACCTCTCTAGATTCTTTTTGGCTTTTTTACTCAGCAAGTCCACTTTGGTCATAACATTGATATGAGGGACCTCCAGGTTGACCATTGCAGATAAAGCTGATAAAATTCCCGAGACAAACTTGGTGGCTTCATTTAGGAACTGGGAGTCGATGAGGAAGACGCCACACACACGAAAGTTCCAGTGTTGTAGCTGATCCACCAGCTGTTTCATCACTGGTATATGGGTATATAACTCAATCTGACCTGAAACAGTTTACATTATAAAAATTTGTCAGATTATGATGGCTGCATAAATTACTATGACTGAATTGGAATGAACTTTTTGTGTGAGAAAGATAAGAAAATGTATCATTTCTAGTACTGTACACAATTTACCTGGACAATCAAAAAGCACATAGTCATCTTCCAAGTCATCCAACTGCTCGAACAACCAATCAAAATTCTGAGCAAAGTACCTGGACAAGAACAGAAACATTTTATCAAATTTCTTGAAAACAACCTCCACTCAACTATATCCTTATTTCAACTACCGTTATAACTTATAAATAGACGCCTCTTTCTTTTTCTCCATAACATCTACTATATACTATGGGACAGATCATTAAAGCCATTAAATTAAATTCTGTATCAGTTAAACTAGTAGTCTATAATTACAGATCTACAAAAAATATCTAAAATATCAGTCTATTAAACTATGTCTACAGTCTATAAAAATATTCAACTAACTCCATACAGAATACCAATCCACCATTGGGGCCAAAGTGAAGTGACTCATCTTCCATTGCATCTTCCACACTGATCAGTTCACGGATATCTGTAGTAAAGTTGAATAATGAGCATGCAATGCGAAACTGATAGTCTAATGTAGATACATGTACTTCCTTACATATACATGTAAAATGTGTGACAGATGACAGTAAATTATAAAAAAATATATGTAACAATAATGTATCAATTACGTGTTTTCTTAAAATCTGTAATTTGAGTGAAGTAACTGATAAGAGATGAATTATAAAAAAGTGATTATGGCAATTTTTGCATTTAGATATTTGTCGGAACTACAGCTGGAACTAACCTGCATACAAAGGATAATCAAAGTACTCTGCTGCTGGATCCAGATTAATAACATGTACAGTCCTGCCTATACACTCACAGTGTTTTACAATGGTGCTGCAGTACGTGGACTGGAATGAAAAAAATTAAAAGCTGGGTTACTAAAGATAACCTTTAAGATTTGTTAATAATAAAAGGAGAAAGAATAGTAAACTAACTGCCTAGCTACATGTACATGTACATGTACATACTGTATAGTATGTATATATAAGATCATTTAATTATTTCGACTGACACTTACTTTCCCACTTCCTGCTGGACCCATAACAATCTGAGCATATCGCGGCATACTTTCACTATATTAAATATTCACATCTATAAACAAATGGCTTATAGTTCACGAATTAGCACAATAATGCCTAAAAACCCACGTGTAGAAAGTGCTGACATTTTTGTTTACGTCGCAAACATCAATAAAATCTGGATATAAACTGTATTAAATATCTGTACTAATCTTCTGTGTGGTCCCATGAAAAAATTCTTACGTTTAATGAAATTGATACATTTTCATTTAAGCAAATATTGTGTTAAATACGACGATTATGAATTTTATTTACATTAGTACAAGCGATAATCACGTGACATTGACTTTACTTCCGGTTTTGATAGGCGTACCGCCGGGTGGAAACTTTGGAAGTTTTGATAAATCCATTTAAATTTTGTCAACAAGAAAGGAGTAGAAATTTAAAGGAGATGCCGGTGAGCTATTTATTTGTTTTTATATGATACTTAAACTTTTGTAAACTACGTATTTGCACTTTGTGACTGAATATTTCCTAAGTGATACACCATTTCCTGGTCCAGAGAAAAAGAAGTTCAGAGTACCAGTAGTGGCTTTGAGACACTGTCAGTGTATCCTGAGTCATTTATGAATATATCAGTGCGAAAACTCTAAGAATTACTATGCTAGTTTTCTAATAGCATTTCTAATTTGTTATAAACAAATGCTCAACATACCTTTCTTACAATTATCAAATGCACTTGAATTGAAATTTGCAAACAAATATGCTTCATTGTGAACATAAACTATGGGCAGTATTTTGTTGCAGTTGTTGAAAATTTTAAAATCTATTTTAGATGCCAATGTACAATTTCATATTAGATTATATCAGAAAGGTGTACAGTATATGCTTATAAATCGATTTTGTCAGGCCTACCATTCCCAGTTTACCAGCCCACCCCAGATATTGGGGAACATGGCTTTGCTGCCACTGAGGACACAGTTTAAGGGGCCAGCACCCAAGGATAGTAAGTATAATGCCATTGTGCACAACTTCCAGTGCTTGCATTATTTTGAAGCTAATGAATAACACCTCAAATTAATTTGTCTGATGATAATGATTGTATGGAAAGAGCTTAAATATGACTCAATACATTGGAATGGTGGAAGTAAAGAACAGATGGTTGTTATGAAATCAATATAAAATATAAATGTGTATCAAAGGCAATGCCATACAGAAACATTCACTGAAATTTTATTCAGGAATAGTATTTGAAAGATATTAAATTTGAAGTGAAGTGCAATTTTTATCTGCCTCTTATATATTTGTGTATATGGGCATCAGCACAATGCATGCAAGAAAACAATAGATTGATGTTTTTTGTATGCAGCTGATTACTTTTCCCTTCTTGTAAAAGTAATAAAAATAAAATTTAAGTATGCACTACTGTTTTAGAGCTGATTCACTGTGCATTGCATTGGCAAGTATTTTTGTGGTTTGCATCACTGTAGTTGCCTTCAGTTGGTATATATTTGTGGCTTCAGATTTGACTTTCTTTTTTTTTTCTTTTCAGGTTCAGATTTTGATATTATTGATGAGGCACTCCACTTTTTCAAAGCTAACATTTTTTTCAAAAATTATGAAGTAAAGGTAGGTGTGATTAAGATTTCATCTGTGTCAACAATACAGCTCTGAATGTGACTTTAAACAAATATGCCCTCAAATGCAATCATATTGATCTTTAGTCTTGAACCAAAGTTGAAAAATTCTAAAAGAAAAGTCTACAAGAAAATTAGTCTTGTATTGTTATTTGCCAGGTTTATAGTCAATGCTGTGACAATGAAACCAGATTTCACAGACAAATTAAAAATTCATGATTTTGCAATTTCAGTCTGAAGCTGATAGAACCTTAATTTACATTACTCTGTACATCACTGAGTGCCTCAAGAAACTTCAAAGGGTATGTACATTGTATAGTCACAGTGAAGTGATTGTAATTATTTTATTTTATAATGGTCTTGCTTGAATTGAAATCTACCAATTCAAATATCAGTAACATTAATACAGAGACAGTATTGATTTTTCACAAAAGTAACAGCACCTTGTTCTAAAACTAATGCATTCTGAAAAATGCACTATGCTTTATATGACTCAAGTTTTGGTGATCCTTTCTTGACAAATTCAGAATATGTCACATTTTAACTGGTGTGTTTATAGGCTATATAGTGGCTTTCTATGCCAACTCACAACAAACACGGCAAATAGCAATCTCTAGATGAAGATATTTTGCCATATTTCACTTCTGTCACAAATGTCCACTGATGCTTGACTAAATAAAGAAACAAACTATAAGCCCAAGTGCATTTTTATATCTTTTAGAAAAAAGTCGGTTTTCTTTATACTGTAATGTTTAATTTGGGTGTTCATTATCTTTTCAGTGTACATCAAAGAACCAGGGCCTGAAAGAAATGCACACACTTGCAGTATCTAGATTCGACATTCCAGGTGATGCTGGCTTTCCTCTTAATGCAATGTACACCAGACCTAGTGGAAGACAGGAAGAAGGTACATGCAGTGTGGTAAAAAATGAGACACTTTACAGATGAAGGCTGTTGTTTGGTAACATAATATTTCAAAGGAAAGGAAGACATGGGAAGACCTGTCAGCATTGGAGGCCTTTTATGTTTTTAGGCATCCAAACTGACCTAATTTACATTACCTGGCAACATATGTCTTGTTGAAAGTTGTTGATATCATCTATGAGGCACACATTGCTAAATGTGACATTAATCTCAAGGAAAATTGATAAGTACCTATGTAGTAAAGTCACACACCATCTATTACAAATAACACTATTTTACATGATTTTACCAATAACACTTCTGGTTTGTCTTTTCCTCCAGATAATATGAGGGCATACTTTACACAAATTCGCCAAGAATGTGGAATCAGAGTTTGCGAGAAAGTGTTTGACCCTGCTACAGATAAACCTTCAAAGGTAAAAGTTTTTCATTGGTTTGGAAGTGTAAGATTGCAATAAATATGACATTATTGCTAAAATACTGTGAAAGAGGTTTTATTTTCTCTCGATAAGATGATTTAACAGAATTACTTAAAGACTAAATAATGAGTCAAGGCTCTTGTTATTAAGCCCCTAGATATGGAATAATTAATTAATGCTAAAATATTAGAAGATTAAATTATTGACATTGTATGCACAAGACTTTGGTTTGTTTTAGTAAGTTGACTGATATTCAAATAATATATTTTCAGTGGTGGATGTGCTTTGTGAAGAGAAAATTCATGGACATGAGTCTTTCAGGGCCTGGACAATAAACATTAGGAATGCCTTGTATAGAAAAGGACTATTAGTTGCCAAATACATGATGTTGCTGGAGCTTGAATATGAAGTTGTTAAAGAAGGATGTTAAAGTTATATTAATTAAACTACTATTGAGGAGCATATGTAACAGTTGCATTCAAATATGACTTGAGAGACAATTTAATAATTGCATTATATCAGCAAATTTATGAAATGTACATAGATTTTATTTGCGGTATTAAGGGGATTGCAATTTTGCCATGTGTTAAATGTATTTTCAGCAAAGGAAAAAAGTTGAATTTTAAACTGTAAGATCTCTTTTGGAGAATTTTACATGGTTCAGTTACATCACGTTACATGCCTGTTAGTCTTAGAAGAAAATCCCATCAATTTATACAATAAATTTATTACTGTACATTCAAAGCAACTTTTTTACATGATACTTAACACAATTTTAATGTGGTTGAACGTCTCAAATCTACTTGCCTCTTCCCATAATATTCATTTATATGCGTGATTTAAAATGGTACCCATCATGTTGGCACAGATTTCAAGCTAGGTCCTCAAAAAACTGAAATATACAATACCATGGGTATGAAGTTGTATGGATGCTGAATATGATATTACTTTACACAGAAATCTGTTTATGTTGGAAAGAGTTCAAACAGGACAATACATCATGATCAAGGCACGTCTGGTTAGCAAGCAGTTCCTCAAGCTGGGTACACAATTGTATGTCTCTCATTTCAACTGAGCAAAATCCTGGATACAATCAATACATTGCCACAGTAACATTTCTGATGATTGCACCTTTTTCGTGATTCAGCAGTTTGCAAAAGAAAAGAAAACATTCTACTTTTTGGTGATCAACAAAAGCTGTTCCTATATCGCTGGCATTTCCATGTTTCACTAAAACGTAACTTTCCTCTTCCTTCCTGTATATTTTGAGTCTGGTCCTACTTTTCTGAAAAATACAAATCAATTAAAATACAACTCTAATAAAAACAATAATTAAAATAGAATTAAGATAATGAAACTAAGTGATGGTTCCATAAAACAGGTTCATGGAAAAGAAATATGTCATTTTTGAAATAAGAAGCTGACAAAAATGTCAATTACATATCTTTACATCAAGATCTGTTTATTTCCATTTCCCATCACACAATAACTTAAAAAAAAAAAAAAAAAAAACTTTCTGAGGTAAGATTTACTTACTTTCCTTGATGCCTTGCTCTCTCCTTTTTCTCCATGACCCAGTCACGACTTTTTTTAGGGTGCTTCCCCCTGCGCTCCTTTATTCTGTCCCTGAATAAGAAATAGTGCTCAAATATGAAAATATTAAATGTCAGTAAATGAGAGACATATCCAATAATGGATGGTATGCATCTTGTACAAATGAACAGTCTGGGGTGGAACAATGGCTTTTTATATTGATAAATACAAAGTGTAAGAATTTTAGAGTCTTACCTTGTGCCACTGTAGGCTATTTTATTGACCATCTCATTTGAAGATGTCCCCAAACCTTTTGGCAAAACCTGGGAGGGACCCCCAGCAAATAAACACAAAAACATTCTGGAAATTGAATGAAATTTGGAAATGAACACATCTATCACAGACATTTCCTTTCCTTTCAATTAACACATACAATTTTTGCATAATTTTACCATACTTTTACAAATGGTGCTGCTTGAATAATGGTGCTTAGAAACGACTTCATTAACACTTTCTGTTGAATCTCTCTCATCAGATTATGGAACATTTGTCCAAAAACGTCAATGAGATATACAATTTTACTTAAATGGAAAACCACAAATTTCAAACTTACTTTTTACTTTTAGTACTATTTGGAAAGTCAACAACCAGGCCCCCTGTAAAGCCTGCTTTCATGGCCTGCATTGTTAAAAGTTCAAGCTGAAACCATAAAAACTGATAAATAATCAATTGTAAAACCCCCATAAATAAAAAAAGAAAGAAAGAAAAAAACCTGATACATGTACTTTTTCCTCTCTCCATTTGCACTAAAATTCCTCCAGTGGCTGAGTGCTAAACCCAATTTCATTGAGGCTGAATAGCCCATCCTGTTAAAAACACTATCCACTGGATAAATTTGTTATTCTTTGGAAGGTTATGCTGTGGGTAAAGTAACGTTTCCCAAATACTGGATACTTTTTTGTCCCCGATGTTGTTATCCAGTAGTNTACAGACACATCTGTGTCTGTACATAAAAATGACCCCTATTCTGATAAAACTGGACCCAGATGTATAAGTTTCATATGCCCACTCCATTACACTTATCAATTTTCACTGTTTTTGCTCCTGAAACTGTCACTGCATCCATAAGGGAATGGTCTATAGTGTGAATATGTAATGTGACATTTCATTATGTATTTAATTATATTAGTTCTTTTCAAAATGACCTTTAAAAATCATGTAAAAAACATTTAGCAACAGTTACTCAAGATTATGATACAAGGGTAATATGCAGTGAGAACTGGCAAATAATTATCTAAGAAATGCATTTGGATAGTTATTTGAGGTGTAGATGGCAATGGGCATTAAAGCCAATCCTCAGAAAGTTGTCAGTTTGATATGGAAATCATACCTGTTCACTATTTTCAGGATACAACTGGAAAACTGCTCTTGTCCCTCTGCTCTGAAATATAATTTAAAAAATATCAAAATAAAACTTGTGAGCTGCATCACTCTCACCTATAATTTAACATGTCAGACAGAAATTAGAAACTCTTCCTGAAATCTTAAAATGTATAGAATCCTTACCATAGATGCATACAAGGTACTGAAAAACTTGTACATTCTTTTTGGTGGACTGTGAAACTTCTTATCAGCATTGCACAACCACTGTAAAGCAGATATGCTGTTGAAAAGAACAGAAAATGCATTAATCAAACATTTATATGTAACTATGTGTCATTAAAAATACATTATATCAAACCATACCTTAAAATCTGTACATTTACAATTGGTTATTCTGCTATCGTTCAATGAAGCACAAATCAAAAACATAAAACATCTATTTAGTATGAAAACCCAAGTGTTAATTCTATAACACTGGGGTGGTGTGTCGTCTAATCCTGCAAATATTTTTAGACTTTGTTTGAATTTACTGGCCAAAGGACCAACAGCCATTTCATGCCACTATCCTGTTAACTCAATAAAGGACATCCCCCAACCCAGGACACCCACCTGATAACACCATCAAATGTGCCTGGTCTAAACGACATCCCCCAACCCATGATATATACCCACCTGATAACACCATCAAATGTGCCTGGTCTAAACGACATCCCCCAACCCATGATATATACCCACCTGATAACACCATCAAATGTGCCTGGTCTAAAGGGCATTCCCCAACCCATATCACCCATAAGAAGGTCACCCTCAATTTCTCTCTCAACTGCTACATCTGAAATGTATCAATGTATTCCAATTTTATGGTGGAACAAAATTTTAAAATTTTTAATCTAAAATTCAATCAATTTGCATTTCTAATATTTCATATGGCTAAAACCAGAGGACAAAAAAACCAAACAAACGACATTAAGGTTGTTTTAAAGTTTTACCTGAAAAAGATAATTGCATAAAATTTCCACTATCTGTAACATATGTATCCAAAAGAAAAAAAAATCCTTACCCAGCATGTGTTGACTAATGTCAATTCCTAACCACATGTGCCCCTGATCTGATAAGCACTCGCCACTTAACCCAGATCCACACCTTCAAAAGTAAAAAAACAAAACTTTTAAATAGCGTATCAAATATTTAAATCTCTCTCTCTCATTGCTGCTAATTCCTCGCTTTAAGTTCCAGTTGATTTTGATATGAGAGAGAGAGAGAGAGAGAGAGAGAAAACATTTGTCCCTGAATGTGTGTGTATGCATGTGTGCTTTTGTTACCCAATATCCAAAATAAAACATGGCTGGTCCTCAGGTAAAGCAAGTAGTTCTATGGCTCTCTCTGACATCTGCTGCTGTATTTCAATCATGCGAGAACTGCAAAGGAGAAAACTTATGATTACAACTGTTGCCATATTTTCAATATCAATGTCCATTATCAGACATGGACATTCGACTTTCATTTTTTAATGATTAAAAAAAAGCAATAACATACGGAGCACATTTTTGCACCATTAATTTAAATCAACAGACTTTGTTTTTTAACAACTAAAAAATTATCATCAACCCAGGACAACCCTCATACATACTTGGATGTGTACTTCCTTGCCTCTTCATCATTGTAGAACTGTAAATAAAGAAAATGTTAAAATCTAGAGGGTGCCTCCCAAATATAAACCACATACAGGGTATAAGCCCAACAGAGGGACAATTATCAAGTGATGATTTTTGATGTGGAGCGAAAGAGAATGAAGACTGGACGGATTTGAGATTTGAAGGGCAAATAGATTTTTAAATATCATATATAAGATTATTGATAAAACATAAAGACATAAAACTAGCGAAATAAAGATATTTCAGATTTATAATCATACTTCAGGGCTTAACAGTAAGGATTGCCCACTTGCCCAGGGCAGGTGCACAGCCATTTCAGCTATTGAGTCCACCCAACTGAATGCTTGCCTGTTCAGGCAAGTGATAAAATAAAGCAAAAGACTGGAGATTTTATCAAGAATCCTCATAAACACTGAATCAAAACTTCACTTAAATTTTGAATTGCATATGGCAGCAGCCATCTTAACTTGAACGTATTCCCATATTCTCATTGGTTGAAAGTGCTTAGTTCAGCAGTAAGCAGATCAAAGCCGTTAGCGCTTACTCGACTGGTTTGTGCGTGCATGATAGGAGGGCTTTCTTAAATTTTCATAGGGAATGAAATGATATCTTATTGGATTAATGCTATCGCAACTCCAAAAAGACCCTTTTGATAACTGTACTGTAAAATTTTCATTTTTCTATACCTTTTTGTTGGAAGTAACCCATTGAAAAAAAAACAAAAAACAACTAGTTCATAAAATATCAACATAAGAAATGCAAATTATTTGAGCATCTGTGGAAGAAAAGATTGATGAAATCAAGAGACAAAATAGACACTGGTGCTAAACTTAGGCGTAGGTAAAAATTTTCTTCGTCAAAGAGAAATTTGTTTTCTACATTTACTAACCACTGTTGAAAACAGGTGAATGTCCTATAAAACTGCACCTGGGGCAAATCTTCAAGGTATATTTACTGGCTAGTTCAAACATTGCACCTTTTATAGACTATTGCTAGGTCAGAAAAATTTAGAGACTGTATATTCACAATATATTCACTTCCAATGCCCCATATGGAAATCTTTGGCATTTTTACAGGATCAGATGCATTTGTCATACAAAGGGTGTGTTTTCTATTTCAAAATACAACAAAACATCCATATCCAGCAACTTATAGGTAGCAGGTTTTGTACAAATCTGAATTTCTTACCAATTCTGGTGGTCCTTTGTGCTCTGGTCTCTTGCCGGACGCCATGCAGAGTTATAGTAGTGCAGCAGTGTCTGTTTTGAAAATTTAGAAACCTAAGAGGGAAAAAACAAACAATACATGAAAAAGTTTGATGCTACTTTTGGGTATAATGCAATTTATGTTTCCCACCCTTAAACAAACAATTGCTTGTATTATGTATACTGGGTAATTACAGTAAGTTGCTTGGCCCACATTATCTAAAATGTAAATGTGAGAGAGTTTTTTGTCAGGAAATAAACCCAGACAGGCCTCATAAACCATAATTGCTGTATACACTATGTACTAACACTAGCCTCAGTTTTAGGAGCATAAATGCCCAAATTAACAACTCAAGCCATGAATTAAGTACCCCAGGTGAAATTAAGAGACAAACACACAGTATCAGATTGTTTGGTGTTGTAAAGCTGTGCTCATGGTTACTTAAATTTATGTTTGGATACTTGATTGGTTTGAGTCCTAAATTTTTGGTTTTCCTGCACAAAAATCTGATGCTTGAGTTTGTAAATGCCTAATTCATATATAAGGCCTGCTCACATCCCGTATATGTACTTCTTGCCTTCAGAGGTTAGTTCATGGCAGTTTTTAATAGGTGCACATGTACTGAGTATCATTTGGTTATATCTCCTTGTGTCCAGCATCATTACTCTCCAAAATAAATACTCTCCCTCAGGGGATAACAATGAGAGAGCATAAAGAGATTTTACATTGGCATAACTATCGACAGACATGTCCTACTCGAGAGGGTGAAATTTAAAGATATGAAGGGCCCCAATTCATACAAATGAGTTGCTGGCTGACCATCATTTTACAGTTAAGTGTACAATATCAGAAAACTTAAACAAGAGTGCATGTACTGTACCATGTACTAGTATGGTACGTACTATAATGACCAGTGCAGCAGTGTGACACATTCCAAGGCAATGGGTTAGATGAAACTGGGAATAATATAATGTGGTCCACAGCAAAATGTGATAAGAGAGCTGGAAGTCAGCATACGGAAATGGCAATGGATTTATGGATTTTATAAAGCAAGTTGATCACGTCCCCCCCCCCCCCCAAAAAAAAAAAAGTCAACACACACACATGCACACATACGCCGACTAGAAACTGCATCACAACAGAGTGGTACCTTGGTTTGAGACACACTAGAGTTCCCTTCGCGAGCAATCTGTTTAACAAAGAGCGTCACCCGTCCAAACGATTTTTTTTTTACTTTATACAAGTGGTAAACCAGAATTTTACCATACATGCCATCCGCTGCAGTTTGTTGCACATGTTGTTTCGTATGAAATATGGCTCAGTAATCATTAATTTAATGTTTTTATTCTCCGATATTTAATAAGTACATATCAAATTTCGAATAGATGTCTTTATAAATACATTTGATGATAGTTTAAATAATCAACATACTTATAATAAACGCTGATAATCTCAAAAATTCGTATTACAGCTCATCCATCAATCTCAGTTTTATATATTTCAATCTCCGCATACAGCCTCACTTTCACTCGCAACTAAGTTGGAAAATATATTGATGGTGCTTACACAACGCAGTCTTTTCCTTCCTATGTGTTGTGCTGTGGGTGAAACTGCCTCTTGCATGTTGATTGGTGTATGATCTTGTTAAATACGACGCTGTGCATATGTCATCGTTACTGAACAGGGCGTTTAAATCTGGTATGTACTGGTTAACGTAACTTAGTAATACGGTATTACTAAGTGTCTGTAGACTCTATTTAACCCTGTCTATCTCAACCATCAGCCATTTAGTTGCTTTATAAGTGTATCCCGATGACCTGGCCTTCGAAAAGGCTGCAGGCGTTCAACACTCACTAGATATGCTAGTCTCAGCATACTAGATGTGTTAGTATGGTAGTAAACATACAGAAAATTAAATTCATAATTTTCAATAACGCAGCTAGGACATACTCTCAACAATCACAAATTTTCTTTGGGTGACAAATGGTTTGATGTCTGTAATGAATACTGCTACTTATATTAGGCTTTATCTTCACTTCCTCTGGAAGCATCTCAAAAGGCATGGAAGCCCTTAAGGAAAAGGCGTAAAATCGGGCTTAAACACTTCTGTTGAATGAAAATGCCATAGAAACACCTATATGCCATTCCAGTATTTGGCAAAACCTGGATGTAAAGCAGGATAGGACATGAAAGAAGCCATGCCTAATAGTTCATCATTTATTTTCTGAGATTTTGTTATATGGTCTACATGGGGGAATTTATGAAATTCGTCAAAAATACTCAACCAATTTTGTTCATTTTTTTTTTAATTATGGTAGATTATGGTGATATTCTTAAGTTATTTTAAATTTCTGGTTTTTAGGTTCATTAAACAGGTTAATTGATTAACCAATCAAGATGAAAGCTAAGCATTGATTAAAATGTAGCACTATGAATTTGTACATGTTAAATTATCTGAGTTTTTGCAGCTACGCAGGTAAGGTCTCGGAACACCCTTCAGTGTACAAAAACACCTGAGGCTTGATATGACATCACTTACAAATGGCATGTGTAAGTGCTTAGACATTTCATTTATTCAAAATACCTGTAATAAAAACATTAAATCGTTATCAAACTGGTGGGGGGTTATAAAAGACAAAGGGACTTTAAATTGCCAATGACATACTAAAAAGGGCTATTAGTAAGTTGGCAGAACATGGATATTTATAGCCTGGATAGCTTGTACCACATGGTGTAAGAGGCCTGACCTGTGGTAAGGCCAAAAACTGAGGCAGCATGTTAAAGGAAACACATTGAATTAATAACAAGGAAGATGTGTGTCCACACTTATGGACACCATGTAGAACTGTAATTGATTCTTCAAAACAAATAAATTTTGATTTCTTTTTGCAGGGACCACTTTCCTAAGAGTTAGATGTTTGAATTCACACTTGCTAAAGATACGTTGCTACACAAAACCTCCAGACACACATGGAGCCCAGCACTTCAAAAAGCCCCCTTTAACGTCTTGTAAGGATTCTCCTGATTCCCACAGCCAGGAAAGAGATGACCATAGAACTCCTAGAAGAGCTCGACACAAGACCCAACATCCATCTGAAAATGGAGCTCATGAGAGAAGTAAACAGGAATCCAGGGGACCCCATGATGGTGACCAAGGACCCCATGATGAAGGTCACCAAGGACCCCGTGATGAAAGTCACCAAGGACCTCGTGATGAAGGTCACCAAGGACCCTGTGATGAAGGTCACCAAGGACCCCCTGACAAGCACCATAAAGATACTTCTAAACAGACTCACTTATACAAAATTCTAGGTATCGAACCTACAGCGAGTCATGCACAAATTAAATCTGCATACTACAAGAAGTCAAAGATCTATCACCCAGATGTGAACCAAACTGAAGAGGCTGCTGTCAAATTAAAGGAAGTTCAAGATGCCTACAAAGTGCTTAGTAATCCAGCCCAGCGCAAAGTGTATGATAGACACATACCTTATGAATTTAGCAGAAAACAATTGACAGATGATGATTTTACTGATATGGATAGATATTTCATAAAAACATATATTACAAAGCACAGACCGCAGTATGGAAGAATTGAGTACTATAAATTTAAGGAAAGACATGCAACCCTGCAATATCAGGCTATGGAGAGAAATTATAAATGTCACTTGATTCAGATGGAATTTGAACGTGAACAGCGTCTTAGAGAAAAGGCAAAGAAGAATAATCAATATTATACAATGACTGATTTTGTGGATACAGCACTACCTCCAGCACAAGGTGCTTTTATTTTATTGTTCGCTGTGGTTATTGGTATGAAATTGTTTGTATTTATCGAGGAGCAGACGGAAAGAAGAAGAAAAAGACAAGAAAGGAGAAAGGCTCGATTAGCTAAAAGCAAGAACCTGCAAATTACTGCAAATAATAAATAAAAGTTTGATTTGATTTTACATATTTTTGTGAAATTTACACATTGCAGTACTCCTTGTTAACTGAAATCTTGATACAAGTGGCAAATGCTGAGGAGTAGCAGATAATCATTAAAGCTGTGCTGTTCAAGCACTTTTAAATTATCTAGCTAGATTTAATTTATGGTTTTATTGCAATAAAAAACCTCTCAGTTGTAAATGTGATAAACTGTTTTAATTATATGATGCACTCTCAGAGTACGTACATATATTTTCATAAGTTTCCAGTAAACCTTGGCACACTGTTGCAAACACTGTTCACTGATGAAGTCCCAAGTGTTGGGACAAAAGCTCTCGTGTGCACTTTCAGCTATTGTGTAGAAGTTAAACAGTTTTAAAGTTAATCATTATCCTAAAGTTGTTTGATATTTTTTGACACCTTTGTTTTCTGGATACAACAGAAAATAGAAACTGGACTCCTATTTGGACTCCCTGTAACTGCTGTCCTGAATTTAGCTTCATAACTTGACTATCAAAAGGCAAAAATAATACTGGACACTCGTAGATTTGCTAGATGTTATGCAGAGACTCCGATGTTTTGTCTTTTATCACAAGGACCCATTCAGGGAACTGTCATTATAGGTGACACTGCTGGTTGTATTGCAGTCATCAGATATTTACTCATATTAGAGAATCTGGCCGCTCCTTTGACATAATAAGAGGACTGGTTCTGGAGAGGAGCCAAGGAGACCATCTATGAAAGGATAGAGAAACCATCACTGAACAAGAGGGGTGGGATGTGTCTCCAGCTACACTGTGTGTGGGCGTTTCTGTGCCGAATGTCGACTGATGACTGCAATACCACCAGTAGTGTAGGGAAGCCTCCTCTTGAAAGCTGGTGAGTATACGAGTGCATTGGAAAGAAGAGGAGGCATGTTAATCTGCAAATTTGATTGGATTCAGTAAGAGTCCCCACAGAGTTTGGGCCCATTGTCTCCTGTTCATACCAGAGAAAATCTGTGTTGGGTTCAAATTTAACTGTTTAAATTTCCCTTAGCAGTATGATATGCTTTTTGTGTGTTATGTCTTTGCAAATAATCCATGAACAACTTTCAAGATAACCTAAGCTCTAGATTAAGCTCCTAAAGCTTGAGAGAATTAAATAAAGCTGTGCAGGTGGATTATTGCTGAGCTGGTGATCATCTCATTGCAAAGATCATGATTCTTCCAGAACTTGTTACCCCAGCTAACACAGGCTATGTTTTCATTTGTGGCAATTTGTACTTTCTTTATCAACGAGATATCTCAGAGCTCCTCACAAATTTTGGTGAAATTTCTGTTCGGACATTTACTAAGAAATTTTAATTTGAGTATTGGACTCAAAAAGAGCAACTACTGCATTTCAGTAGAACAGGTCTTTGTATACAGCCTCTCATTTCCTAACTCAGAAGGAATGCATCATAACTTTCAAAGTTTGAAAACCAATATTTAACAAAAACTTTATTGTCAGTCTCAAATAAACAATGTTAAGATGACAAAAACATTAAAGGTACATTTGAACCAGTGGAGCATGGATTCCCAAGAAGGCATATGAACTACTACTAGTTTCTAATACGACTCAAATGAAGTCAACAAACCAAATGATAAAATCTCAGCCATCAAAGAGATTTTTGGTTGTAAATATGACCTACTTATCTGGTCCATTTATAAACAATGAAACAAAAATAATGATTATTACCAATAAATGAAAATTAAAGGTTGTACACTATTAAACACAGCAGAGACATGTCAACTGTTAATATTTATTTTGTTGACTTTTCAAATTGGTGGACTTCTTCCAATATGCTTGGACACAAACTTCATAGCTAGTGTTGCAAAGTTTAAATGTACTAGAAATATAGTCACAAATGTGGAGAAAGTTGCTTTATTTATTCCTATTATCCTGGTAGACATTATTATTTAAAAATATCACAACTGACACAAGTTAACGGGGGGTTTACTGAATACTATTTTTTGATAATTTCTAATTATCAAAGAACATTTTTTTACACTAAAGTAAAAAATGGTATCATTGCTCATGTCTGCATCTTCATAGATTTAAACAGTTATATAATGATAGCATGACTGCAGCTCTTGTATCATTACTGCTATTCACATCATGCTGTTCAGTCCTCATCTCAAGGTAAAGTCACATCCCCTTTGCTGGACAGATTAATAAGTTTTAATGCACGTAGCACCTGAAAGAACAGAAATGAGAAAAACTGTTCCACTTATTAATTCCTCAAGTCATTTTTCTTTTTTTTTTTTTTTCAGAAAAAGTTTTGTTCTTAAAGCACTAACAACTAGAGGATCAGAGAGGCGATACCGCCTCCGAATGTTGTACCACCAGCTGGGGTAAGCGCGATCGTATAGACCCATACACACAAAAAAGGGACACCACCACCAGTCTTGTGCTTGACAAGCTGTAAAAAATGCAATCAACAAGAATTCTCAAAATATGCAAAAAAAATATATATAACTAAAAATGGTACAATCAAAGTTCAGTCCATAGTAAGATAGGTCAAAGGTCAATTTCAAGGTCACAGTAAATTTCCAGTATATGACTTCCTATTCAAGTTCAATAGTAACTATGGACCGATCTCTGCCAGTTTTGGAGATAAAAGGGAACCAAAATTTGTAAACTTCATATCATGATGAAAAGTAGGTCAAAGGTCAATTTCAAGGTCACACTTAGATTGCCAGTATATGACTTCCTATTCAAGTTCAATAGTAACCACGGACCTATCTCTGCCAATTTTGGAGATATAAGGGACTAAATGTTATAATTTTGGAGTTACCATAATGTGCCATAAATTTCATACAGAAAAAAATAATTAAAATAAAGAAAAGGTCATTTTGGTCAAAATTCTTGAAATGTGAGGTGCTCTGAAGTTCCAAATGTTCAAATTTGATGAAATAATGTCATTTTTGGCCACAGGTTGTCTGCCTCGCCAAGCCTTATGTTTTATTATTTGGGAGTTCAAAATTTATTATCCATTACCGTACTGCACATTTTGCTTTCACCACCAATATGTACTTTTTGATACAGCGTAACTCGAAAACCGTATGGAATACAAAAAAACGGAGACCACTCCCAGTGTTGGGCTTTACATGCTCTACAAAATGCAAAAAAGAATGGGTCTCTAGCACTAACGGTTCCCGAATTAGAGACAGTTTTCAGTGTTGGTATCTTATGGCCGCTACTCCCGTGAAAATGCACCGATCGACCCCAAATTCACAGAGATGAAAGATGACCCAAAGGGTAACACTTACCAATAATATTATTGGTTAAGTCTGTGTAGTGTCTGAATAACAGCGCAAAAAAATTTTTTTTCGTAAAAAATTTCGTTTTTTTGAAAATTTTTGCCCGTTTGACCTTGAAATAAAGGTCAAAGGTCAAATCCAAGGGCATATTTGAAATCTACACGTATGACTTTTGGAAAGCTGTCTGTAGAAATTTTTCCCATAATTCCTTCCCTAGGGTAGATAATTAGCATTTAATTTTGCCATTTTTGGACAAGGGTGCATTGCAATGAGTGCCACACCTAGACCCCAATACCGACAAAGCCCAAATTTTATGTGGAACAAGTTGAGATGACCTAAATCCAAGAGATGGGTACGCAGGCCCTAGTAGTCTAGGAGGAGAAGCGGTAACGGTAACTTGGCGGCGGAGCCGCAGGAGCCGGCGGAACATACGGGTCGGGACTAAAACCATGTGTACCGCCAGCGCCTACGCTGGTGGTACAATAAAAATTTCTGCACCAATAATACTTTGTTTTACTTATTTTTACACATGAAAAAGTATTTGAAATAAAAGGTTGTGACAAAAACCAAGTTCCATGCATACTCCACCTTTAGTTTGGCTTCCCCAGTTTGTCCAGTTATTCTTAGCCCCATTTTATGCATTTCTGCAGTAGTCAGTGGCTTACTATAAAGGAATGGAGCAAATCGTTAGTCTTTTTGTTTGAAAAGACAATTGTACTTGACTATTATAAACCCTTAGTTCCATATCGTTTTTATGTAAAGCAGCAACAACACCAACCTGTTCCCTTCTTCTTTAAAATGGTCCCACAGCCCTTGATATGTCTAAAAGTGCAGAAGGAATACAAATTTTCACAATATGTGTATCATTCAGACCTACCCTTTTTGGTACAGATGGAATTGCTATATTATTTTTATTATTGTTAAAACTCTTTTGTCAATAAAATTGGGACCAATATCAGTAAATTGGAGGAAAATTATCTTGTTACAAATTTGAATTTGAAGCAAATAAATGATATTACTATATTTCATCATATTGCTGCTTGAGTCAACACATGCAAGAAAAACATCTGAGAACAAACTTAGAACAAGGAATGGCTAACTCAATTCACACACTTTATTAACATCTTCCAGCTTGACTCTCCCCCGAATAAGATTTGAAACTGACAAAAACTCTTGTTCTGTGACTTCAAGGAAATCGTTGCTTTGATTTTCCCTTGTTTCCCTAGCTGACAATACTGGAAAGTTGTTGCCTGCTTCTGAAATGTTTGCAAAATAAATCTGCATAAAACATTATGATCCTAACAGATAAAATATGAGTGAAAACAATTGATGAGTGTTTTCAAAAACTTTATTATAAACAAATATACACCAATCTAGAGAAATTAGGTATATTTACAAACACAAACGCACTAGAGAAAAATACAAGAATCCAAAGCTGGTTGCAAATCATGTTTGTTAAAGTCTGCTAGCCTAGTGCTTACAATAGGATGTCTTGTTTCTTTACATGTGAAATGACAAAGATAATAATACAATCTATGGACTCATTCCAAATGAAACTATAGTTATACATATATCGATTTTTGCTGAATGCAATCAGATAAACAGATTGACACGCCTCCGCTTGTAACCAACTTACTCACATAATCACCATCTTTTCTGTATTTCACTCAACGCCAAATGGAGGTGTGTTGATCTGTAAATCTGACTGCAATGAGAGCCCCCATGGAGTTGAATTGATCTATGGAGAACAATAGTTTTAATGAGAATCGGACCTATAAAAAAAGTACCTGCTACTGAAGGTGCTACCCTTTGGTTTGCACTGGATCCTTCATCTGGATCCTGAGCCACTGCCTGAGAATCTTGATTACTATCAGATTGTGTCTTCTGTGCTTCTACTGATGGCAACTGAACACCTAGGAGACTTTCTAAGTTATGAAGTTCTGCTGATTTTTCACTTTCCTGAAAGGCAAGACTGGAATCATACATGCACCATACCTATAAACAGATTATCCAGAGAGCCTCAACAACATCAAAGACACTGTCCAAGTTACTAGTCAGACATATCACATAAATCACACATTCTAGGTGCATTTTCCACTACCGGCTATATGCATCCCTTCATTTTTCCTTTGCATAGAATTGCAATTTTTCAGGAATCAAAAGATTAATTTTATCATTTTAAAGGATAGAAAACATCATTGGGATAGTCGTGATTCCTGATGCTGTATAAGAGAGCTGACCTACCTCCATCCCTGCTTGGTTTTGTAGTCTCTGAAGTGCCTCACATGCCGACATCAACTGAGTCTGGAAGAAGGTCACTGCTTCCTATAAAACAAAGACTTAACATTCAAACAGTTACAATCCTTAAGAGCTTCAAATTAAACCCTCTCAACACTGAGGGACACCCATTACTCTGTGACAATAAATTGTTACTTTATAACAACTTCATGGCAATAAGTACAGCTGAACAATAAAGTCAACCATGCAAAGGAAATTAACATTTATATAGCTTATGAATGTGGTTCTTTCGATTAACGAACAATCACAAACCTTTTGTGCATCCTTAATAGCCTCTGCTTCTTTAACAAGTACTGAATATTCCTTTTTGATGTCTGCAATTTTCTCAAGCATTTTTGCTGGGTTAGGCTTTCAAGATATAATGAAAATAAAGTCTTAAACTTTTACATATATATATCAGATTTGGATCAAGATCAATTTGAGTTCTATTTTCAGTTATTATTACAAGTGATCCACAATATTAACACATACAAAACAGCACCTATAAACATAGTCTACACTTTCTACAATTATTATCTACTAAGGGTGCTGGAGTCAGAAAGGCTATTATGACCACCTTATCAAGTTATGTATGTGTATGCTTGTAGAAGTTTGCTATCAAATGCAAGATTGCTGAATGGCAGATGGTTTGACAATTTATAACACATGAGTATAATAATACTATTTGTTTTGAAATATTGCATCAATCAGCAGAAAAAAATACCCCTGGTTTTTTAGCAGTGTGTGACGTGTAGATACAGGCCTAGTTAAAGGAAAAAGTTCAGACTCTATTGTAACAGTCTGTACTGATCCCCTTACCTCTATTCTAATATGAAAAGGTAAAGAAATGTTTTAGGCCCCATTCCCATACCTAAATCGATCTAGCAGGATCAGTCCGTCTTTGAGGGGATTCTCGCAAAATTGCACTCAGCTTAAGTGGCTTAGATGTCCTGAACGCCTATTGAACTTGCCATACCATACTTAATTACCCCTTAACAGCTTCAGTAGGTGTGCCAGACATCTAAGCCACTTAAACTGAGTGTAATTTAGTGAGAATCTCCTCGAAGATGAACCGATCCTGCTAGATCCATCTAGGTATGAGAATGGGATCTAAGATTTGTCATTCTGACAAAATGGTTCAGTTTCACTTCGCTTTCTATTACAAGGTGTGCTTATCAAATGATAAATGATAAATGAGAATTGGGATGTGAGTTGAGGTGGTTAAAGACATAACCGTGCTACCTGTGTGCTGTGTTCTGCATCTGCTGCAAATTCTGTGTCCAGCTTCCTTGAGATATAATTCAGATCAGAATCCGCCTTCTGGAACTGTACATTTATTGTTTAAGATACGATATCCAAACTTTTCATTTTTACCGATGCCTTTTAACGACTCATGAAAATGATTCAAAACTAAAATCAAAACTAAAAGACGTTATCTTATTAAAGTTAACATTATTCTAGTACTAAGTAACTTTGAAGATTTACACATACCTGTGTGACTCGGTGTATGTCGCAGTTTGTGTAGTCAAAAGTAGTAAGTTCAAAAAGCCTCATCATTTAATGTCACTTTAAAGATAGTTAATGGTAAACATACCTTTAAAAATACGACAGTACATCTTTGTCAATTACTTACATAAACAAAAAATTGGGAAAATTACTAACCATTGCCTCCAACTTATCTACTGCTGCCTCCATTTTTGTGTACAACTGCAACCATGGCATTGATTGGTCAGTGAGATGTCTGGAGCATTATAATTGGTCAATCGACATTTGGCAGGAAGTTCAATTCAAGCACCTGTGTCAGCGACCAGAATTTTAAGTTATTAGAGTTGGGTGCAATGCTTCTGGTTATTCACTGTAAGTGATATTGTTCATAAGAAAGGCATGGTATTTTATATGCAAACATGAATAATAATATTATACAGATGTAGTTTTGTAGCTGTGCACATACTAATTGGTACCTGTATAATATACAGGGTAGGTTCTAGAAACAGAAAGGTGGCAGAAATACATCCAGTACAAGTAAATGTATAGATTATACATTTAATACAAAGAAGGACTGGTGCAATAAAACACCATGTCTCCTTGAAATAGCAAATATTGAACCGACCAAGTTTATATAATTATTTGATCACGGAGAAAGGGGGATTTACAATTTTGTTCTGAATCCAACTGTCAATATTTATTTTAAATATCTTTCCATATTACTATTGGGAATATTTTATTCCTCTATTTTAGGCATCCATTAAAAGTTTGAACCAGACAGCAGGCCCAGTGGGAAATCATAGCAATGCCAAGATCTCAGAATGAAACACCAGATGGTTTGCTTATTTACAAGACTTTCTCTGACCTAATTAGGTAACATTTTTATTGTTCATTGTAACTGAATGAATTGAGACTTCTGTTTGATATTTTCCAGTTTCGCAGGATGATTAAATATGTATTGTGTATATGCACACATTTAGTTTAATGCCAGCTAGAAGCAGTTTTACTTAGCTACAATACCCTTCGTTTCTAAAAATCTATATCGCTGTAGGTTGGCTGTATAAGTATAGAGGTTGCCTTCTAAAGCCCATTTGGAACCCAGGGCAATTGAAGTAATTTCTAAAAGAAGATACCAATCTTATCTTTGAATCACTATGCATGTCACTTTTTCAGCCATTCTCCCTACAATCTGAATGCCTCAGAAAATGCTGAAGATGCCAGCTTCTATACAGCAGCCTCTTCTGTGGCAAGTCCAGATATCAAAGACCAGGTAGTACACACAGCAGTCCCTCCATCTGCATGTATTCAAGTCAGTGAGGGAAGCACTGCCAATATGTTAAGTGACCTTGGCACTAAGGAACTGATGAGCCACACCGACAGTGATGCTCTGAGTCCATCATCCACCACCAGGAATCATGTGACTGCCCACACTGAAGAAAGAAGTGATAGCTCCTCGTCCTGCTCATCTCCCACACGAGATACAGAGGGCGCGGTTCAAAGAAACTGGAGGATGACATTTCCTAGTCTATTCAAGTTTTACATGTGGTGGCAGTATAGTCTGTCTCAGGTAAGTTATAACTTCATATACTAGTAGGTATATAACTAAGTGCTCTCATGTTGACTTAAGTAAGCATCTTCTTCCAATATTTCTTGGCAGATTTTGACATTAAAGATATAAGATGTAGAGAGAGCTATATATACTGTAGTAGAAGACATTAGACATATGTTAGACACCTGTTTTTTTCCCATTCAGAGTCTCCAAGCTGCTGTGGACACACTGCTGCCACATAGACAATATAAAAAGCAATTAACTGAGACTCAGCTACGGTTGCAGCAACTGGAGGCAGAAATAAATTCACTTAAGGCAAACCAGGTAGGCATGCATATAAGCTTTTTGCCGTATAACTTAATTTATTTTCTATTTTGAACAGTCAGGATATTGAATTATGCTAATGTTTATTTAACTCACTTTTATCCCAGGTTGTATGGATTTAGTAATTAATCATTCAATAATTGAAGGGTTGATTTTTGTGGATTCATTATTGTTGTTTCTTTATTGCAGTTATTTTGTGTAAGTTGTAATTTCAAGGTTATTGTTACTTTCATTTACATTCATTTTAAACAGAAACATTTGTATACTCATATGAATGCCATGACTTTATTTATGAGATTTTAACATTTAATTATTTGTTTTGTTACATGTTTTTTGTAGGGCCCCTGCAATCACGTGTGTAGATGTGAATGTGAAAAAGGGAACCAACAAGATATTCCACGACCTCCTCAGGCAACAACAACAACAAGTGTGCTGCCGCCTCCCCCACCCCCTCCTCCCCCCCCACCACCACCACCACCACCACCACCGCCACCACCCCTGATGACGCAATCCAGAAAATTAGTTATAAAAAAATCAGGACAGGCAGATGTAAGAGGCTTTGTATTGCTTCTGGCTTGCTGTGTTTTTTACTTTGATTTACATTGAGCCTGTAGTATGAAAGTAAGCATTAGCTTTGGGAACCTCAAAGGCATGTTTTTGCACATTTTTTATGAAAAACTTTTGCTTGAAGAAGTTATTCTGTTTATAAGCACAAAATAAAACTGGATAACAACAAATGAAAGTATTCCCCTGCCCCCCCCCCATTGTGTGTTAATGAAATACATACAAAGAAATGTCTGTGATGCTATGATGTGATGTGTAAAATTTCAGAAACTACAAGAGTCTAGAGATACAGAGAGGCCCAAGGTGACGTCTGCTGAACTGAAACAAGTGAAACTGCGGAAAGTCTCTAATCCAACCCATGGTGCTGACAAGGTAGATTTTATCTTCTCATTGATTAAAATGGGTGTTTAATTTTGATGTTAAAAATAACACCAAATGTTTGTCTTGGTTCTTAAAAATTTTATAGCAATGATTGTATAAGTAAAGTAAATTGTATTGAGACTTGAGATTAAGCAGTGGTGTTTGTTACTTATTTCTATCAGCTGCCTGTTTCCAAAGGAGGAGCGTTAGTGACCTTAAGTGACCTTAAGAATATTTCACTAAGAAAAACAAACTTGAAGGGGAATACTTCGCAGCCAGAAGTTGAAAAAAGGTATAAAAATGTATCTGACTTGAAACTGATTAAAAATAGATTATTGTTTTCTTATATCTAAGTGTTTAATATATCTTATCCAAAGAAAAGAAGTATCAATAAGGGAAATATTTGATATTGGTGACCATAGGGGATATTGAATTGTTCATTCATTTTTGATTAAATAAGGCTTCCCCAGGAGATAATAGGGATTCATGGCCGCTTGAGGAAGGTCAGAATTAATAGGTATGTATTTAATATATATTTAATATATATGTTTAGGATGAAAAATATATTATAAATATACCCTTAGCTTTCTATAGCTTCTAAACTTATTTTGATTCAAATGCAAGGCTTTTATTTTTTTTTACTCAGCAACATTGCTTTCTTTCTTATATTGGTATGCGGAAATGTATGGGTGGCGGTTTATACAAAAATTCAAAACACGTTTAGTCGTTGTCGTTATCAGATCAGTCGAATTGAAAACACGATTAGTCGTCGTCTTTATCAGATCAGTCGAATTGAAAACACGAGTAGTCGTCGTCGTTACACCAGTAGTCGTCATCGTTATCAGATCAGACGGCAAAATACGACTAGTAGTCGTCAAAACACAACTAGTAGAAGCCAAAACTCGATTTGACGCTAGATGGCGCTCATGTCAATGGTCTTGGCTACCCTTGTGCCGACTTCACAGTCAATACCGCGAAAATCTGACACTGACAATTAAGTGCTTAATTTGTGATTGACATATTGAGGAGAGTTGTCAGATGTTGTACTATAGTAGGCTAGTATGTGATAGATACAATACGTACGAGTCGCAGAGCTGTACGTGAAATAAATACAGGGGTACGAGTGTATTGTCGAGCCGCAGGCGAGTGTTGTATCTGGCTTAAACCACGGCCTCTGTAGTGGCTCTCAAGTGGTAGCCAAGACCATTGACATGAGCGCCATCTAGCGTCAAATCGAGTTTTGGTCTCTACTAGTTGCGTTTTGACGACTACTAGTCGTATTTTGCCATCTGATCTGATAACGACGACGACTAATCGTGTTTTCAATTCGACTGATCTGATAACGACGAAGACTACTCGTGTTTTCAATTCAACTGATCTGATAACGACGACGACTACTCGTGTAACGACGACGACTAATCGTGTTTTCAATTCGACTGATCTGATAACGACGACGACTAAACGTGTTTTGAATTTTTGTATAAACCGCCGCCCATGGAAATGTCTTGATATAAGATAACATCATGCCTTTATTAATCTATGAATAGCAATTTAGGTTGAGCTTTCATTATTATTTTGGCAAAAACGTTTAGAAAATTGATGAAACCAAAAACATAATACATAATTACATAAAGCAGTTAGATTATTTTGTTGAATTTTTGGTTGATGGTTTAAAATATTTTTGCAAGGTAAATAAGATGAGAAATTTTGTGATGATTTGGCACATGACTTTGATTTTCTGCAGTTCTTGGAGCTAAAGTAAAGTAAAATTGAAGATGGTGGTGGCTCAAGTAATTTGGGATTGAATCAAAAACCTGAAAATAGTTATTCAGCTTAAATTAATAAACCAAAGTTATATATATTTGGTTAAAATTAATGAATTTCAATTTTTTTCTGAATTATAATTTAGTTTGAAAGCAATAAATACGCTGTGGAGAGTCCAGATTCTAACATTAAAGGTACATACGAACCGAGCATCGGTGGAGCATGGATTCCCAGTAACACATGTAAACCACTTCTACTAGATTCTTATATGACTCAAATAAATTCGACAAGCCAAGGGATAAACTCAATAGATCACTCGATCAGCCATAAAAGACCTTTAGACTGCTTCTTTCTTTAAAATTTTAGTTGTAAATTTAACCTACTTTCGTGACCTACTTTCCTGCCCCATTGACATACAGCTTAGAATGCCCGCAGAAAAATCCGTTCAAACATCATTTTCGGGTAAAATTAAACAATGCCTTTTGGTAATTCTCTTAGTTATACTACTTGAAACTATATGCTGGCATTTGGTTGGTTTTTGTGACAAAAAATTGACTTTGTATGCATCTTTAACCCTGCTCTTGATTGTTAAACATGTGATATGAAATACTTATTGGTACATGTACCTACCTGTTCCTTTGCAGCTTTATAAACTACATTCTTCATACTTTCTGTTCAGAAAAAAATGAAGAAGTGTAATTGTAACCTTAGTTTTCTTGGTAGGTCTTGTAGTTTACAATATCTGAAGTAAAATAATCCATAAAAAATTATAGTATTGTAACTGGCAGTAGTTCACATAGATGAGGTGCAGGGAATGATTGAATGTTTTACTCTAAATTATGTGTCTAGAAACAGGTTTATTGTCTTGATCTGAATGTTTGATATTTATCCTTTGTCTTATATTGATGATACGTAAGTAAAATTGAAATGTACTGTATAATTGTTGAACCTATTCTAGAAGGCACATTTTATATCAGTAATTAGTTATGGTCAAATGTTTTTTATCATATTTTAATTTTAAATGTCAAAATATTTAATCTTTTCTGAGCTTTTCAAATCAACTTTATTTATTTCACACTGTATATCTCAAGCTGCCTGCTTAGTCCATAGGGCACCTTAAAACTGCACAATATGACCAGTAAGTAAAAGAAGCAGCTTAGACATGCATTTTGAATTGTTCCAACAATATTTTTCCCATTATTCAAGGAGTCCAGGAGGAACCCCCATAGTGGATCACCAGAAGAGGCTGGAGACGGGCAGTGGTGTCACACCAGTCCTCACCAGAGCACTGAGGAGGAAATTTTTGGTATGCACCAGGTGCAGTTCATTGAAATAAACTATAAAAATCTATTACTGGACTTACAAATAATTCGCCTACTTGACAATTTTGTGTGCCCTCCTGGTCGTTTGAGAAAACAGATGAACTATTCTCAGTCTTGTCTAATCTGCTCATAAGATAACTGACATAAGTTTGTTATTCATTATGTCATAAATGTTGCTATTGTGTTTTATCTGACATTTCAGTTTTTCAAATTGTACTCATTTTACATTCATAAGTCTACTGGTACTCTCCTGCCGCTTGGTAGTTTCTTTCTTAAACAAACGCCTTTTTTTTTTCTTCAAGTATGCAAGATCACCATCTCCTAAAAACAATGAACCAAACTCTCAAGAAAACAGTCCAAATGGTTTCTCTGATGCTGTGACAAAGAACATTAAAGGGTCAGGGGGCAAGAAGAAAGCTGAGCAGATGGATTTAGTAGAGAAAAGACCTCTCCTCCCCAGAGAGAACCAATCAGATGTTCCTATCCCATCACCCCCCAGGAAGAGAAGATCCTTGACTACTGTCGGTCATTCAAGCTCTCTGGTTACCAGTGAGAGTTTTGGAAAATGATGGCTCTGTTAAGTAGAGCAAAGGACTGCCCTCTCTCCAGTGTCCTTCTTTGAATGATGTCACAAATTGTCCAAAATATAGGCTGTTTTTATTGCCTAGTTTACTTGCAGTTAATTAAGGGCAAATACTGGAGTTATTTCAAGCTTCTGATAACCAGTGACTTTAAATTGTCAATGATTCACATGACAAGAATTATGTTTTCAGGAACTTTGTTCTTGTTTGTGGTGTTGTCAAATTGAACAAATACATTCATTGTTTTTTTTTCCTAAGTGCAGAGAAGGACTTAAAACCTTTATGTTGACATAAAGGCTATGTATTATGATGCTTTTTTCATAAAGGGATATGCAATTTGTGCTCAATTATGCCATTAATTTCCTTGATTCACTCCTTGGTGCTCATATCTGCTATTAATACTTGCTGTATGCATATTTTGATTTTAAGATTTTATACAAGATGTTATTTTAATCTGTGATGTATTATTTTCTGTACATTTGTTTTTAAAATGATGGGTATTTACTTACTTTGCCTTGGTATTTGTAGACAAGAGTAATTTTGATAAATTAAAATAAAAGACATAATGAACAGATGTCTTGTTTATAAGGAATATTTTTAACAACCAGTGTGCTGAATTGTAATTCATCTTTGTCTGTGTACACCACAGAAAAGTCACTGATGGACTGGAGTTAACAATGACTGCATCACTCACCTTTTGACATTTACTAAAGGATCTATTTTGTTAACCACAAGTCCCTTAAACTTATTTCAACATTTGAATTATATGTTAACACATTTTAATCTTTATCGTGGTTGTATCCATTAACCCTGCAATATATTTAAGTTTTAATTTACTGATCTAAAGACCTTAGTATGTACCTCATAACGAAAGTAGAGATTCTTGAGCACCGATAAGTTTTATTTCAGCTAGTCTCCACATCTTCCACGATAAAAGTGGACTCGTTGCTTTTAATGAATTGTAATAATAAATAACTTTGTTTTATAACCTAGTGCTGATAATGGTATGTTTTATCTTATATTATTATGTAGTTACATTTATAATGGTGCAATTACTGTAAGAAGGCAATCACACTCCATACAAGTGTGATCTTCTTCAATTTTGAAATTGGATAATAAAATTCTTTGGATTATTAAGTTTTTGTTGCTTGCACTTTGAATATGCTCTCACTTGGGAGTTACACAGTGAGCAGTTTGAGGGATTGCAGTCAAAGACTTACAATTTCTTATCAAATAAACTCAATAAAATTTTCTAAAATGTATTTCTGTTTTGGGTAACTATCATAGCAGTTGATGTTGTTTTCCCTTGAAAAGAAAAAAATACCCAGGTTTTTTCAATTATTTATTTTGTATAATGTATCTACATACAATGGATACCATTATGTACTAATATTTCAGTGCATCTGGTGATAAAATGAAGGAAATATAATAAGTCTGTTCATAACATCAACAATGACTATAATTAAATCTGATAAAGAATATAACATTTTGTACATCTTACAATAAATAGGAACCAAACCACAAAGCACCTGTATACAGTATACACTATGATGCATGGATGAGGACGCCACTTCAGCCTACCCAACAAAAGTGATCCGTATACCATGCTACTTTTAATTTCCTCATTCTCCCTATGAGGGATTAAATTAACTGATATATTTTTCCTTTACTCCTCTATAAGTCTTGAATACTGTCCCATATCTAATTAATAACATATTTGATAACAATTGGGTGAACAACATGTTAGTTCCCACAGACTTTACAATCAGTATCACATATATAAGGTGCTGTAATCATGAAAATAGAACTTCAGCTTCTAACCCTTTTCTCAGCAGCATTTACAAGGCTTGAAGGTTCTTCAAAATTCTTAAGGAAAAACATGAATGAATGGTTAGAGTTTTTAATATCTTAACATGTAATGAAGTGCTTATCTACACTAGATATGTAACAGATTACAACATACTTGCACTTGAGTTGTTTTAAGACAAATCACTTGGTGTAATGACACTCAAATTTCAGTTGTTGCCATTGAATCAGTTTCAAACTAGGGTTTCCTTTAACTGAGGAAAAACATGAAGGTCATGAATATAACAAGGTTATGTGTGGCCAATTCTATAGGTTCTAATGGATGAGTTATCTTAAGCATATGAGTGGAAACCATATATGTTTAAACTTATATTAAAGCTAGATGGGTGTATAACTGTAATGCAACATATCAAAGTTTTTCTCAAATCAACATCCTATCCATGAAAGAAATGGCTTTAAAATTTCTCATCAATTTTTGCAGCATAACAGAAGTAACTGCTTGGCTATGGAACCATCAAAAAACTGCATCAAAATCAGAAAAGCACTCTCATGTTACATAGACTCAATTTCTACCTTGTTACAATTCTACCATTTTTTGATGCAAATTCACAACCATTTGTTCCTGGCACTTTGTATTGCTTCTAGAATTCAGGTGAAAGTCATCAGTTAAGATTTTCTTCTCTTATTGTGCAGACGAGGTATAACAATTTGACTTTCTGGTGGTTAACCTTGATATTACTCACAATGAATGATAGATCATCAAAACTGGACTAGAAATGATTTATATAAATCTTCAACAATTTATGTTCAATATGAAAATCATAATAATTTAACATCTTTTGTTGTATGTTACCAAAGACACAAACTTGCTGAACATCTCCTACTTTCTGATGCAGAAAAGTTATAAACATCTCATTGGACTTCAGACCCTTATATCAGACCCTCAAATGAACACAAGGTGGTATAAATGACTTATTCCAGAGGCCCCAACAGCATATCAAAGTGATGCAATGCAGCATTCTCTTTTGTTCCCTTAAGGACATAGTCTTTCATAGTTTATACATATTAATTATTATCAGTATCCAGTTTCTAAGAGACTGCTTTAAAAGTCATTCTAAGTTAAGCTTTCTTATGATAAAAAAAAAGAAACAACCAGCTCATGTTCCAGCAGCCAAATGAAACAACTGTAAAATTCTTATACAGCATTATTCTAAATGAGATGTACCTTAATTAACATGTTCAGGGTCAGATCCACTGATCTAGATATATTTCATTCTTTATGAAGAATATAATTCCAGCAATGTTATGGATGTGCTACACCCCCTAGCAGTGGGGAAGTCTCTTGTTTACTTCCAATACAAAGATGGTGATTGTATACATATCAATAAATTTTGATGGCTTCCTTCGTTTAAAAGGAATAGGGTAAAAATCAATCAGTGACAATCTAAATCCTAATAGGCAGTATTGGCTTGTCACCAATGTCTGTTTGCCATAATAACAGAGCCTACTGATACCATTACTAGTGTATAAGTCCTGTTGCTCCTAAACCTATGTGTAGCTGGCTTTTCAAAATTAGCAGTCTAAAGTAGGCTTTAAAACTGACATCCTTCAGTGAAAGGGGGTCCTCCAGCTAGAGTTCATATACTTATAGATGCATCTCTTGGCTCAAACTCTTGGTTCAATAATTTTTCTAAAAATCTCATAGTATTCATACAATATAGCCACTGCTGAAGTGAACCATACTTGAAATAGACCATCATAAGTGATGCTTATTGATAGCACAGATGATAAATCTGGATGATGTTTTTTAATGATGCTAATTACAAAAAATCTCCTCCCCCCAAAAATGAGTCCGCTAGCTTTAACGGGTGTAAGCCTCATGTTTCCAAATTGCATTTCCAACATCATTCCAAAATATGAAATATGAGTTCTAGGACAACAGGTCCTTCCCTACTCTGGGAAGCTGCATTATGAATGACAGGAATCAGTTCATTGTCCAAGTCATTCATGTAAAATGCAGGCAGCTTCTCACCATTGCTTCCAACTTCATAACCCACCTGCAAAGAAAATAATGTGATACAATGTAAAGGACAAATGCTAGGTTTTTAACTTATCTAAGTTCTCAATCTTCATGACTCTTCAACACAGCATACATATGGATCAACTGTAGTTGATATACACATAGGATTGCTTAGCCAAACCAAGTGGCCCAGATTGATAAGAAAATAATCATAATGCGAAGGCATTTGCAATCTATGTTTTAAGAAAGATTAATACTACATTTTCACATCACTAAAACAGCAGTATCTTTTGTAATTTGTTCTTACCGTCTCTGAATCAATATTGGCCCTAAATCCAAGCTTGACAAGCTGTGCGTCCTTTAGTTTATCCAGGTGTGGCGTTAGTGCAATACAACAAGCCTGTGCCAGGGTCTCCGCCAGACGACTCAGGTCCACTGGCTCGCAGCGGGCATCCACAGCCTCTTCGTTACGGATGAAAAAGACCTCTGTCCAGCGAATGGTTCTGTGTTCTCCAATGAAGTCTGTGGCATTGTGGATGTGGATGCTTTCTATGCCATCCATGGGCATGTTATCAATGGGACTCTTGACCCTGGAATGAAGAGATGGGATGATGTCAGCAAACTGGGGCATAATCAACACTCAAATCGATTTTGATTATCTGCACATATTTATTTATTTATTCAACTAATTAATTTATTCATTCAACTTAATAATTTGAGGGTAAAATCAAGATGAACATGAAATTTATCTTCCCCATGGCCCTCAATGTTATTGAAAAAAAATCTTAAATTCCCCTTTAGACAGACAATATCAAGTCAATTGGTCATTTTCACCATGCCTGTTCTTTCCAAGTCACAAAATCCAAATTACCTTGTTTTTGACCCTACATCAAATTTTGTAATCCTCAACCCAAAGCCCTACTACTCACCCTATATTAACATGCCTATCATCCTCCACCCACTGTGTGATGACTTGTTCCTCTGGCTGGCTAGAGGTGATACTTCCACACCCTATAGTATAATCCTTCATCTCACGCATGGCACTCTTCAGGGCTAGCATGGACTCGGGAGTAATCTGGACCATCAGGCCATCCTCCACTATACTGGACTTGGCCGTGAGACCTGAACTGGTCTTTAGTGCACCGTTGAAGACAACAAAACTGGCCCCAGTCACTGTAATGAAGTAGGTATTCAATGAAGTTAAAGTAACTTCAGTTTTTGCAGAATATCAGTCTGCCATAAATAAAACTACTGGTATAACTATAATTATATGTTACAAAAATTTTGTTACTTCTGTGAGTATTTTCCTGTAACTTGTTATTTACACGATTGAAAATTTACCTCAAAGAAAACCTAAATAAACAAGTGCAAAGGCACACAACTCTATATAAGGGTTCAGTGGGCATAAATACAGCACCCAAATATCTGAATTTCTGGAAAAACATGGAAAACTCACATCTCTATATGAACACTCACCTTTTCTTGGTTTGTTAAGAATATTAATGGCCTGAGTTTGGTAGTTCCCCTCATCATTCTGTATACACACCAGGTGAGAGTCCGCCTCCAGGCTGAAGTAAGCTGCCAAAGCCATCACGTGGTCATTACTGTTGTTCACAACCTTCAGAACCTAAGCAAATAAAGTTGAAAGTTATCAAAACATGTACCACTCAGGGCACAAGGCTGCAACAGTTTAATTAATGGGCATGAATTCAGTGAAACTTAACGTCTACTCTAAGAAAAATAAAGTTCCTTCATCTATATTCACTGCAAAAATTTGTGCTTCAAACTTCATAAAGCACTGAATTATCAGCTATGTGAATTGTAATTGTGCATGCCTTCTTTGATAAGTCCAGCATTTGGAACACTGTATACTGAGCATAGAAATAAAGTGATCTTTCTCTATGTTATTCTATAAAGTAAAGCCCCCCAAAATATCATACCTATTAAGACATGATATCAATTAGTAATCAACATTATCAAGAACTTACATCATCATATCTGTTTCGTGGAAAATTGATGAAGGTCTTCTTATCCTCCATGTGTATGGTAACTCCTTTGATTTGTGGCAACATGTACTGGTAGTTTCTGAAGTCTACCAGCAGATTCATGATGGTATGACCTATTTCTCCAAACACAGGTTTACGGAATCTCACACTGATCAATGGACATGGATAGTCTGAAAGACAAGAATCAGATGATGTCCAATTACAGAAGCACACAAAGGAAAAAGTCTATAATAACTACAGGAACCCCTGAGTGTCAAATAGAACCAAGAAGGCAAGTTGCATCTTTTTTCATATGGCTCATTCATTTAATCAAACCACTATTTCAGGTGTTTTTCAAATAATGACAAATTAAATCAACTTGAAAAATATTCAATACTTCAAATTTTAGATGTGGCTTGATGCTGAATATGAGAATGTTCACGAGCTCTTATGACAAGCCAATCACTCACATCTAAACTCCGCCCCCAGCCTCAGCATCAGCCTGATGGGGAACACCTTGGCCCAAGGCGTCTCCCACTTCTGGAGCAGAATACCAAACAGATACGGTGCAGCTGGCAATGCCAACTTCTGCAGGCACTGAAAGCTTGGACGAATGTACAGGAAACCACCATGGTCTTTACTGTCCAAGAAGGTTTGATTGAAAAGGGTGTGGCCCAGGTCTGACACTGTATTGCCTAAATGGAAGATGAACAAACTTTCATTAATACATTTGAGGCCAAAACATAACAAGAAAATGAGGGAACAGGGAATCAAGTATATAAGTATTATAAGAAAAAGAAAAAAAAACTTCAGTAATCTGTGATGCAGGATTTCTCTTCCTGAAAATTATCCATAGCAATTATCCATAGAAACTTACATCTGTTCAATAATAGAATAAAAGTACTGCACCCACCTTTTCCGGCCTCCTCATACATATTTTGAAAATGGCAGAAGATATCTCTTGGCACCTCTTTCTCGTCTGGCAGACATTCTAGGATGATGACCACTTCATCCTGGCCCACGGTGCACATGCCTTTAGTGGAGAACGTCCAGCACACACGGTTCACACAACAGTCCACTGAAAAAGTGACAGTTTAAATAAGTACAGAGTATATGGACTATAAATGACTATTAGTGGAGAACGTCCAGCACACACGGTTCACACAACAGTCCACTGAAAAAGTGACAGCTTAAATAAGTACAGAGTATATTGACTATAAATGACTATTAGTGGAGAACGTCCAGCACACACGGTTCACACAACAGTCCACTGAAAAAGTGACAGCTTAAATAAGTACAGAGTATATTGACTATAAATGACTATTAGTGGAGAACGTCCAGCACACACGGTTCACACAACAGTCCACTGAAAAAGTGACAGTTTAAATAAGTACAGAGTATATTGACTATAAATGACTATCAAATGGAGGGTGTCTGGGTGCTCTCATAGAAGTTTGTCACAAAGTTTGTACTTGAAATCATTTAGGATTCATCCCATTTCTTTAATTTTGCCACAAATTCCATACTTTCTGAAATCATTTATCATTCATCCATTTTTTATGTTTTAAAAGTAAAATTTGATTTGAAACTTTGTTATAAAATTGACTTACAATTAACAATCTTGGCCATGACAAACAGGTTCTTGTTCACAGCAAATACCAAAGGATCTGCCTCCTCATCTGGAAAGAAATCAACCCAGGATTAAATATATTATAGCAATGAACTAAAATTTAAACAAAACTATATATTTGTAATTTTTCTTCTCTCAATGAAGAGGATCTTTACTTTTTTCCATGAATCCAACTTCAGTCTGGTGCTTACCTTTCATTCTTGGTATCAGTTGCTCTGAACTGGGATTCTCTTCAATAGAAAAGTCTGAAATTCAAACAAGATTGATTAAGTACATCTAAAATTGATAAAAAGTCTTCTTTATTTTAATCTGCCTTTTAACTGAAATTATTTAAATCTGCCTTTTTAACTCAAACTAAAGAAACCACACATAATCTAACATGATCTGCCTTAATTCATTATTCCAGACTGCACAGATCACCTACCCCCTTTGACCCCTGTCTCCAGAATGACCGGCGGTAGACCACCCTCGGGTATCAGAGAGGGGTTCCTGTCCTGGTCGTTGTTCATGAAAGGTCGTGTGATGACAGCTGTCGAGGAACTAGGACCATCTGTGGCAATGGCTGAAATGGAATGCGAAACAATGATTTTTGTTTTCAAATGCCAGCTCTCTTTGCTGAATATTCATGTTTCACTAGTACCATGTTTTAGATAGAACACAAGTTGACGACTTAACTAAACTTAGGGTAATGTAACATTCTAACACAAATAGCGTAAATTTGTGTTGAAAAAAAACCCCAAAAAACATTGAAGTATTTTGGTCTCTTGAATTACAGAAATAAACAAACACAAACCATCACTATCTGCTGGCACTGGTGTTGATGCCTGAGCCACTTTCTTTTGTGACCTCCCCGTGCGGCGTGCTGGCAACCTTTCATCAGATCCATCCAGCTCCGTCAAGTCTCCGCCAGGCCTGATCCCATCTGAAAACATGACAGACTTGGGCTCTCCCTGTCGTCTGCTCCCTGCAATTACCAAGACATGGAATATACATTGAATACAAACAATGAATGCATCTTGATTAATAAAATTTCTATTAGGAAGACATTTTAACACTGAAATACATTTTTAACAATCTCTCAAACCAAAACATCACCTGTTCATATTAATCTAAAAATAGGCATTGGTATTTAATCTATTTTTTCACTTCACTAAACTTATTCTCTATTTTTCCATTAAAAATTCAATTATGGCACCCATTAAATATTATGAAATACCATTCAAAGTTAGTCGAGGATGAAACATCAAATCATTCATGTTATAAAATATTTGAGAATACCAAATAAGGAAAGTGATAAAAAATGCAACAATGATTTGTTCAAAGAAAAATCAACAAAGATTGATGAATTGCTTGCAAACATTGATTTCCTTTAAATCAAAGACATTAGTCCTTAAATGACTCATTCACCGTGATAATTAATTAATGACAAACAAACAAAAGAGATAAAGTAATTATAGGAGCCCATGCAAAGAGCATGGCCAACCCCAAAGGTAGTTTGATGACATTATAGGGTTTATCAGGTATTCATCAGGAGATAATAATTAAATCTGTGCAAATATTTACAGAACAAATTATGTACTCATAAACACCGTAATTAAGTAGGCAACAGAATGTCCCAAATGCCCCCCAAAAAGAAAAAAAACAAAAACAAAAAAAAAACAAAGCAAGCCAATGGAAGAAGTAAAACTGACAAAACTCAATGCAGCACCTCCAACTTCACTGCAAATCAAAAGACTATCAACCCAACTATGGTGTGTATGGAAAACTAAAAAAAAACTAGACAAAACTCTCTAATTTATACCAGGCTAAGTTTTCATGATTGAGACATACACAGAGTATGCCTACCTTCCCGTTTTAATACCCCTGTAGGAACCATGACAGTGGGTGGTGGTGCGTTTGCATTGGCTTGTTGCAAGGGCGGAATGGTGGAGCAATACTCACTGGGGTTGTTAGGGTTTGGACTTGGACGAGACCCGTGGAGGTGTTCATAGGCTTGAGCTGAAGAGGAATAGTCGTCATATCCCATAAACCTCACTGTTAGTACATCTACTTACTGTGGTGTAGCGACTGGTTAATTTTTTTACATAATCTTATTGGGCTTAACAAAGCCATATTGATTTAGAGATACGTCTTACAAAAATGTATTCCAAGTGCAAATTTACTGTACAACTTAAAGCCTAGCCTCTTTGAAAACATAATCACAAAATTTCTGAAACATTCTCAGATGTTATTAATGAAAACAACATTATCCCAAGAAAATCACCACTGAGCTCTTTGTGCTAATAATACACTGAACTGTAACTAATTACTGCAAAACCATTCTCAAAAGAAAAAATACAACATATGACCCATTTCAATTAATTTCTACTGAGAAATTACAAAGAATACATACAATCACTTTAAATATATGAACTTTTGAGTAGTGTGTCTCTTACGAACACCTCAACTATTTTAAAAACCTATAATTTTTACTAAAAAACAAAACCAAATCACATTTAGAAAGCTTCATCATTAATTATTTAATGCATATCACCAAAATAATTAACATGACTTCCCTGTAGCAAAACAGGCAAAAGCTTGAGTTTTAAACTAACCTCTATTTATAATGTCATAGCAACTTCTGCACACTCTGCCATCTTTGTTCTCCAAGTAATGTAGTTTGATTTTCAAATTACAACACGGAGCACAAAATACCTGGAACACAGAAAAATCAGCATTCCAATGAAATGGTGACAAAAACTCTTGCCTCTCCTTCAGAATTGTTTCTACCAGCAAAATAATGAAAATATTTTTTTCTACAATTTGGTTATTACTCAAAAAAAAATATTAACCCTTCCTTTTTCCATTCATAGTGACAACATTATCCCAACAACAGAAATTTTTTAATGATTTGTTATTACTATTAAAAAAAAAATTTTTTTTTCAATTCATAATGTTGACCGACAAATTCAAGCAAATCACAAATGAAAATATTCTTTTCTACAATTGTGTGTTATCAGAATAAAAAAACATTTTCCATTCATACTGACATCAAACAAATCAAACAAACAAAATTAATATTTTTACAATTTGGTATAATTATTATAAAAACTAGGTTTTCCTTCAAAATGACATCAGATCAATGGACGCTATGACCGGGTTCCCATGCTAAGATCAATCGGTCTAACTCCCTGGGGAGTCTCACTAAATTGCTTGCCGGCTTAAATGAGAGCCACACCTACTAAATCAGCTAGGGGGTAAAGATAATTACCCCTAACAGCTTTCCTAGGCGTGACAGACATTTAAGCTGGTAAAATTGATAGCAATTTAGTGAGACTCCCCATGGAGATGGATCGATCCAAATATCTGTGGGAATGGTGTCTACCTTGCCACAGGCCCTGCAGTGGTGTCTTCTCCGTGTGAAGGTGAACCTACTGTTACAGTTCATACAGGTGGCCGCTTCACTGTCGGGGATCCACAGGGGACCCACCTTCCCAAGCTGGGTGGTCACAGGAGGAACCACTGGGAAACTGCCATCATCTGACGGCTCAATAATCTCATCCACAATGTCTGGAATTGATATTAATTAAATGGAGCATTGCTTTCACCAGAAAGTAGAACTCGAGTTTCATAACACACAGCCAAATTTATGAGATATATTCTCTACCACCTACCAAAAATCTACTGGAAAGTTATAAGCTAAATATTCAACTAACAACAAAAATTTCTTGAAAGAACAGAACAAACAAGTTTATTCCTGATTGATATTGTTCTATATGCTTAATAACTCAAAAATTTTGGCAGACGTAACTGGTAAAATGGACATTTTTAGCATGTCTGCTCAGCCCACCTGGTCGTATTCCAGCCTCTTCTGCCAACTGCGCCATGTCCATAGAGTGAGGCCGGACCGTGTCATCTTCTGCCCTCACACGCACATCTCTGGGAGGTAAATTCAAGCTGGTTGGACGTTTTTGCCTTGGAGGTGCCGCTGATGCCCCATCTTCATCATACACAGGTTGGACATCTACTGCCGCTGTATCACCTGGTATCTGACTGGGAGAAGCATGGCCAGGACCCATGAGGGTGACCCCAACACTCTCTCCCCCATCTCCCTGCACTGGTGCTGATGTTGGTGAAGAAGACCTTGCTTCTGGCACCACTTGGGTCTGCGTCTGAGACCAATCTGGGTTAGGCCTCCCTGGGAACACTAAGGGAACACCCACGGTGTCTGTATCACAGAGTGTATTATTGTCTATCAAATCACCCACGGAGCATTCCGTATTATTACCATCATGGAGACCCCTTTCAGGATGAACGTCCATGCCTGATTCATTACTGTTCTGTACACTTTTAATATTGAGGTTCATTTGTTTTTTCTTGAGCTGCTGTCTATTTTGCTCTGCTATTTGCCCATTAACGATGTCATGTGGATTCTCCATAGCATCAACGTGGCGGGGCCTTCCGCCAATTTGTGGTTCTTGCCCAGGAGACCTTGCTGTTGCTGCACTGGGGCTAAAGGTTGGAGGAGGAAGAGACACAGTGGACAAACCTAACAGACTATTAGGTCTCTTCATCTGTCCAGTTTCTTTCTGTCGTACTTGTGGCTCCTGCGGTGACCATGGCGACTGGGGAGGTGAGGCTGGAGAATATCCTGACCTGGTCTGTTGTCCATCACTGGTCACCTTGGATGGACTGTGGGCACTGTGAGATGGACTGGAGCTGGCAGTGAATGCTTGCACAGTCTGGATACTGGCAAACTTGCTAGGTGAGGGTAATGCTGATGTTGATGCTGCTTCTGTTGATGATGATGATAATGGCAAATCTTTAACTGGGGATAAAGCTGCTGTTGTGCTGTTTTCCATGGTAACCTGGTCATCCTGGCCTGAATTCTCTCCTTTTGGTGCAGGTGTTGACTCTTTCAAACCAGACTCTTGACTTTTGATAGCATTTACTGTTTGGACACGCGCTGGCGCTTGATGGGCAGCATTCAATCTTTCAGGCTGCACATAAGTTTCAGTAACTGCCTTGCTCTCGTCTTCCTCTTCCTCGACTATTGCATCATGTGTATCTACATAACCAGGAATCTTCCCAAACCCAGGATCGTCCATGGGCGTGGGCATATGTCCACCTGGATACGACGTGCTACCTTTCACTGAGGCAACCTCAGATTCTATTGCCAGTGTACCCGAGTCCCGAGACAAGCTCACCCCAGAGTCCCTCTCAACTGGTTTCCAAGTTTCTCTCTTGTCTACCTGTTTTAGTTCAGTGTGAATGTCTGTCGCTTTTGGAAATGAATTTTGCTGCAGCTGTTTGTTTTCATCTGTCATATTAAAATCCTCTAAAAGAGCATCCAAGTCACCTTCAGTGACCTCAATATCATCTAAATCTCCAAAACCAACCTTGGTTCGAGCTTCTACAGTCTGTGGTCTCAAACTAGTAGCATGCTGAGCTGGACTACCTGAACTGGAATTGTCTGTACACGAGTTTACAGCCACATTGCTTTCAGTCCAAATTCCCTGACCACTTTCTGGACCACAAGAGGAGATTTCTTCACTCCTTTCAATTGCTGTGTTTTCATTATCTCCCAAGAGCGCCTGTGTCACAATGCTGGCTAGGTTATTTACAGAGAGCCCTTCACTGGCCTGTTCTTGATGGTGATGATGATGATGATGATATGTTGTGTCTATTGCTTCTCCTCCTTTTGTTTGCTTAATAGATTCTAAATCCATTTCCGACATACCAAAACCTCTGGGTATGGCAGCAGAAGTGCTCTGGGGTGATCCGAAACCCGATTCCACACTACTCTCTGTAGAAGAGGAATCTTGTTGCTCAAAGTTTTTACTCATTTTTTCAACTTCAATTTTATCTTTGGTATCAAGATCTAAACTTCCATACCCCTGTCCTTCATTTCTGTTTAAACCTGTGGCATTTCTAACCTCATTTGATAACACATTTTGATTTTGTACTCCTGATCCTGGTAGACTGTTTATACTGTTAAAGCCCCCCATCACCGGGAAGCCAGGTGCTCCATTCAAATTTGTATAATGATAACCATGTTCAGGTCCATGGTTAATGTTTTTATTTTGACTAGAAAGATTTGCATTCTGTGCCTTGTTAGGCCTGGCAGTGTTAAGAGCCTTTGGTGTCTGTGATATTGCAACTGTGTACTTTTCATTGACAGCCACTGGCCCTGTTGTCAGCTTTCCTGTGCTGACAGAATTAATGTCATTAATAATCCTGGCTTCTGGAGGAAGCTGACCCGGTGTGAACTGTTGGGACAAGGTCATCACAGGAACAGCTGCATCAGACTTATCTAAAGACCTCCCATTGTTTCCAGTCAAATAGGGAGAAGTCCTGGTTTCAGAAATTGGTGGTGTAGAAATATTATTATTGTACAGATTGCTACTTAAACTTGGACCACGTGACTGGGTTTGACTACTGAACTGGTGTATTTCAGACACCCCATTCTGACTGGGGGTAGACAAGTCGGGAGCAGCAGGCTCCAATGTTATAGGAGGTCTGAGCGGAGACGGACCAAAGTCTGCGTCATCTAAGTCAAGAGTGTCTGGTGGTGTCTGAAAGGGAGAGTCATATCTCAACCTCGTGTCTGGACCATCATTGGACCTGAGCTTGGCAACTGGTGTATGGAACTGTTCGGGGGGTTCTAATGGAGGAATGAGGCTGTATGGGGTCTCCCCACTGGCCTTCAGGAAGTCCTCCAAACCGCTGGCTTTGATCTCCTTTCCTGGGGCTACTTCTGAAGCATCGTCTGAAATGTATACTTTAGTTTAACTCACATTTACACATAAAATGTTACTGCTTATAAACTGTACTGTAAACAAACATTTGTCTAAATACTGCAAAGATAAATGATAGATATCATTGCTCTTTTGAATAAAAAACACCATCTTTAGTTAAACATTTACACAAGATACTGTTTTCCTTATGTTGTCATGTAAAAATGTTGACGTGATAAGCATGAAACATGACTTATGTACATAGAGCTCATTTGTTTTTATATTCATGAATCTAAAGAGAAAGCAATTTTTTATGCTATCGCTAAGACTTAGACTTTAACCATAGCACAATAGCAAGGACAGACATGTTCTATATATTATCCAATGTTAATGCTGCCTGTCACATGAGCTCTGATGACATGTCTGTGCATACGACAGTACCCATCTCTGTCTGACCTGGACGCAGCAACAGAATGCTTTTACAACAGAAAATAATTCAATGTAAGATCAATACCTTCATTCAGTTCAAATTCATCCAAAACTTTATCCAAATCTATGGCAAACTTCTCCATCTTTTACCAGATTCTGAAAAGCAAGGGAAGACTTTGAAAAAGACCTAAAATGATTATTAGGTGGAAAAACTTATTCCATTTAAAATACCTACCCCCACCCATCTCTCACACTTAGTTGAGCATGGAAAAGAAGGCTAAATCAATACTGTAACAGATCTTAAACCAACTTCAACAACTGGGTCTGTCACTTGCCAGGGCACTCATTTAGGTGCACTGGGCAGCTGTTTACTGCTTCGCCTATATATATATATATATATATATATAGAGAGAGAGAGAGAGAGAGAGAGAGAGAGAGAGAGAGAGAGAGAGAGAGAGAGATAAGACATGTTTGATTGAAAAAAAAATATTCTAGGAACCTGAAATCAAATCAAATATAGTTTTTATCATTTTCACTGCCTTATTTGACTGAAAGGAGGTGACATTAAAAGAAAAAATGTTCAATAGCTTGGTACTTAAATCATAAATGAAAATTATCAAACACAACCTGAAAAATCTTTCATACCATTAACGGTTTGAAAGATTTTTGGCTTGTGTTTGATAATTTTCATTTATGAGATGACATTTAGTTTTAAACAGATTTGTTACATATATGAGTTATTGTTACAAACATTTAGTACATCAAACACATGCCAATACAAGAACATAATTTTAGATTTTTGATAAACTTCTAACAAATTTATGACCCCCATTCTGTGTTGGCACCAAGCTTTGTACAATTTTAAGTTTTGCTAATGAAAGTTGATATCAATTAACAAACCTCAAACACACATCAGTCTTCTCAACTGTATGTCTAACATTTCATATTTTAATAAACATTCCAATATCTGTAATCATCTTCACCATCCATCAAATTTTCAATATTTATCACAAAAGACCCAATCTATATCACAGAAACAAACTACATATAAAGCACTTGCAACAATTCTGCTTAAAATATAGGCTGCCTTTTAATATCTATAAACAAGTGTTTTCATCAAAATATTGTCATTTAAGTTTATCTAAGAAATAAACTGCATTAAAAATGTCACATATAATTTGATGCAAACTGAAGAAACATAATCACTGATATGCATTTAGAATGAAACATGACATTTATTAATACCATAAAACAATTCTTTAAACAATGGTACTTTTAAAACAGGATTCTTAAAGACACATTACCCTTAATGTTCCATTTACCAACGACCAGCTATTAGTTTCTAAGGTAAGGCAAATAATATAAGTTGCACATATTCTAAATCAATGACAGCAGATTTGTCTATTTTTAGCCTTGATGACTCATCCCGACATGACGCACCTTCCTCACAAATGACAGTAGAACCCCGATAAAAATGAAATAATTAGAGCGAAAAACCATGGTATCGTCTGCAGAAGTCAGCCTGTGTCTGCTCAACGTGCCCCTAACCCCGGGGTCTCTCCTGTACAGGTGAAGGAACTAGACAGACTGGGCCCTGGAGATTATTTATCATTGCTGTGCTTTGCATAGACATTTGCACAGGTACATAAGTAATATATTATCCATGCATTGACACAGATGGCACAGAAACATTTATCCATCAACTAGTTCTATGTCTGGTCCTTCGTTCTTACCTTAATATAATCCAATACATTTGATAACGTTAAGGAGAAGTTACTTTACCACGAAACTCGCCATTTTGATGAGCAGGTGCGACCTGGAAATCTCGAATAATCTCGTGTCCTGATGCTTCCTGTTTTAGGTGTGTAGTACGGCTGTGAGCATATATGAGAATTGTTCTGCGCACTGTGAGATATGTAATCTCCTTGCATGTCATCAGTGTTATGCGAAATATCAAAGTATCTAAAGATTACATGCATAGTTAAAGAAGGCTGTCATGTGATAAAGAACGAGATGTCAGTCTTAGGTCAAGGCCATTTTCAGGTCACTCACTGGATGCTACACACATGCTGCTCTCTGTGTCAAGGAGTGTGTTTCTCTGTCGATCTGTCGGGATACCGCAGTTTATCTGTCATGCGAGGTTTTTAACGAACAGAAGCAGGTCTAAATCAGCTCGGCCTGCATTAAAACCAACGAAGAAAGAACCTAAAGTGCCTGTAGGACGGAAATCGGCTCTAGATGCATTGAGAGAGATTGAAATTGCACAAAAACCAACCCCAAAACAACTTTTTGATTACTTTTTGGTTCTAGATTTCGAAGCAACGTGTGATGATGGTTCTATTGTTGACGAAAAAGTTGAAGTTCAGGCAAGTATTAAAATTAAAGGAATGGTATGACAGAAGACATAAATATTAGAATTATAGAAAAGTTGTTTGAGTCCTGCTATCTGGGATACTAGCACAAGTAATCGCCTGTAAAAGGCTATAAAAGATTTAAATTTCACAGGCAATTGATGAGATTAAACTGTATTAATCAATTAACAATGCATAACTATGCTTTAATATTTATAGTGAAATACTATTGCCATACCAGCACTTTAAAGATAAAATTGGTCAGAGATAGCATGCCACAACAATCCAGGATATACCTTTTCTTTCAGTGCAAAAATCATGATTGGATTTCACCACTGAGATTCATCATAACTAAAATGTCTATAGCTAAATCTGCATTTGCTGTCACAGTTATACATAGGTTGAAATAAGACACTCCCGCTGGAGCGCTTACCAGTAGGTTATACATGCACTGATGAGACTTTTTGGACTTTCCTTGGAATTCCGATTTTTTCAGGGTCATTTGGGTCATTCTTGTGAAACGTGTAAATCCTACTTTTTCAATGAGGACTGGTCTCATGGATTAACAACATCAGACATGCTTGTTTAAATCTCATTTTTTTTCTTTTCAGGAAATAATAGAATTTCCCGTTGTTAAAATAAATTCAAATACCTGGAAAACAGAAGCATTGTTTTATCATTATGTTCGCCCACAGGTTCATCCAACATTGTCAGCTTTTTGCACAAAGGTATTTAAAAAATTCTCCTACTAGATAATTTGTCACACTGAAAGGTTTTGTGTCAGTAACAATTTGTCTTTCTAAGTTAAGTGCCATTTCACGAGAGAATCAACCAAATCAGCCAAAAATCGGCAAGGTGGGGGTCAACAGATTCAACCCAAATTTTCTGTGTTTGATAACTGTTACAAAAGATGTTGAAAACACACTTTAAAAAAATTCTGAAAATTCTGGAAAAAATAGATATTGCCATCTNACCCCTCATTCTAGACGTCCACCCCAACGTATCCTGACGAGGTGCAGTATTTTTTATTGCGTAATTACAAAGCTCAAGTCCTTAACTGTTCAAAAATTGCCTTATTTTATTCAAATTTGACGCCGTGTTAGGCTAAATTTGCCAATTGGCGAGTGCTGATTTTTTACCTTGATTTTGTACCCTCTTTTCACGGGCCAATTTCGTTACTATAGCAACGTGATTGACAATTTAGTCACATATCATCCGAAAGGTCTTGGCATGGATCCTTAGAAAAAGGGAATAGTTAAGGCTGAAATATCAAATCCTTCATGGAATTTACAAGCAAACTTCCACTACTTTTGTTACGATATTTTGTGTGGTCAGGACCCCCAAATTTCAGATGGCAATATCTATTTTTTCCAGAATTTTCAGAATTTTTTTAAAGTGTGTTTTCAACATCTTTTGTAACAGTTATCAAACACAGAAAATTTGGGTTGAATCTGTTGACCCCCACCTTGCCGCTATTTGGTTGATTCTCTCGTGAAATGGCACTTAATTATATTTTAGGACACATTTATTTCTTTTTTAAAGATCAATACATAATTGTCTTATTTCTTTTCTAAACAAATTCTTCAAAATAAGCAGAATATGACTAAGATCTGGGTGAGTGGTGTTTTGCTAATTTTAAACCTATTTTACCAGCTTACAGGTATTCTGCAACCAATGGTAGAAAATCAACCAGATATCAAAGAAGTACTAAAAGTAAGAATAGATTTTTCATTATATTTTTCAGAATTATTTTGATGTCTTTTAAATATAGTTAAGAATACCTAACAATATAAAAAATATAAATTGCATTCATAATGTATACCTGATTTTATTCATTCATTTATTCATTCACTTAAAATCATTGCCAGTATTTTTTTCTTTTGGCATCCTATGTTTTCCTCTCTTTTCCAGTCCATAATGTTCATGCAGTGACTGTTTATGAAGATAAGGTTTAAGCAGGGATATATATTTGTTTTATAGTGATTGTAGTTTGAATTTAAACTTGTGAATTGATATTGGTATAAGTTGTTAATAAATTAATGATGTAATTTCAGAAGTTCGACACATGGATGCTTAAAGAAGGGCTACTAGATGATGGTGTAAAATTTGCATTTGTTACATATGGCGATTGGGATTTAGGGAAATTGTAAGTGTGAACAATTCAATAAAAAAACAGAAATCAAATGAATTTTAAAGTTTGTATATAGATTTGAACAGATAACTTACTGAAGTCCTTTTGTGTCATATGATTTGGTTTCAAGTCTCTAAAATGAACCTTTTATCTATGCATTTCTCCAATCACCTTATAAATGTCTAATATTGGTTTAATTAAATTGTTTGTTTATTAGTTTTTTGTTTGTTTGTGATAATATAACAAATATTTTTTCAGACTTCCTCGAAACTGTGCATACTTTAACATCCCAGTGCCAGCTTATTTTAAGGAATGGATAAATATTAAAAGGGTAATTGTAAATTATGATATCTGTCATCTTGCACTGTCTCAGTCATGGTTACGGGTATATTGACTGTTTACTCAGGAAGTACATTCTCGGAAAAAGCACTCCTAATGTTAAAGATGTAATAAGTGTAATGAGCACTACATGCATATGTTATAGTGACATTTACAGGCTAATTGTTCATGTACTAGGTTTCAATACATATCATAGAAGTCAATCAAGCCTTGCAACAATGTTCTATGTTCATGAGATTCATTTCCCATCTTTCTTTTTTTCCCAGCCTGTAAGTGATGTGACAGGGATATATCCTCGAAGTTTTTTCCATGCCCTTCAAGTTATGAATGTAGAACACATTGGTCGTCATCATAGTGGCTTAGGTAATATCATCTTGCAGAGGTCATTCTTTAAAGACATTCACAGATAAAATTTTTAATAAATGAACCATGGGAGGCAGTCATGGAAGTGAAAAAATAAAAATTTCATGGAGGGCTTTTTAGGGGAAATCACATTAGACTTCTTACATAAAAGGGTAAAATTTTATAAAATGCATTTGAAAGGAAAGGCTCCATCTGTTGAACAACAATACCTACTTGAAATCATTCAGTGTGCATGTCTGAAAAAGTATGTGGCAAATCCATTTATTCATATGATTTCGTAGTTGAAATGCAAGATTTTATAAGCTACTTGTGGACCTCATGTTGGTGGGTTCAATTTTAATGGCAACCGAACCTGATGTTCCCAGATTGTACCTCTGCCAGGATGGTAGTATAAGGGGCCATTCAGAATAGAAGATCCAAGTATCAACTGGTCCAAAGCTCAAATATGGCAGACCCTACATGAAAGGAAGACTGCTTAATCTTGTCATTTTTTTCTCCACCTCTCACATTCCTCCTCATACGTCTGGTCGAATGGAGCTGAGATTTAATACCTGTGCCCCTGCAGGGATGACGCGTTGGGAGGCATGTGAGAGGCAGAGAGACCATTACAGGATTAATCTATTTATTCGTATGAATTCGTAGTTGAAATGCAAGATTTTATAAGCTATTTGGGGATCTTTCATTCTGAATGGGGCCTAATAGTATGAGAACTGTTACATGTACCAGGGGTTGTCTGGTTGCAGTGTAGTCACTGTATGTAATGTTTCAAAAACAACTTATGATTTTCAAAAATGTTGAATTGATTTAATCCAGTCAGACAATGTCAAATTGTTATATTTTTTCTTTTTAGATGATGTAAAGAATACTGCTAATCTCTTGAGGGCTGTGGCAGAGAAGGATTATGTTTTTCAAATTACACAATGGACAGCTGTGAACTGAATTCTAGATATAAAGACTTTTTAAGGAAACAATTCATTCTTTTTTGTCTTAAAAGGATTACTGCACTGATATTTGAAAAGGTGGAGTGACAGTGTGGAGCAGAAGTTGAATCCAACTGTTTAATATTATATTGGTTTGTCCTTGGGACAGCCTACATGACATCATTTCTAATAGCCTGGTTTATTACAGGATTTTATTTCATGCCCACTTATCGTAATAAAAAAATTTAAGGCTTATTTCAGTGATGTCTTGAAAATTTAATTTGCTATTCCCCTGCCAACCCCCCCCCCCAACACACACACACACACACACACACTTCAACCAAAAACTTCCCTTGTCACCAAGACAACATCTCAATGAATTACAAAAGTTTGAACAAATACACCAAAGAGACTCAAGAAGTCTTAAGTGATCAATCACAGTTTATTACACAAATAATGTGCTTACATATAGAAATATATGGAATTTGGGCTCTATTAGTACTTAAAACATTTGATGAGATAAAAGGTAAGTTTGTAGACTTCTCTTTTTTCACTAAAATGCAAGTGCCAGAAATAATGTGAATTGTATGACAGAGCAGGAAAAAAAAGAAAGTGTGGACAATCTACTCTATCCCATGGCACGAAGAAATAGAAATCTACACTAAAACCTATGTTTGCAAAGATAACCTTTAACAAAAGGAAGTGTTGACTAGATAGTTTTGATTGTAGTGAACAAGACACAATCTGAACGACATGGTATAACCATTTCTGTAATGGTGAAATGAAAAGGCAATTATCTGCTATATATTAAATATTAATAATGCTCTTAATCAAGAAATGCCTATGAATGCTGGAATAAAGGCTTCAAATTTTGTAGATTGCACCCATAATAGAAGTATGCACTGCTTAAATAAACTTTGTACACACGATAAAGAGATGCAACATACAACCAAGGTCATATTAAACAAAAAGACTTAATATAAAATCAATGGAATGATTGCAATCAAGATCTTATCAATATACAAAACAATGCTCATTGAAAGAGTTGGGTTGACTCAATTTTCACAGAAATGTAATAGAATGGATCAAATAATTCCATTATACAATATAATTTGAAAACTATCACTCTCTTTACATAATTTCTTTCCAAGATAACATAGTAAGACATCAAACATGTTACTTTGAAGTGAAAAAGATCAACAATACCAAACCTTGCTCACAGTAACATTTTGGAAAAAAAAAGTATCTGGAATCTGTAACATTAATCAAGGTAAATCGAAGTAAATAATGTGATTGGAGCTTTCACAATACGTCTATGATCTACATAACAGAAAGAGGGTAAACTACTCCCGTGATAAAACATGATAAAAACGTGATAAAACACTACATTTCATAGTTCTGATTTCCCTAGCTAAATCATCATTTAAAACCTTGATACACTTAAAATCAATTATTCCCAACCTTGGTTTTATTCATTATCTTGAGAGTCTGGCATGATGTTTATATTATTGTGCCTTTTTAATTTATTATTTTCCATCTATCATTGATATCAGTCTGACAAAATCCATGTCTGTACATTGCTGTACTTGTGTCCACTGTAACATCTAGGACACAGCTTGTCTCCAGTGTATCAGCTGTAGGAAATGACTCCCTCCTCACTCCTGTATTGTCCATGTGCTTGGACTCTCACAGGAACAAACACCTTTACATTAAAGCTTGTACTTTTGTAGTCAGTTATGCCGCACATTATCTTAAAGCAACTGTAAAAACTACCTTTAAGGTTTATTCCCATTAGACCATATAGCTATATGGATAGTTACTGAGATCTCCCCAATTTAAATGATTACCTACTAGGTACAAAAAATACCACTGAAAGGCTTGTCTTGCCAGAAAATACTGTCTTCACACATTTTTCATCACATCCACTTTCAATGATTATAAATCTGCAATTATAAATTTTCATAAATAATAACAAGAAGTTATCACATTTCATGTCTTTCTTGGTCCCATTATCATCAACTACCAAGGAATGCAGCATGAAGCAAACAAGCTATAATAATTATACTTAGACATGAGGAAACTGTTTCCACAACAATAACATTCAAAGTGCAATAACAATTAAATATAGCTAAATTCTGATTAAATATGGTACCTACCAAAAAATGAATAAGAAAGCAAGACAGTGTAATAAACAATTAAGTGAACACAATATGCACTTGTATATGTGCACAAGAAGTAACCTTGCCAAAATTTTTACATAGTGCTCCTAACATTTAAATCTGCAGATTGGTTTAACCGAATTTCATTTAATTTGGCTAAATACAGAACAGGCATCCTTGATCTGATAAGCTGCAGAACAGACACATTGCTGTGATTCCCATTGGCATATAGTGAGTGGCTATGATACAGTCCTTAGGCCTTACTCTGAAGCTCAAATTGGATTAAATAACCTACAATTGCAAACATAAGCAAAAGTTCCTACATCTTGCTATCAGTCTTTCTTTTATGAATAGCAATAACAACATCGAGAAAAAAGCACTTATGAAAAGATTAACTGCCACTTGAAGCCACACTGCAATATAACTCCATATCTACACATCATCAACAATCACAACAATAAACATTAATTGAGCTGCACCATCCCCATTTCTAAAAGATTCAAATAAGTAGTGATGCTGCTACCTAAAATGCATCTTTTCTTAACATGACAACCTTTAATAAGGTTTCTGGTCCCTGTGCTGTGTAATACCCCTTATGTGGTCATAAATATACATCTGAATCACATTTTTGTAGGCGTGGTACAAGCTTCTTGGCATTAAAAAGGTATAAACCTGGGTAATGACTATTGTTAATCTTCATGTGGACTAGTACTAAAACTGCTCACTGAATTCTGCTACTTCTTTAAGTCGGCCGCTCTTGGCATCAGAAATCGCACCCCACAAATCAAAAACAAAGTCATCTGTAAAGCCAAACATCCCCAGGTCCGAGTTATCCATGGCTAATGCAAAATCGTGAGGGTTGTCTTTTTGACTGCCGATTTCCCAGATTGTCTGAGCTGAAATAGAAAACACAAAGCATGTCAGCAGTAGTTAACAAGGTGTGTCTAGTCCATTCAATTTAAAATAGTTCTTTTCAGTGAGCCCATTGTCGAACAAGACTTATCATAACTAAAGAATTCAGTAATTTCACCTAATTTTTACACCTGTACTGATTTTGTATGACTCATCAAGCCATATGTGTGTGTACACAGGGAATTAACCCTTTTGGTTTAATGGGTGGGATTTTATACTGCATACACATCACCTCCATGGACACAGAAAATCCATTCAAATGAGATAGATTTGATTTTTAAAAGTTGTACATATTATTTAATGCTTTCCTTTGTAAATGTGCTCAAGTCACTGCAAATATCATCCTGACAGGAGGGAAATGCAAAATGTTATGAGACATTAATTAAAATCTTTCAGCTGTTTTATAGAGTCCAGAGGAACAGCTGTGACCCTTGAATCTCTTTAGTCTCTTTATTACACAAGCCAACCTTTAATTTCTATTGTCAATATTCACAGGGTTTCATCCTCAACCTCACTTCTCAATACTAGGTCACAGACTTTGGAAGGGTGCACTGCAGTTAGTAGCCCTATTACAAAAGTTGAGATAAGCTGTTTCCTTTGCGTGATGTTGGAATGTGTAGTATGTACAGAAGCCAACATGCTATCAGACTGCGACAAAGTGGAAAAAAAGTCTAATGTATTACTCAAATATATCTCATTGTGTTAAATAAATGTACAAATAAAACCGAGTTTTGCTGTCAAAACTGATAATTAAAAAAAATCAGATTAAATTCATTACATCAAATAGTCTAGTTTTGGAGGAAAACATGTTTAAGACATTAGGAGTGATTAATTTTTCAAAAGTTTCAGACACATAAATATAATACTTTTCTATGCAGTCTTTGTGCCCTTTGGGGTTTGTAGTTTTGTCAAGTATGTGGACAAATACAAGTCCCTTTAACCTAAAGCTATAAATATCTTATCTAAAAATCGCTACTTGTACCGACCAGCATAAGAGTGCTTCTATTCTTCCCTTACCAAAACAATAGTTTTCACTGTATCATAATGTAAACTACCTAATATTGAATGCCATGCTATATGAAGCAAGTTTTTGGGGTCAAAGACATATAACTTGACCATAATCACCTATATGATTATGTGCTATTACAACATCTGATACACATGGTCATTCTCTTCTTCTTTTTATATAAGCAACATTTGTGTTAACAAGCTTAAGGCACTAGACATTATTTTGAAATTATATTCTATGATGATAAAATGTAAACAGAAACATACGGATCATCACCTATATTTCCAGAATCATATTTTATAATTTTTTATAATAAAAACTACACTTACATAATTCTGTATCATTTATTCCCATGAAGGACTCTAACAGTGAGTTGATCTTGTCTGTGGCCACACTCACTACCTCATCAGGCTAAAAAACATAAATTTCATATGACAGACAAAAGAAACAAAGATGTGGACTTATAATGAATTTAAATGATAACTAGAGGATCAGAGAGGCAATACCGCCTCCGGATATTGTACCACCAGCTGGAGTAAGCGCATTCGTATGAAAAACCAGAAACAAACAACACCAGTGTTGTGTTTCACAAGCTCTTCAAAATGCAATAACCAATACAAGAAATATGCCCCTTCCCCTAAAATACAAAAAAAACAGCACAACTTTTATAAAAATCGTCTGATCAAGCCGATTTTCAAGACAATAGGCTTGTCAGTTTTCTTTGAAATGCATTATCAGTGTTGCATATATATTGAAAGAAAGAAATAGGCCTATCTCTGCCAGTTTTGGAAATATTAAGGGATAGAAAATTTGCAAAGTTCAGTTCATGGTGAAAAGAAGGTCAAAGGTCAATTTAAATGTGACAGATGTTCAGCATAAGACTCCCTATTCAAGTTCAAAAGTAACCATGTGTGTATCTCTGCCAGTATTGGAGATAAAAGAGATGGAAAAATTGCAAAGTTCAGTGCATGGTGAAAAGTAGGTCAAAGGTCAATTTCAAGGTCACAGTTAGATTGTTAGTATGTGACTTCCTATTCAAGTTCAATGGTAACTATGGGTTTATCTCTGATAGTTTTGGAGATATAAGGGATAGAAAAATTGCAAAGTTCAGTTCATGGTAAAAAGTAGGTCGAAGGTCAATTTCAAGGTCACAGTTACATTGCCAGTATATGACTTCCTATTCAAGTTCAATGGTAACTATGGGTGTATCTCAGCTACTTTTGGAGTATTTCACATTTTATTTTCACCATTGAATATTGCTGAGTTGTGCTTTTTGATATAGCGCAACTCTTTGACCGTATCGCAAACAAAAAAATGGACACCACCTCCAGTATTGCGCTTGACAAGCTCTACATAATGCAAAAAACAAGAGGTCTCTAGCATTTACGGTTCCAGAATTATGGCGAGTTTTAAGTTTCGGCATCTTATGGCCGTTTCTCCCATGAAAATGCACCGATTGACCCAAACTCCCAAAGATAAAAGGAGTTCCTAATTGCATCCCCTAACTATAATGTGAGTGCTACACTCTGTGTTGTTTCTGAAATTCGGCACAAATAAAAGTTTTTTTGCAAAAAATTCCCATTTTTAGAAAATTTTGGCCTGTTTGACCTTGAAGCATATTTGAAATCCTCATATGTGACTTTCGGTCAGACTTTTATACTAATTTTTCCCATAATTCCTTCCGTTTAGGAGATATATAGCATTGAATTTTCAAAAGATTTGACAAGGGTGCATTTCACTGAGTGTCACGCCCAAGTGAATGCACCGACTGAGACAAAAAAACCAGGGGGGTCAAGTTGAGATTATATGTGACCTAAATCCAAGAGATGGGGACACAGGTCCGTGTGGTCTAGGAGGAGAAGCGGTAACGGTGACTTGTATCCCACGCCACCCTGCGGAGCCGACGGCGCTTATAGAGCCGGCGGAGCTAACGGAGCCGGCGGAGCCGTACGATACCGGTTGGGACTAAAACCATGAGTACCGCCAGCGTACATGCTGGTGGTACTAATAAACTGTACCAAAATAGTTTTGTGAAATCATGCCTACATACATATAATCATTTGCGCGCGCACACACACACACACAAACACACACACACACTATCCAATTCCCATTTCCATTTCAATCAGCTTAATGCACTGCTCATTCTCAGATGATATTATTACAAAGTAAAACAGGCAAACAACACAAAGCCATCTCTTTATTATACTGCATAGAAATATGATCCGTGTGACATGCAATAAAAATCGATACCCGCACCTGTCCAGGTAGGTGACGAAAAGGAATATGTATACATTAATATTGAAAAATATGCCTTTCTTTTTTTTTTTGCTTGAGCCTTCTATCAATTCTATAGCCTTTTTTCATTCTAAGGACACTGACAGTTGTACAATGATGCTGTTCAACAATTTCTACTCACTACTTCTACTGTTGCTGGCCCCTTTGATCGTAGTCTCAGCGTCTCTTTTCCTGACCCATAGTTGCTTCCTCCTTTCTTACCACCAGATGACGGACCAATATTAGCTGTAATTATTGATGTTCTATATATTAAGACCAATTCTATAAGCAAACAATATTAAAAAGCATGCACAGATGACACCAGTTTAAAGGGATAACAACTCTTCATATTGAACCAATTCAAATATATTGTAAACAATGCATAGAAATATAATAAAATTTCTTTTTACCACCAAAAGGGCAGTTATCACAATTATTCTGAAATCTGTGCTTGCGATGGAACCATGTACAGATTCATAGATGGCTACCCTCCATAAATTAAAAAAACACACTTAAAAAACGACTAACTTTGAATGTCAAAACCAATCCATTAACCATATGTAATTTGTGTGTGAAATCATTGTTTACCCCAGAAAAAATCAGTTTTATAGCACTTTCCTACCAAAAATAAGAGTTGCTATCCCTATAAGCCCTTTGTATTGTTACTTGTTGTAGTATTGGTCTTAAGACAAGTGACAAATGTACATCAGACCAGTTCTAAGGGTTAGGAAAGGTGCATTGCAATAAGCATGAAATAAGTGTGAAATAATATGCAAGCCAGAAATTAGTTTTATGTCACCCTAGTTATAATGAAGGCAGGAGATCCTAATGCATGATTAATGAGGCGCAAACATAGACCATGAGTGCAGAGTCTGATTAAATGTCCTCACATATAAAACCAAACAAAATTGTTCAATCGACAATTTAGGGTCCTGTTTTCCAGGGACAACTGAGAGAAACTGTCAATTTTGAAATTCTGTGGAAAAATTTTGCTGGTGCAGAAATGTGCCCAGAATAAGGTAGAGAAATATCTGTGAATATGTAGCGAAAAAAGTCTCTCTGGTCCTGGTAGAAGTTCAAGGATCCTTTATACCATAAGATCACTGCATTATATCTAATCCCCAGCTCTATTTTCACCATGTAACTCTTTAATTAGCAAACCAAGCAAAAACCAATACACAGGAAAACAGCAAAACTGATGTTTGATGCCAACTCTTCCTTCCCTGATAAAGGTTGCTGGTAGACTTTAAAATATTGGACTGACAGTATTAAACAATGTTACAGCTGTTGAATGGCTGTATGAAAGGATCTATATAACTCAACAGCTGATATATTTTGATTATGAGAGCCTTCAATTTGCATCTCCCTTTTGTGAAAACAGACAATGATAAATTCAATTTCAGCAACATCTTTGAAAATGGCCAAAGGCATACTTACAAAATCCTGACTTCATGGGTCCCACCACCCTCATTGTGAAGGTAGTTCCTACTGGGATTTCTTTCAACATTTTTGCAACTTCATAATGCCTGCTGCCTACTAAACTTGTTTCATTTATCTTTTCTATGTGATCTCCAACATCTATCAGAGGCACTTTGTCCATGACACTTCCTTCCTTGATACGTTTTATAAAGGCATAACCTGCACCGTTATCTGTTATTGTGAGACCTAGTGCTTCTTCCGATTTGGTAATATCCACTTCTTTTGGTTGGCCTTTGACGTGTGCAAATATGAAATCTTCCAGACCTATCTGGCCTCCTAAAAGCCGTGCCATGTCCACTTTGTGTGTATTCAGAGTGCAAAACAAAATCTGAAAGCAAACAATGACAAAATTATAGTTCAGTAACGTAACATACAGGCATTTTTTTTTTAATCTCCGTGGAGTTGTGATGTTATAGCAAAAGGTCTATATGCTTTAAGTATTTTTCTTGCAATTTTGCAAATAACAAATTGTTGTATATGATAAATATTACATATGCATTAAATTTATCAATCTAGATAAAAATCCACAGAATATATTTCATTCAATTTGAGTTCTGAGCTTGATACATTTAATATACTACACTTGAGGAGAAAGAAAACCTGATGCTTCGAGAGGAGTGCAAAGTCAATGACGTCCAGTATAATAGAATTTTCTGGCAGTTTAGAAATAACCATTCTATTTCTGATGTGGTTTCTTTATGGACATTACATGACAAGCATTATTTAAATAATACAGGCAGTCTCTGAAAATGTGGGAAAAGCTACAGCCGTGTAAAAAAACAGCTTTCTATATTGATCCATGTTGACTTCTGGTTAATATTGAGTATGTGCAAGTGCTTTAACAGAAACTGTATCTTCTGTACAAGTCTACTAACATGTCATTGCATGTAGTTCAAATCACAATCAGACATACATGACTCCCTACTTCTTCCAGATGAAACAATTTATCACTAAGGTGATACAGTTGCCATAGACACAAGACAACATTACAATATTATCTGAAAATTTTGAGGATATGTGTCAGATAATCAATATTTACAATCACTGCATCTAACCAATAACTTTGTGTCACGTATGGTTCTGTCTATTTCTGTGATTCTCTGCCTGTCTGCCAAGATGTCAATATCAAGCTGTACCCATTCAAACAAATGCGCATGCTTAAACACACACACACATGCACACACATATACACACACACTGTAAAGAGGGGCTTTAAAAATCAATTTTACAAAATGACTAATAAGTAGAAAACATTTATGTCTTATCCATTAAAAGCCCTTAAGATAATTAAAAATATTAATTAATAAAAATTAATATTTAAAATTATCCACCTTAAAACATTGTATATTCTCATAATCCTGTCATAATCCAAAAAATAAAGAAAAGACAAGCATGTAAAGAGACATATAAGCAAACAGTTTTATGACACACCCACATTTCTTCATGGGAGTCTGCAATTGACTTCTAAAAGGCAGTGCGCAGTTGTAAGTCATGTCAATATTTATGCAATGTCACGCTTGTGACACTGTTAGATCATAGCTTGCTTAAACCTTGAGAAAAAATGAACAGAGGCAGGCTATTGATCTGTGAAGAGGTAATGGAAATGGATATGTCAACAGATTGTAAACGTTATAATAAATGTGCCTGTAATTCAAAAAGCTGCTATCAACAAATAAAAAAAATGTTTGTCAACTGAGACAACACCCTAAATGAATTAATGAAAATAATTCAATTCAACCATCACATACCTCTGAGGCAGGCATATCGTAGCATTCTGCTATTTTTTGATACAGTTCCTTCACATTTGTGAAACCTGTAATAATGCCTGTGGGACTGCCGTGGGCTTGCTGACAATGGAACACTAATTTAGGCCTGTTGTTTTGCTGTGCTGCTGGTTGAACGTTTGGTTTTTGGCCCCCTTTGGTAGCCGACCCATTAGCCTGGGACACTGCGTTGCTCATCTCCCCCGGTGGAGGTGCGGAAGGCGGTTCCTGGTTCGTCGCTTGCGGCTGCTCCACAAGCTGCTCCCTTTTCTTCTTGCCAAACAGGGGCATCCTCGGTAATTACTAATTATCAATATTTATGACAATCAGCTGTCTCCGACCTATGATTGGTCAAATAATGTAGAAAATCACCCAACTCAATTTCCTTGTTGTGTCAATGATCAGCCATCAAACAGGAAGTATGGTGCAGGTCAGTGACATATATTTTCTCACCTACTTACAAGATTTATTTTGTCAAAGTTTTTGAAAGAATAATATCATATAATTTACAAGTATAGCTCACATGAAATTTATAATTGTTCTATTTCTAAACTGCCAGAAAATTCTATTATACTGGACGTCATTGACTTTGCACTCCTCTCGATGCTCATTACAGTCCGCAGTTGTAAACAATCTTCGCCATGATTGGCTAAAAAAGCGTGATGTTGTAAGGGTTGTGAAGCAGGATGGATGCGGATGTCGTGCCGATAATATTTATATGGGTTTTACAGAATGTAGCACGAACATCTGGTGAGAAATGATATTTTGATATTATTGTACGTGTAACAATTTATCTGTAGGAATTACATTTGGTATCATACCGATGCATCATTGTGCGGTCCGTACTGTTAATGATGTGCCCGTCTTTTCTTGTTCCATGCAGAAACAAGTCCACCGCAGCTGGTGATTGATGTAATATTATAATCAACTTGTTTGCGGTTTTTCCTGTCTTGTAAAATGTGTCATTAAGAAAAATTTGCGCTAAAAGCCAGAACATATAAGCCATGTATAAAATTAGATACAAATGCCCACACACTTTCTCTACACTGACACTGTGCATACTAAAAGTGTTATTTGTGTGATTATCATTTTCTTCACACCGTTTTGTAGCATCAGTTTTTTTAGCATCTCTGCCTTTCACAATCAATTTTTTTTTCAATTTATTTATTTTATGTAAAATTTGTTTCTTTCTTTTTTTTCTTCTTATTTTGCTTTCCCCCACTTCTGCTCTCTCAATCATTTCATATATTTTGTTTTACCAAATAATTAAGCAACATCAAAATTTTTTCTGCTGCCTATAAAAAGTTGTAAGATGATGTATACAGTGTCTTAGTATTCAGTGAGTATCAGATCAGTGAAGATATGTTATTCCGCAGATCAACTTGTCTTGAATGCAGCCTTAGAATGAGAGACCTTCAACTTGATGTCTCCCATAGGACTACATAGATGTTGGATTTATAGTTGGTGGCCAATAGGCCAAGGACATCACGTGTTTTAGGTCAACACTTAGACAAAATGTTCTCTGCTATCAAGGCCATAACAAAATATATTATTTTAATGTTTTCCAATTTCAACCTGTCATCCCTTTTTTTTAATATGTCTGATTTACCCAAGGATTTTAAAAAATCTTTTAAGAAAAATATGTCTTTGATTTACCCAAGGATTAAAAAAATTATTTAAGGATATACATTGGGGGTTTAACCATATTTTTGTAAAATGAATCATAGGTGAACAATTTCTTTTTTCATTTCAGGTTATACATTTGTGGACACTACATGGACTACTGGATTGGAAGTCTCTGAATATGAGTCCTATAAAAATATGCGACTTTTCAAATTTGAAGTCCCAGATGACACAGTTCGGGCTGTGTTCAGTATGAAAGCAATAGTGAAAGGCAATGACAGGTGCCCCAACAGGAAGATATCAGTGTAAGGAGTTGCTTTTGGATATCCTTTACTCATGGGGTAAAGTGTCTTGTCTGACAGTGAGAGACATAATGCAGTGTGGTACTATTTTAATCAGACTCAACATTTACTTGTCTTGTTATGGCTAAGCTTTCACATGCTACTTGAGTAACCTGTTTACACATCCTTGCATGAGTACTTATGAAATGATTCTATTTGCATCATGTCATAACTATTTTCATTTATTCATTTATTTATGAAAAGATTCATGCAGCAGTGTAATCTAACCTTATCTTTCAAGTGCAGAATTATTCCCCCTTTTTAACTGTGCGAATATGCTGTGCTATCATAGGGATTTAATGTTTCATTTTGATGAAAATGATGCCCTTAAAATAATGAGACAATTTTCATTTGATTTTTCATTCATATATATGGTACATATTTTTTGCATCAACCTTTGGTTATCTTTTTCCTAACAGGAATATCCAAGAAGGTGGTTACCCACTTCACAACACCAGCAGTGACATATTTCCAGACAAGTTTTATTTAAACCGCAGTATGTCTATCTCATTACCTGGTATCAGTACAGATGCTCATTCCACCAGCACAGAGCTGTACCTCAGTGTACCAAAACCAGGAAGCTACTTTGCTGGAGCCTTCATATCTGAGGATAAAGATGGCAAGAGTGATGGTATAGTAAGTAGTCATAGTGTGCTTTATCTTGATGTTCTCTTAATGTGTTAGTTTTTGCACTAATAGTTATGATTGTGAATGAAATGGAATTATTCCTGGCCATTATGCTATCAGTCAGTGTTGTGAAGTTGTTACAGAAGAACCATTCAAAATGCCAGTATATTTTTGTTCCAGACGCAAAAAGAATTCAAGGAGGTGTGCCACTATTTTATCACCATAACAATGCTGTCCTACACCAAGCAGGGTACACAGCAAATGGCAACATCTCAGAATAATGCAGTCCAACTGGGCCCACATGGCGGGGGAATGTACAGGTATGTCAACTGATGGCCCAGTAATAAGGAGGACCCTGCTGCACTAGGAGACTAAGTAATTAAAAATAGAGCTGTCTGAATACATTTATAGTAGTAAAAATGAATGATATGATGGTCATATAAAAAAGAGATGTATTCTAGTAATTTTTTCATGAAGATAAATATTATTTCATTTTGGAGGTTAAGTCTTGTCCCAGGTAAAAAAAACAACTTCTTGATGTGATTTGTATACCTTTTCATATCATTTCAGGATGTTTATGCCCAATGATGTCTGGAGATATGTCATCAGCATAAACAAATGTGTTGTGCACACAAATCTCAGCCAGTGCCCTGTAGTACTGTACACGCGCAGTGCCAGTTTCCCTGTCCTAAGGGGCAGAGATAAAGACACACACTTGATGAACTGCACAGATGCAGGCATTCCTTGCAGAAGCACAGTGCATTCCCCACTGGCTGGCACTTGGCTCTATTTGTATATAAACAATACTTACAATGCCACTGTGGACCTTATACTCAGCGTCTTACCAGATGGTAAATATATTTTTACCAAAGATACTATTTTTATTTATTTATTTATTTATTTATTTATTTATTTATTTATTTTCATAAGTTTCTATCCATACAATATAAAAGGCTTAAAGTATTCATATGCAGATATGTTGTCTTCATTAAATAATGGTGGTAGTAAAGAACTGACATATGATATTTATTCATCATTTCTGCACTTCTTTAACTGATAGTATATTAGTTGTCTTTCAGTTATTCATTTGTAAATATCAATATGTGGTTCCTTTCAGAATGCCTATCTATCAACTCTGCCCCTCAGAGAAGGTCACAATTACAGTCCCCAATATCATCAGACAGTCAAGTCACTGTAACAGTATTCCCAATGAATGAAGACTCTCAGACCAATAGAACAGCAGCCAACACCACAGAAACCCAGGTGCTATATAATGTGACAAACCAGGAGGGAAAGTGTGCAATAGGAACCCTGGGAAGGTTCCAGGGTCCAGGAGACTTCAGGGCCCAGTTCTGGCCCCACGTGGAGGACGTTGCTCTGGCCAGCACGGTGGTCATTCCGGTCGGTTCTAAGGTGGTGTGGTCCTATGAAATACTGCCACAGTCAGATGCTGGGGGAACTCTCCATATATCTGTACACATTAACTCCTCTAGCATGGTAAGGTCAGGCTGGAACACAGAAAAGGTCCACTTCTTTGTACATCTTTGGCTCTTTTTACATTGAGAGGTACACACTGAGCTGTACAAGTCCACCTTAACGGGTCTCATTGTAATTAAGCTGCAGGGGTGTTTACTCCCTTTTACAAGTTTGCTCCCTACTGTTTAGTTAATTCATTTGCCATGTCAAGCATGGGGGTACATAAAGGTGAATCGTTTGTTATAACCAGGCTATTAAGTTAACAATCTTTCAAAAAGGACCAGTCCAGTTAAGTATGTCACTTGATGTGTATAGGACCATTTAATCTTTTGCTCCTTTAGTAAAACAGTGACACATGCCCGGATCACTACTGTGGCAGTTAAACTGGAGGGAGGAATGTTACTTGCAATTCTTGATCTTTATAATACATGTATTTCAGATGTAGTTGATACAGACATCTAAGGAATCAAATCTCCTTTCAGCCCATAAAGCCATACAACACCTCAGTCAAAGTTTGCATTATGAGAGGTAGACTTCCACTGGACGATACAGGGGTGACGTGTCCTGACACCAATATGTTGTCCCCTAACACCAGTGATGGGGACAGCAGTGAGAGTGAGGACCTCTACATACCCTACCCTGAATCTGGAAGATGGTACATGGGACTGCAGGCACTGTGCTACGAATTTGACGCCCTCTCAAAGTAAGAGTTCCTTTAACATTGATAATAGATCACTCTGGGGGCACACACACAAGTGCATTGTGCATACAACTTTTTCCCAAAAATGTTGATTTCTGAGGAGTTTTCTCTCAAAATTTTAAGTAAAAAATACTAGTGGAAAATGTGGGCTTGAAACTGGGTATGTGCCAGGACACTGACAGAGGACAAAAGACATAATGATATCAAAACATGATATCAAATGATGCGTCACCAGTAATAATTTCATTTTCTGTCTCTGTCATCTGTTGTGCTTGCTGTGGTTGCTCTTGGGCTTTATAAGATAATTAGGCCATTAAACCAAGAGCATTATCGTTTTTATCCCAATTTTCGAGATTTTCAGATTTGTGTCAATAATTTCTGCATGTGCTCATTCCAGTCAGACCAAGCCTGTCCTGTGTACAAATTACACTTTGCTAGACCTCCATGTTTCCCTGTCCCCCTGTGTGGATGGGGAGTGCGGGAAGTACGGGGAGTGTAGGGCTTACTCCTCGGGGATGAACATATACTCCACATGTGTGTGCTTTACTGGTAAGGCTTCATGTCTCTGCTAGCAACTATATGGCAGTACGTAGTTTTCGTAAAAGAAATTACTATAATGATTTACTGAAGCTTTACTATACATATCAACCTTAGTTCATAATATTCATTTCTGATTTATTGATATTTCGTATTGGTGAAGAGGAATTCATTGAACTGATTTTATTTAGTATTATTTTCAAAAAAGAACCAGGATTTTGTATAGTTTATGATGCTGTCATGTTATTAAGAATTGCGCTCTAAGTACCAAAGGCTTTAGATATCTGTCACAACTTTTTGCTAGTTTAATCCCCTATTTTACGCTGTGGAGTTTTATTTGCTTGGCGTGTGCGTACAATTGCATACATATGGTTTCCTAAGTAATATTTTTTGTTGTTTTCAGGTTACCATGGTTATGGCTGCACAGACACGTCTCAGGCCCTCCCAGAGTCTGTCCAGCTCTTACAGACAATGCTTCTGACTCTCAGTAACCTGTTCTTTATCCCAGGGATTGTCCTGGCTATATACAGGAGGTTCTACGTAGAGGCCTTTGTCTATGCCTTCAACATGTTTTTTTCAACAGTGAGTGAGCTAAACAAAGTGCTTATATAGTGGAAGATGATGTTTAAAAGAAAATTATAGCTAAACCTACAAAGATGTGATATAATGTGAGCAAAATCATGTAAAAAGCAGATGGTTTTATAGACAGACTACTACACTGGTTAATATTTTATATCATCTGAAACATGCTTTCACATATATTCTAGGTATTATTCAGGACAGACTCCCATTGTTAATATGTGTAATTCTATTGTTAATAACAAGTAAGACATCAGATTTACACATTTTGAATACTGTTCTTGGCAACTCTGCTTTAAAATATCAATGTGTGCAATATCTGTGTTCCAGTTTTACCATGCTTGTGATAGAAATAGACTGTACACGTGGTGTTTGATGAAATATGACACCCTCAGTTTCTGCGACTTCTATGGCTCCATCATGTCTTTCTGGGTGACCATTATCATCATGGCCAGACTGCCAGATGAGGCCAAGTGGTTCCTCCACATGCTGGGGGCCCTGGGGATCTCTATAGGAGTGGAGTATGACAGATACAGCCTCCCAGCATTTATAGTGCCCTTCGCAATAGCAGCTGTGGTGACATTTGGTTCTTGGGTGAGTAATTATACTGGAGTGAGTAGATCACTGTAAGTGATACTTAATACCATGAATTTTTTTTTTTTTTTTTGCCTACCTTTGTGCATGGATATCGGAGAACAAAAATAAGAATCATGTTGAGATAAAGAAAACTGTCTGAGATGCAGTCTTATTCAATTAATTGATATCACACTTGAACTGTTGTTTTTATTGATGAGGATCTGTTATGTAATGTTTTATACTCTCACTGTTTTGTTTGCTTTCTTTTCTACACTTCAGATGTATCAGTGCAGGAAAAGAAGAAGCTGCTACCCATCTAAGAAGCGGTGGCTGTGTTATCTGCTCCCAGGCATCCTGCTGGCAGGAATAGGACTGTGTGTTTTTGCGTTTGCGGAGACAGATGAAAACTATGCCTACACACACAGTGTATGGCATTTCACCATAGCTTCCAGTGTGTTCTTTTTACTCCCTCCTCGGCGTAGAAAGTCAGGTATGGAATATGCCTCATTTGATAACACTACATCCAGCCTGGATGTGACTACAGTACCAACTTCCAGTCACTTGGTAATGGTGCCCTCTGATGGCATAGTCCAAAGTCAACCAGATACTAACTCCATAATATAGGGAAACTTTGGGGTATTGTCTCCCTGCTTCTTGTGTATTTCTTGTCTTGTGGGTGACAGTAACATCTTGTTAAATTGGATGTACCACCGAAGTGATGTGAACTATCTTCTCATTCATAACTCTTCTGACTAGCAAGTGAAGGCAATTAAGCCAATATGTGCTCAGCATGAATTCAAGATATTTATATGGAAATTTGAAGCTGGATTTTTTTATCCTTAATTACAGTAAAATCAAAATCTACTGAATATTGCTGAGCAGTCCATGACTTAGTACATGTTATTAGAATTATGCGGGAGGCAATCGCAATAGTGTAAATCTTATTTAGTGTTGTAACCCTGAGATGGGTGCTGGCAGTCTTTGTACTTAATCACTATAAAAATGGAACTAGAATGATTTTATTCATGCTTGGAATGATCTACAAATTAAGTTTAGGAAAAATGTGTGTGTACACACAATTGTATTTTTTCCCAGTGCATGATGCTTTTGTGCCTTGTTGATTTTTCATTTATAGTAAAGCCTTTTAAGACTATTTTATTTTATTATATTATCGTGTATGTGTTAGTGTGTTTGCGTGCATGTGTGTGTGAGCAAAGTCTTGGATAAGCATGGGTACACATAGATTTAACTATAGTACATGATACTTTTTGTGCCTTGTGTTTTTTGTAAATATAATCTCTAATATTATAACCTTGAACTTTTGTGGAAAAGGTTTAATATACTTATATATCCATATATGAATTGATTTTAAGATTTATTGATTTAAGTCAATATGTGCATGTTGAATTGTGAAGCAAATATTGAATGAAGTTTTATTGCACAAACCACGTTAACTTGACTGAATACTATCTCTATGTGCATGAATGACTTGTTATGGGAAATGAGTTTTTATTGTTTTGTTTTAGATTCACACCAGTATTTTGAGTTAACATGGGATTGTGTTAAATATCTAGTCACATGCAGCAAATAATGCATTTTATTATTATTTCTATTATTATTATTATTATTTTGCATGGATATTTGTAGCTTACTTGCTTTGCTAGAATATGGAACAGTGCAAGCATGTACAGCAGGCGGGCATACATATCAGGTGGATTTAAAAACTTCCTGAACTCTACATTTTATTAACTCAAAAGCCATCAATTATAATTCAGTGAAATTTCACATTTACTGCTACATGATATTGTATGTGGCACTGGGAATATAAAGCTACATGTAACATAATGCTGCCTTTAATTTATATATCAGAGTTTATTAATTATTTTTTATCCACCTGAGTGACATATTGTATATAGTATGGCTTGCATCAGTCCTGTTCACAGGCAAAAAGTAATTATATAAACAACTTTTTTTAAATTTTATTCCCAATTTCATCACAGCATAACTGGCATGCATTTCACCTGTACTGTTCTCACTAGAAAGTTGACCTGAAACTGTTGTTGTGTTTGGTTTTCAGATCAATGTCAACCTGGTGCTAAAGATAGGGTAGTCACTGCTCTCTTGGACCATGAAGGAAATACTGTGCAAGCTATAATCTAGTTGCTTTTAGAGTCTTGCTATTCTTGAGATCAATTAGCAGAGGGAAGCATCTTTTTGTGCTTTCTCTTTTGATAACTATTTGCATTTTTTGTTTTGTTGATTTTGATTGACATAAATTAAACTTAATGATTTTTTTATAAAAAGAACTAATCAAATCTGTTGAATATTGCTTTCTGTTAATATGGCAAGTGAACATGACATGAAGCTCAATAAAATTACTTACTAGTATTTTTATATACAGACTCTTCCACTGTCTGTCTATACATTCTGATTATCTGCTTGTCCTCTTTGTCGCCATTCAAAACTGTCAAACCTTATTACTTTAAAGATTCGCAAACCGTAACTTTGTTTCACTTCAAAATCATAAAGGGTTTTTCTTGATAAAAACACCTAAAAATAGCCCTTTTTGGATTATTTCTGCAAAAAATTATCTCAATTTTTGTCGTATTTTGCATGCACACCTGCATTGTTTGGACTTGACTCCATTATCATCATTTCATTTAGGTGTTGTCTGATAAAAATGCTGGTAATGCTTGAAAATCGGAGATTGGCATAGCTGCAGTTAATGTTTTTGTGTAGTGTCTGTATATTTGCCAGCTTTGCTGTCTAATTTACCATTATATGATGATATACAAATTACTTAGTTTTGTATTTATGTCATTTTAGCAAATGATATAACATCTTCAATTTCATTTGTATTGTTGTTATTGCAAAGGAAGGAACTGAGCTGGCTAATTTTTCTAGAGGCAAACAGAATGTTCTCGAAATATGTTTAATTATTAGACAAATTAATATAATGTCAGGATCTTTCTAATGCAGTCCATTTACTTTTTGTAGTTAAAATTGTTATTTAATTTATTACTTTTGTTTTTTTATAACTAACCATTAATTTAAATCGCACATAAGTAGACATTAAGAATTTCAGGATCTTTCTCAAATTTGTGATCATTTGATTGCTCTTCATAAAGAATAACGTGTACTTACATAGTCCAGATTATTTTATGTTAATTGTATCTTGTGATACTGGTTTTAAGTGGTGAGTTATGTGTAATAGTATTGTATAATAAAATTCATTTTGTATAAGGGTATTCAGTTTGATTCCTGTCCATTAATATAGCTGGTCTAGACCGTTTACTTCCTTACCCGTTAAAAACACACTATCCACATTTTCTGTGTCTACGTCTTGCAAAACTACTTATCTTTCCCCAATTCATGCCTCAAAAAACATAAAAACCATCATATTAAAAACTGATGTTCATATTTCATTCTGAAACGTAGAGGAAACCTTTGTGGCCAAAGTGACAAGTCACAAGGAGGGGTCAAAAGATGATTTGTGAACAGGAGAAAATTGCTTTCTTTTTTTCAAGGAAGATTTGATCTGGCAGGAAAGTTCCAGATAGTAAAGACCTCTTTTTTTTTTTTTTTTGAAGATGCATAGGTGAGTGGGCAGGTCAAATTATTGCCACTAAAACCCCCGCAAATTCTACCATAGTTTCAAAAAGTATAACTGAAAAAAAAAACTAAAGTACAGGGTTTCTTTTTATTCCCCAAAATGATAAATGCAAGCTAAAATTTTCGTGGAAATGGACAATAACCTTAAAAATTCAGCAAGTATTTTTTTGTAAGTAACCAAAGCATGTATCATGCTGGGCATCTCTTATCCATGAACAAATACATACTACATATTTGGAATGATTTATTTTATACAAATTTAAACAATATGTACATGGTCATGCAGATATTTTTGCACAAAGTTATTTATAAGCTGTATATTAAGAAGCTGACCACTGAAGTCTTTCAAATGTTTTTTACTTGGACATGGTCATGAAGTTGTCCGTTTTTAACAATGGAGCAGTCTTGGAAAGATGTATCATGAGCTTTTTTATGTTAAAATCTTGAATTCCTTGCCATCAACGCTGTCCTATTTGAAGCAAATTTTTCTGAAATTGGAAAACAAAATCAGTGATAGAATATCAAATATGAGACATTCTGGATAGTGGAGACTTAAGTTTGAGAATATCATAAAATAAAGTCAAGGTTTAATTCTTAAACACTTCACATTAATGCAATTTCATTACTCACAAAATGTTTATCACAAATACGAACTTTTCCTCAATACATTCACAAAAAAAAAAAAAAAAAAAAAAAACTAGTAAAATTAAATAAGTTATAATTAAATGGTCTGAGTAAACTCTTTTCCCCATAATCCAACAACAAATTGACAATATCTTCTCTCACCTTAGGTATCCCTGGCCTTCATTCTCTGTATGAATCCTTGGCTCTTGTTCTTCCTGAACTGTTCAAATGGATCCTGCATGTTCATGCCTATGCCTTTGTACATGTCTACCTTAGCTCTGGCCTCCCCAGCATCAATAGGGTCCACCCTGCCCTGCTCTGAGGCCCCCAGCCCCGCCCCTCCCCAACCTGAAACACAGATTTGGATTTAGAAAGAGAAATACTGCACAAGAAAAGAGAGTGGCACTTTAAAATAAAATAACAGACACTTTAAATAAATTGAGTTTGTTGCTTACCCATTTTCTTTAACAGCATGTGTCCCTTGTTTTCTTCTCCCAGCTTCTGATTGGAGGTATAGAAAGGCTCAGTACTGGAACACAAATTAAACATATGGATATTTACTTGTTCTATTCATGTAACTTTTTATACAGTAACACACAAAAACATCAGAAAAATATCTGTTACAACTATCTATCACTTGAATATGTAGCACTAAAGGAAACTCAACATGAAATTACAATTAAGCAAAAAATATATATATATTATTCACAATAGCACTTACTAAATGAATTCGGGTGAACGACTCCTTGACTTTGACTTTCTTTTTCTTACTGGTGATGGAGATCGTGACCTGGATTTCTTCTGATAAGGTGACCTTGACCTAGATCTGGACCTTGACTTTGACTTTGACCTGGAAGACCTCTGATAGGGCAATGGAGACCCTGTTGGTTCTGGGCTCCTGCTGTTAGAAAATTAAAAAACAATAAGATTAAAAAAGAATAGTAGGATTATATTCAAACTATTAAACTTTATGAGATGAATGTTTTGGTTCTTGAAGGAAGTATCTTTACTGCAGATGTATAATTCTCTAAATATTCTTCTGCAGTATTACTTCTGTAACACAACTGCAGATATCAAAAGAAAACTCCCTGATCTACTAGAATTCTCTGTACAGTTAGCCAATGATAGTTAGATACATTGACCATTTGCATAAGTATTCCCGAAAAGGAGCATACCTGGGCTTTCTCCTTCTTCTGGGCGAGGCTGACCTTGATCTGCTCCTTGACCTGCTTCTTGATCGTGACCTTGATTGTGGTGACCTTGATCTTGATCTGGATCTGGATCGAGATCTTGATCTTTTTCTTTTTCCTTTTTGCCTCATCTTTTTAGCTTGCTGCTTGGCTTTGAAAAATTCTAAAAGTCCAAGCTTTTCCCATCCTTCACTGAAATAAAAATATTCATCAAACTGTCTATGATTAAATTCTTCAAGAAATAAACTTTAAGAATAAAAATGAACAAAATTTCACTTTATTTTAATTCAGAATTTTTTGTAAACAGCATCTATAGTAGAATTTTTCTGTAAAGCAAATTCATCTCACCTATCCCTTGGATTTTCATGTGTGGGTGGAGAATAAAAGGCCTCCACGGCCGCCAGGAGCCTGTCTGTAGGGGGCATGGGTGGAGGCAGACGGATATTTTTGGGATCAAGTGGTCTGTAGTCACAGTCCTCCAGCTAAAATGATGAAAATCCTCCTTAAAATGCTATTATATGGCATTTGGTGGTATAACAGTGAAAACGTTACTGAAATTAGAGTTGTTTAAGTTAGAGCTGTGTAAGTCTCTCTGACTGACAACAATAATTAAAACAAATGTGAATGAACCCCTGCAAAAATTTGTCTTATTTAACGATCACTTACGGTTCTCAATCTGTCCTAGATCATGTTTTTCTTTTTTAATGAAAAATGTTCTTGATCTTTTAGGACATTCTGAACGACTTCCCAAAAACACTTCTCGAACCATTACATTCATTACAGAACATTAGAACTGTAAAAAATATACGAAATGTTTTAGAACCGATTGAGAATTTTAAGTGAATGTTAAATAAGACAAGTTTTTGCAGGGGAATTATCTACCTTCACCAGTGGTGCCATGAGGCCAGCTGGCAGATCAAAGTAAGGCATGGTTGGCATCAGATCAGCATCTGTAATCACTGGGGGAGGCTGTGACAGGGGCGGCTGTAGACCTGGGAAACCTGGGGGTGGCCTGCTCAGGTCTGGGAGAGCCCCAGGGGGGAGGGGTAAAGGTGGGGGTGGGGCCTGACTGAAGTCAACTGGAAAATATATGTAAATATATGCAAATATATGCAAATGTTGATTAAAATGTTGAAAAGAAGGTTACTGACTACAAAAACATTAAGTTCACAACTTTAAAAATTCTGTTCACATCACACATACAACACATTATTGCCAAGAGATTATGTATTCTAGCAGCCGTACCTGGGGGAAGTCCTGGGGCCGGGCCAGCAGCTGTAGCAGGGGGAAACCCTGGGGGTGGCTGGGAAAATACAGGGGGTGGCTGAGAAGGATCAAAGGTGGGCGGAGGGAAACCTTGCCCTCCTGGAATGGGACCCTGAAATGATGAAGTAAACTGGTTACATGCTGTACATGCTTCTCATTTCTATTGATATTTTAATGCTATGTGTGCCTCTACTTTTTTCAGTACAAATGCAATAAAAATTACAAATACACTTGAGGTAATATTTCATCCATTCTTAAAAGATCATTCTCTGTAATTTCTGGCAGATATGACAAGCACACCACTTACCCCTGCTGCTGAAGCTGGTGGTAAGCTTGGGGCAGGTGGTAAACCTGGGGAAAACAAAACAGTTATAACACCTTTCTTTTTATTTGAAGAATGGTAAAATACACAAATTTAACTTCATACTTTAACGCGTTTTCTTCATATCTATCAAACCCAACAGCAATCTGGTAAACTCTCTGTTTTTGAAAAGCAACAGCAATATTAAGCTTATCATTTAATTATTCGTTATACGCTGATATAATTCACATAACAAACGTGTAACTTGAAACTCTAAACCCATTTCTAGATTTACATCTAAAATCTAACTACAATCTGGTTAATATGAAGCATCAAACCCTGCTTTTTTTCAAATCATTCAATCATTCCGTCCTTTTTTATTCTGAAATCCCCTGCGTAACCCAGCCTACCTGCCGGTGGTGGTTGCTGATGCTGCTGCTGCTGAGACTGCTGTAACAACTGTTGTTTTTGCTGCTCTAGCTGCTGCTGTTGTTGTTGGAGCTGGCTGTTGAGATGGTTCACAAAGTCCTGATGTTGTTTCTGTAGGGAGGCATACTGGGACTGGATGGCCGAGGTGATCTGGCTGACAACATCCGAGTGGTCTTTGATAAGACTGGCCTGAAAAGAGGTCATGGCATCTAATTTGGGAACATTTTACCCCCTAAGACAGCTACTTCACCACAAAAATGTATTCATCACTTAAAAGCTCAGAATCTCTATTTGGTGATCAACTTTTCACATCACTTTTTACAAGATTACAAGACAATGACCTTAAAACTTCCCTGTGGTAAAATCCCTTAATGCTTTCTATGTAACAAATAGCAAATACAGCAGTTGTGGACTTTTACTTCAGTTGTTCCGGAGAAGTTGATCACTTCTGAGAGTTCCCTTACCTGATATGATGACATTGCTGATGCTGGGTCTGTCAATTGCTAAAATAAGGAAAAATTACATTTCAATCACTGAAAAAAATTACCCTCTATGTCAAAATTGGACGATACTTAGCATGCATAGTCAACAAATGCCCCCATTTATTCCTAAAGGACAGTAAACTTTAACTATAGAAATGATAACTAGAACATAATTGGTAAGAACAACATCAAATATAGCCCAATTATTATGAATAAAGGTTAATTTATTTTTGCCATTTTTTCTTGAAATATGTTTTTTATCATGTAACAGTTCACATCATCAATTCAAGACTTGGTTTTACAAAGTGGTAGGGAGAAAAATGCAACACTTCGATAGCTGATATTAGTAAAATCAACATGATAATAATCAATGACTGAAAGGTTAAGTCTGTGTAAATCATTCTACAACAAAGTAAAACAAAACCATGATTCTAAAGTCCATAGTTTCATAATTACTTCATATGGTTTTTTGTCATTTTTCATTACAGACAGTAATATGCAAAATTAAATTACAATTAGAATGCACTAATGCAGATGCTACTACTACTACTACTAACGGAAAGATAAAATAAATAATATACCCATGTTTAGCTCACCTTTAGTGGCTAGAAATGAAAAAAAGAAAACGGCAACAAACATTAGTATCTAAAGCTCCAAGATCATTAATAAAAGCATGTGATAGAACTAGGTTTAACTAAATAATGTGACTAGATATGTAACTGTTACACTTATTCAAAAAGAAAACACACACTACTGTAATGATAAGTGAAAGAATTGTTGATAAATGTGAAGAAAGCCCTATATCATGCACCTCTATTTTAGACTAATATGCAATACAATATCAAGAAACAATTAATTTTGTGTATGATAAAATACACAGCAACAAAAGCAAAATCTATCATTCATCTTACCTCCATAATGGCTGGATCAAAATATTTTTGATTTTCCCAAATTGTGAGTAACTGAAAAAAATATATATACTTATAATATTATGGCAAAGTATCCAGTTTCTTTTATCCAGTCACAGCAAAACTTGCCAGCTTCTGGCAAAATACAAAGTAAAGGTGAAGTCTTGCTTGCAATTTTGATCATATAATTTGGACATTATATTGTTTACAAATTATCTTTTAAAAACTTTTATCAGGAAATAAATATCATAAATACCCCACTGTCTCACCTTAGTTAATTTCTGCTGTTTCTCACTATCTATTCCATTGTGTGCAGCACAGAATATGGGGGTTACAACTGATTCAATGGATTTCTTTAACTCTTCAGCATTTTTTCGAGCACTAAGTCAAAGATATAAAACACTGTTAATATTTCCATGTTTACTAAGGGTATGATAAATAAAAATATAGTTTGCAGTGATTTTATAATTGCTTCTTTAATTTGTGATACTGAGCATCACTTATAGAACTCTTATTTTACAACTGGTTATTAGAAAAACTAGACACAAAGTTGAAAAACAATATGTACTGCCAATTGATAAATCTTTTAATGTTCTACTTAAAAACTAAAATAACCTACCAATGGTGCAGCACATCATTAATCAAATAAATAAGGTACAAGCGGCACTCAAATGTGGCATTCTTGTCTGTTATCCTAAAATCAAACAAATGTGTTGACAACCTTAACAGGACATTTTTCAAAATATTTTATTGACATCGGGTTAATATTCCACTCAACATTTTGATGGCATTCTCATTCTCAATATCTTTCATTTAAAAAATATTACCTCTGTCATAACTATCTAAATGTCAGAACCTAAGAGCATAATTGCATAAAACTGGGGTGGTCATTTATTGAGTCTAACAATGACAAACATCTATTTTTGTTCTAAATTTTCTTTTGTAATTTGTGACTTCCAACAGTTACCTCTTCAATAAGTATAATGATATAAGGTCTGCATGTGCTTTTGAAGTGTTGTGGACAAAAATCCAATTTTTCCCAGCCTGCAAAATTAAAAACCAATTTCTATAAAACATTCCCATAAAGACACAAATCAAATCATCTCCCTCTGCAATATTGATGTTTTAAGCATGGACATACTAGACCTGCTATAATATACATTTTAATCTGTAGTTAAAGAGAAGAAAGCTACAAAACTATATGTAAAATGCAATTTATTTTATGTCACGATTACAGGAGAAAAGATAACTAGATATTACTAAGTAGAGAAATTAGGTTATTTGATAATACATTGTTACTGCTGAGGTTGGTATCTGGAAGCCTACTCACAGATATAGCATCCTTTGTACAGGATTCAATGACAGGGGTGACAATCTTGTCCAGGTCCTCCAGTCTGATATCACACTCGCGGCTCAACTGGAGGAGCGTCTCATCACGAGACTGCTGGATAGCGTCCTCTATCTGCATCTGGAAATACAACACAAGTTAACCAATTTAAAAATCTGATATAAATTAGAGTTCTTCGTGTTTGTATCGTATTGTAGTTGCGATGAACTGTGATGACCTGTAACTGCAATGTTCAAGATACAATAACATTTCAAATTACTGCAGGAATTATCTCTCAGTGCGTCAACATTCTATCAACTATTGATCAATCTACACAGAAGATCCAATATCATAGATGAAAGATCGTTTACAAAAATTCTCAAAATGCAAGCACTGAAGAAGCACAGCACTATATGTGGGGTTTGGAGAACTTTAAAAATACAACACTCAAATATCCAGTTTTCAGGATAAATAGAACAGACTACCATCTCTTCAATATTAACTTTTCAATGGACATATTCTTCTTTCCTGTCCATAACCAACCTGTTGCTGTTGTATAAGACTCTGGTACTGGGCAGCCAGGTTTTGTTCACTCTGTTTGATTTGTTCTTGAACATGCTGCTGCTGTTGCTGTATTTGCTGCATCAGCTGCTGTATCTGTGGTGATGGTTGGCCAGGCTGTGAAAGGGGCGGTGCCTGTTGTTGCCATGGTCCTGGTGGAATGACAGGAGGCGGGACAACTGGCAGAGACACCAGTGGTGGCACTATCATCTGTTGTTGCTGCTGCTGTTGTTGTTGTTGTTGGGCAAGTTTCTGCTTTTGTTGATTGATGACTGAATGGAAAAAATAAAAGACTGTAAAATTTTCTCACTACACACAGAGATGTGTCTGCCAAATTCCTGAGAAAATGATAACAACATTGAAATAAGTACATGTTTGGAAATACTGCACAAATCAAAGTTTCCCATTCATGTACCATAACAGCACTATCTGAACAATGTGTATTATGCACTGAAATGATGTACATGCATAAGGTACGCTGTAATAATCATATTATTTCCAAGTTTCCTTTAAACTCACTTGCTTGCTCCGATGTAACCCTGTATTGATAGTAGTTAAATAATTCTCCCCCAAAGAGAAAGGAGAACTTTGGATTGTCCTTTTGTTTATTTTTTGTCATATTTTCAAATTCTGGTCCATTTCTTGCAACAAACTGTGCAAGCTTGTCTATGATATTTTTCAGGTCTTGATCTGGAAATATAATATGTACATATTATAAAATTACAATTTAAATAAGGCAATGAAACATTTTTCTGTTACAGCTTCAATAATTTTCAGCAACACCAAAATAAAGTCCATTCAATTATTACAAATCTAATTGAAATTATAGGACAAAACATTAAGAAGATCTAACAGTAACAGTGAGCATTGGTTATAATAATGATAATCTATGTTGTCCTAATTTCTATTTTGCCTCAAACAGTGATTAATGACATGAATTTCCATGTTCAGTTGTTCTTGTAGTGTTGGTTACTGCAATGTGAAAGTAAGAATGTGGAAGTGTGAGTTACTGATAACTGATGACCGCAGAGCCAGTGCTGCTTCATTACTACTGTACATGTACAGTCCCATTTGGAGTTTTCACCGGGAAAAAAGCTTGATAACAAAAAAAACAAAAAGTCTAAATTAATTTATCTCTTTAACACAACCTGCAATGTGGTTTCGTTTGTTAGTTCTCTTATCTGCATTTACCTTCGGGTGGCTTAGGTAAATCCATTTTCGGCGGATTTTCTTTCACGGGCTCACCACTGCACACTGCAACCGGATGTGTCTGAGACCTGCGAGTGCAAAGCCTTATGGGAGTTTCCAGATACATTTTCAGTTTCGATGTTATTTTTCACCAAATATCTGTGAATTGGTTTCATTGATAACTAAGATATCTTTTGATCCCATTTATTTCATTAAAAAAATATTTACACAATGTATGATTATGAAAAATTGTTTTCGAAACTTCTGGAAAGATTGTGACAGGTCTATTTCGGTGCGGATGGCGGATGTGGCGGGACGGCAAGTTATCAACAAAGCTCAGGTAGGTTGCTCAGTTTGACTCTGAAAATATATCTGATGCAGGTGCAAGCCCATGCATCAAGCAGTTGCAGCCTGCATTGCATCACGTCTGTTTTACGACGAAAAAATACCTTTGCAACAGATGTTGCTGTAAATTTTGTTGAATGGTGCACAAAAATAAATAATGAGTCACGGAATATTCCCAGGATGTCAACAACTCGATAGCTCATTGGTTCTTTCCAATAGGCAGTCATTTCATCAGATTCAGTTTTGTTTATGTTGATGACGTAGAGCTAGGGGGATTTTGTGGCGTGATGTGTTAGAGTGTCGTTGAACAGCAGTGAGTAGGGAAGTTTTCTAGCAGGGCTCGTCGCTTTGACAGCAGCCAGTGCAAGGGAAAGGCAGGGTAAATAGATTACTTTTACCTTTTGTTCTGTGATGTTAGATTAAGTAGTTTTATATCAGCTTTTAATCCAGTAGAGCCATAAGTTACATGCAACTGAAATACAAGATTCACCTTCCTCTTTATGGTTTCATTTGGAATGTACAGTACTAGTTGCATTATATCTGAAAATTGGCTAGCTCAGCAATTTGAAAATATGAATCAAAGCCCAATGTGTAGATATATCTATTTAGGCAGCCTTATTAATATTATACTCAAATTGTGACATACTTGATATGTGATCCAGTAGTAGGTACAGTTGTAGTTGTACAGTTGTAGTGGTACTCAAACACTAGCATGAAGTTTAGTGGATCAGCATTTCAGTTACTAGTATTTGTGTTAAGGCAAATAGTACATACCATATATTGAAGTGCTAATGCATGAAAATTTATGTTAATTCCACACCACCTCTTTACATAAATGCAAAATTGTTTATTAGCTTCCTTGTCTTCCTAGAAAGGCAGTAAAGATATTTTATTTTAAAGGGATAATAACTGTTAGTTTTGGCCAAAAAATGAATTTTCCCGGAGTAAACAACAATTTTCCAACACTTGCCAGTGGTTAACAAATCCATTCAAAGTTAGTCCCTGTTTGGTTTTATGTTATAATCTCATGGTCATGTAGTCCGATGACAAGCTCAGATATCAGAATTAAAGCTATAACTGCCGTTTTTGTGGTAAAACAATATATTATATTTCTTTGAGTTGTTTACAATGTTTTTATTGTGAATTATAGATCTCATACGAAGAGTTAATATCCCTTTAATAATTATTTGCCCTTCTTAATCCAGTGGTGTACATGCTGTATTTGATTAACACTTGGTAGAACAGTGACCTGTCTAATATTGAAAAATCCAATTATTTATCTTTGATTCATTTCAAAATTAGATGTCATTCATTTAATGTAAAAAAAAAAAAGTGAATAACCAGTGTTTTTTATTTAAGTATATGTACCAAGGTACATTACAAAGTATGGAGTATAGTATATATATCTTTCTACCAGCCCAGTTTTATGGCCATTTATGCTCCAGATCTTATCAGTTAGAGAGTTGGCCGGTATATTATTATTTGGCCCATCAACAAGTGATGTCCACAAGGGTGGAGTTCCCCTTAGCTTTCACTATCAGTGACCAGAGAGAGAGAGAGAGAGAGAGAGAGAGAGAGAGAGAGAGAGAGAGAGAGAGAGAGAGAAAATAACACTTGATGTGTTTTTTCCTATTGCAGTAATTACCAGGGGCGGATTGAGGCCGTCTTCTGGGTCTTCCGGAAGACGGTCAGATTTTCAAGTTTACATTGACGGATATCTAATATCTTCTCTCGGAAGACGGTCAAAAATACAGGACGGATCAACAAAGATAATTTAGAAGACTGTCAGTAAATAGCTCTGGATCCGCCCCTGATTACTAGTTTGTTTTTTTTTCAATGAGAGAAAATTGTGAATTTTACAGATACTGTATTTGTTAAGTCATAATTTCTTTAAACTTGTTAGAGCATCCCTGTTAAGCACTAGCAACAAAATTAATAAACAGGCTACTCCGTAGTTCCCTTCTTTGCAGTAAATGCTATATAGAAATATGTTTTTTGTGATTATAAAATTATGTATCTGAAAATTGATATTTTTTGCCCATTGAAAAGACCGAGTAATTACCATAGCTTGATTCACCTACTGTATGTTCCTGGAAACTGTAATGGAAGAAAAAATTGCATTGAGGAAGTATTGCCTGAATGTTTCCTGTACAGTAAAACATTCTCATCAACTCGGGCTATGAGATTGCAAGATATGTGGCAACACTCCAGTCTCATACCATGTTATACCTGCTACAATGTGATGATGTGGATGAGTAATTATAAATAAGCTACAGCGATCATTTGGATAACATAACACTTACTGATTTACCTGGAAAATGTCTTAGGAATTCATATTACATAGCAACTCATTCCATGCAGTTGCTTTATTAAAGCTGTTATTTTAGTCCAAGTATAAAAATGTAGTTTTTGTTGATTTCTTATTGATTCAAAGTACATTGGTGTAAAACAAGTAAGAAAAATGACTATGTAGTTCATTATATTAAAGGGATAATAACTCTTCGTATGAGATCTTTATTTCACAATAAAAACATTGTGAATAACTCACAGAAGTATAATATATACTGTTTTACCACAAAAACAGCAGTTATAGCTATTATTCTGATATCTGAGCTTGTCTTTAGACCACGTGACCTCCATTGATGGCTATACTCTGCTATAATCTCTTAAGAGATTTTAACAAAAAAACCAAACTATTGAGAAAAAAACCAGGGACTAACTTTGAATATAAAAATGGATTCATTAACCATTGGTAAGTATGGGAAAATTGTTGTTTACTCCAGGAAAATTCATTTTTTGGCCGAAACGAAGAGTTATTATCCCTTTAAGGACAAATCTACCAAAAGTTTGAAAGAATTCTCATTTGGTGCAAATTAAACTTCATTTCATTGTGGGAATGTTCGAACCTCCTAGCAACAACTAGATTTGCTACTGTTATTAGATATCAGGAATTGATATGATTATAAATTAAATCTACGGACATACTTTACGTAATTATCTCATATATAAATAATCTGCCCATGAATGTGTTTACAAAGTGTCTGTGCTCTACTTTGTAAGATATCAAAACCACAAATCAAAATGACTGTGTATCAGTTCCACTGCCTCTCCCTCCCCTGTCATCCTAACCCTGTCATTATTTTGATATTTAGTTTGATTATTACATATCTCACTTGTGTTCATTTGGAAAGTACTATGTTTCAATAGTAAGGGTATCACAGAGATATAAAACAGAGTTGAAGGTTCCTCCATTTAGCTGTTCCTGTTTTGACAGAACAGGTTTACCATCCACCCCCTACATTTTGGTGATATTAACACATGCGTGTACGTATAAATCACTGCAAGACAATAATAATATCTGCGTAGGTGCTTAATTCGTACATAGGAGTGTTTTTGTCAAGCTTTTTTTGCATTTCATGTCTTAGCTTCGTGAGCCTCTGAAGAAGACATTTAATTGACCCATCCTTTATTCCTCATGAGTGAATGTGGTCAAAACAATAACATAAATATTCATTGTTTACAAACATTGCTCTAAATACTCAAGATGCACATCATGATTTGGCCATTGACGTTTGCAATGTTACCACCCAGTGTAATGTAGTATGATCATGTGGTAAATGTGTTAATGTAGACTTGAAAAAAAAATTAAGAAGTTAAATGGAGCAATTGCCTTGCAGAGCTATAGTGATACAAGTAGACCATAACGCACATCTTTTTACTGTCCTTGATAATGAATGAAGAATGTTGAAGGAGATGTTTTAAAATAAAAACATTTATGAAGGCTAATTTATCTGTTTGAAGAAGAATCTGTACAGTACATGGGTTTTGTGAGAAATCAAAATCTGTTGTCCCCCAGCCAATCCTCAGTCATTACTTAAGAAGTGGTGGCTTCTGGTGCTACTGTACTGTAGGATTAATGTGTTGATCTACAGAAAAAGGTCACCTCTGCCGAGTGCATGACGCGGTGCATACGTTAACGGCCCACAGCAGCTAGAGTTCCCAGAAAATACACTCGCTCTCCACACCTAACTGGAAATGATGCCAGTAGTTTTATAGATATTATTTCTATATGCTGATAGTTGGGTCAGATATACTCCAAGTATGTATGTGATGTACATGATATTTGTCATGCTGTCCTGGTTCTTTGTGTTGCTGGCATTGTAATTTAGACCAAGGCAGTATGCCAATTTAATGATGAAAGTTGAGTAAAATTTGCTCCTTTCTCCAACTTTGCTTTTCTCCACACTTTTTATATAACTTTTTCTTCTACTTTTTACAGTACGCAAAAGCACACATAATACAATCAATGACATATTAATTAAGTGGGAAACACTAGCTCTATTGGATAGAGATATCTTAACTTGTACAATAGATACCATTGTTTTCCATCTCATTCATCAAATGTATTATGGAATGGCATTTAGGTTATGTATAGTAAAAGTTCGTAAACAGTGCTTCAGTTTCGTTCAAGGTGAGTGCGTTAAGTTTATTTTACACAGGCGCTCTTTCCTTGCGGCATTTTCTTCGTTGTCAGGTAAGAGAAATCTTAAATTTTTTGTCATCATTAAGATTTCTGCAATAATTTATATTTGTGTTCTGATAATAAGTGTTACATGTCAAGAAAATAAAAGCGTGGGGAGACGCAGCTGTTCACAGCAGCCTGAAGTGCTAGAGACCATAGTAATAATTAATTGATTTATTAATTTATGATAAAATGTATCCTTTTTTCTTCGTATGTATTTGAAAGATGTACCATTGGAATTAAAACTGTTCATATCCTAATATATATTTTATTGTTCACCTCAGTTAAACCAATGACTTTGTTTATCTGGATGCTCAGAGTGCTTTTTAAAAAGAAATCGGGTCAAATGTGCTGCCCATCCCCTTACGTGATTAGCCTGGTTTGTGGAGAAGTCCTTGTCCCAGGTATATCCTGGCCTTGATGAAGGTCATATTGAGCAGGTTCCTACCCTGCACATATTTGTCTCACTTAACGTTCACTTACAGTTCTCAATCTATTCTAGAACTTTTGGTGTATTTTTTTTTTACAGTTCTAATGTTGTTCTGTAATGAATGTAACAGCTTGAGAACTGTTTTTGGGAAGTCCTTTAGACTGTTTTAGAACAGATAAAGAACATTTTTCATTAAAAGAGAAAAACATTACGTTCTAGGAGAGATTGAGAACCGTAAGCGAGTGTTAAATGAGACAAATTTGCACAGGGGCTGTTCAACCCTCACTGTGTACTACTACCTCTGTTTACTTCATGTGCCTTGTGCGTCAACCACTGGTAATGGGCCAGTACCTGAGGTGTTGACCCCACTACTGGGGGGTCTCTGAACACCTGCCCACATCTCTGTTTACTAACCTAGATTTTTGGGCCTAATGGTGTGGTTTTTATGTCATTTTTTGCAAAGAGAAAAATTTATCTTCAACAACGAAATGATGCTTATCAGGAGAAAAAAATGATCCAACAAGAAAACTTAACAGTAATCATGTGTATGCCTCTAACTTATATTTAATGCATTACTTCTAAATATTCAATGGGCTATCTAGCAGTTAAAAGATATTTATATATTTGTAACAGTTATATATGGTTGTAATTTGGTAAAGTCATCTTTATCTTATGTTAAAATGTGTACAACATATTCAGAGATGGTTTGACTCTGATCTGGGCTTAGATTAGCTTCCTTTGTATAATCACTGTTATGAAATGGAAAAATAGCAAAATATGAGCTTACAGCTGTTGTCTACAGTAAATACATATTGTCAAAGAACTATAAATAGCTTTAATTATATTCTTCAAACAACACCTGTTTGTTCTATTTTGTTTTTTAAAGCTTTTATGCCATGTTTACCAACAGTTCGATGGTGTTGTCAGATGACTCTGTGTCAGATCTTCGCCATCTAGTTCTGGTCTCTGGTTCATATATTATTAAAGGAAGAGATAGCACTGGCTGTAGCCTGCAGATTATGTGGCATTTGCATGTCTCGTCTCATTACTCTGTCCCAGTGACTGGCATCACAGCTCCTAGGGAGGAGGTACTCCTTATATAGTTGTTAGTGATCAGAACATTTGATAACTGGTACGCACTGTGACAAATAAATTTCATGAGATTGGGCTTACTCATTATCGTAGGGATGGGGATAAAAAGATCCTGACTTCATGGGGTAATGACTGTTGGGTTGGGGTGCTGAGAGAGAACTACAACACGTCAGTGTGGGGACAGGGATAACAGGAAATCTGTCATTTTTTACACACAGATTTTATTTTTTCCTTGGATCTGTCTTTTTGCATAACTTAGGATTAGGAATACCTTTGTGTGTATATTATACATCCTGGAAAATGACCAAAGATACGGTAGGGGGATTTTTGTTATGATTTATGAAATTTATAAAGTAAAGATATTGTTACAAGTATACTAGTAGGCATAAAATACAATTATAAGATCACTTGTTTATGAAAAACACATAAAAATAGGTAACTTGTATTAAATTGAGAAATATAATTTGACATTTATGTATTCAGGTCTTGAGAGTTTTGTTATTTTGGCCTCCAAAAATAGTAAAATCAGAAGTGCCTGTTAAGTATGAAGAATAGGACACTTGTGAAGCTCTTCTCAGAAAACCTTAAATAATTCTATTCAAATACAGTTTGTTGCCTAGGTAAAATCCTAGCTTGCTGAAAATATTACTGTACTTGAATTGGTGAACTATATCTTACTGTCATTCTAAATCATGAAAGATGTGTTGCATGTTATTGGAATTAGTTTTCTTATCCATTCAGTGCACCTGAAGGCTTTGTTATTAATATTTTTGTCATATTTGTGGGAAGGTTTAATTTATTTTTTTGTTTTCAGACCTTTTCTTTTTTTCGTTAGTTGCATAATTTCAAAGGTTTGTGCACTTGCTATCTGTCAAAAGATAAAAGTAAATTGAATTAATCTCAGTGACCTCATACATCCTGGCTACACACTGTCAGTCCCACTGATATTATGAAAAAGAACGTCAGGTATTGTTATTGCAGTGGTGGCATGTCCCATCATCTTAGTGCATACCACTTCATCTCTTTTTCTCTCTCTCTCTATATATATATATTAAGTTATTAAGCTTATCCACATCACAATTAAATCTGATAGGACTGCCCACATAATTAATGTCCTTACTAATCATTCGAAGCAGTTCTTGTTCTATGTTGTGTACTTCTCTCTTCCGCCTTTCCACCCCCCTCTCCTCCATTTTGATAAGCATGAATGTGAATGTCATTCACAGAGACATTACTGTTGGTTTGACGCAGTCATCTAATGTGTTTCACCCTGTGCCTGTCACCTCATGGTCTAGGTCAGCCCTCTCCCCCATCAGTACACTTGACTTCATGGCACAAGCCTGGAATGGTACACTGTCATTCTTTATAGCAATAATGAATAATTCTATATCGAAATCCATTCATCATCTTCATCAGAGGATCCCTTTCTCTCAGAATGGCACTTGTTTTTACTGTGATGCTTGGTTCATAAATATGGCCAAACTTTCGTTGGATTACTAGTAAGCTGCTAAGCGAGTAGTTAAAGACTGATATTTTGCCATAGGGCAACATTTTGCTCCAACTTCAGAGGTGCTCTAGGAATGTTACAGGCAGCTGGTATAACTTTCCTAAAAGAGTTGCTGTTGTATTATATATTGCGCATGTTTTAGATCTATCTGTGGTAATTAAGCAATTTAACTGTCTGCAAGGACTTCTTCAAATTCACCTATGATGTCTTACACAATACAATTTGTAATGTAATAGTTTTATATGTGAATGCTGTGTGGTACATTATATTAATTGAAGAAAAACATTAGGACAGGAATAAATGTATACTAGTACATATATATATTTATATATAGATGTGAACAGAAATAGTAGTGAAGATTCAGGAATGTTTTGTGTCAATAGTTGTTCTCCATGGGTGTGAACTGCATAATAATACTATGATACCTGGTGCAGTGAACTTTAGCCACATGCATTAAGGTACTGTGGAGTTGAGAAAATACATGACCTCCAGACTGTCTTGTTTCTTCTGCTAGATTGGAGAGACAAGAACAAGAAGTTGTGCGTCCCCACAACCCCCAAACAGCCTGATGTTGGACAAGACCAATAACAACGTGTCGCCCACAGAAGGGGGTAGACTTTCCAACGCAACCAACAGGCAGAAAAGAAACAGAAAGAGAAGAACAGAAAACATCCCTATCCGGCGGTTTGAAGGTAAAGATATTTGGACAAGTTGTCCATTAGACCCAGCTGTGATGTAATAATATGGTCAAATAATGAAACTTTTCAAGAATTATTCTTTTTTTTTCTTCATATAACTTTAAAGGGCCTTTAAACTTGAAGAAAATACCCGAAGAAAAGTATAGAATATGTTCAAAAGTTAATTGAAAAAAATGTTTATATTAAAAACATATCTTGTTTCACAAAGAAGATAATATAGGTGTCAGAAAAAAATGATGTAGCCAGCTCAGAATATTGTATTTTCCATACAATCTAAAAGGTCAATGGTGAAGGACTGAAACCCCAAATAACCTGTAGCTTAGTTTGTAGATTTAATCTTAATTTCTTCTGAAAAAGAGATAAGTGAACCATGACATTGTTTTCTTACGTATTTCTGTTTGGTATTTGAACAGGTTGATTATGTTTCATTGTGTTATTACTGGCACAGGTGTAATACACCAGGCAGCTTTTGGAAAATAAAAATTGAAAGCTATTTATTGAACAACACAATACACTCTGTTACTAACCGGTGAATAAATTTGCATAAGTAAATGAAACCCATTTTAATAGCAATAATTTTTATGTCTAGTAGCCAGACTGCACAGCGAGTTGAATTTAGCCCAGGCCTTAGTTATCACCATGTGGACGAGACACTGACACAAACTCCTCATGGATTATCACTTAACAATGTTGTTGTCTTGTAATATCTGTGGACGAGCTCTGACCAGAGGGTTTGATACTTTCTTTGCAGATATTTACTATCCTACAGGAGAAGTACTGGGAGAGGGGGCCTATGCAACAGTGACATCTTATGAACACCATCTGACACATAAAGAATATGCAGTCAAGGTAAGTGGAGGCAGGGACAGATTTAAAATGCATGGTCTTTTTTAGTTGTTGAAGAAAAGATTTATGTGAATATTATTTATCTTCAGTTGTAGTTAAATAAAATTGCAAAAACTGGATTTAAAATGCACTGTCTTTTTAAGTAGAAGAAGAAAAAGATTTATATTAATATCATTTTGTCTTAAGTAAAATTACTAAAACTAAGCTGACCTTATAAAATTGCCATCAAAGTATGCAAAGCTGATAATTTTTTCTTTTCAAAAATCCCACAGTACTAACATGGTAGCTTAATGTCTGCATGACACAAAAATAAATGTCAGCTGGGGTTAGAACAAAAGGACAAAAAACACCAGTTGGAGCTGAATTTGGAAACAGCTTGCTGTGTTGTAAAATTCAGTTGAACAATTCCACGTGGTTGTGTTTTTGGGAGAAATTGACTCCATGTGAATGCACCAGGTTGTGCTGAAAGCCTGTAAACAGTACCTCGGGCTGGTGTCCAAGATCAGTGTTGCGAGGTTGTTAATTGTTCTGGAGTCTGTGTTCTAAATTCCCTTGCATGTTTTCCCTCATAACCCTCATCAACATCCGGTGGCATGCTATAGGGCAGTGAACGCTGCAACAAGGTTTACAATTGCCATTTGTCATCTTTGGAGGGTCAGCTTAAAATAGAGATTGTAAAGAGGTTCCATCAGGGAAATCAAACATTAAATAACAAGAAGCAGGAAGAACAGTATTTCCTTGAGCTGTTAATTGGAGTTCTGTCCTATGCTACTAAGACAATAAGACCTCATCACAGACCTACTTTCCAGTATTTATTTTGTATAAAGAAATATATTGTCTGCTGGCACCCAGGTGTTACTCCTAGTTCAAGTAGCTATTTATGGCCCAGGTAATAAGTTATAATTTCTGCCAGGTAGGCAGGCTGCCACGTTGGCATAAGTCATATACACAGGTGCACAGAGGTTCATTCTTTCACATCACTGCAGCTTAGATTAATGGTTTGCTAAGATATACATGTGCAGATTGAACATTGGCCTGAATCTGGAGCCCACTATGCAGACATAGACAGCACAGTCTCTTGGGTGGGTGTTGGCTTAAAGCAGCCAATCCCCTGCTCGTGTCCCTGGTACATTACCTAGACGTGATAAGAGTTGACTCATGTTATGAAGTGTTATCACAAGTATTTAGTTTTCAAGCCCAGGTTACAGTAGAGGCCAACTGGTGATACAGTCATGGTGTTACTCATACTCTGCAGCTGTGCCTTTCACATACAGTGCACGTGTAATAAACATGCATTGCAAGCGTAATATACAGTGCATGCGTAATGTACATGCAGTGCACGTGTAATAAACATACAGTGCACATGCAATAAACATACAGTGCACGCATAGTAAACATGCAGTGCAAGCATAATAAACATGCAGTAACTTGAAACCAAAAAAATGCTGATAAAAGATATATAAATCGTTTTATTCCTTGTTAGATTGATATAGTTTGTGACGGTTTTCCTCATAGTGTTCACAGTTTTATGTTTCATTTACAGGTAATTGACAAAAAACTTGGCAAGCCACGCCACAAAGTTTTTAAAGAAATTGAAATCTTCCATCACTGTCAAGGACATGAAAATATTTTACAACTTATTGAGTACTTCGAGGAGGAAGAAATGTAAGCAGAATGCTCGAAAATATATATTTGTTTCAATTCATGATAAAGTGTTGTTTAAGTGGTTAACACCATAATACATGATAAGAATTGATAAGATAATTCAAATCAAATGTGTTTGTGTGTAGTAAAATGTAGTTTTATGTGTCTGTAAGTAGTGCAGAATTAATTGTGCTGGTTGTGCATAAGATGGTGATACATTATTACCTTTTTTTACAGGTTTTATTTAGTTTTTGAAAAAATGGAAGGAGGTATGTATTTATTTTATTGATTTTTGTGTAAATATAAGAATAATAACCTTTTTTTTTTTTTGCTAAAATATGTATTCTTATGTCATTCACTGTTTACATACAGTTAAAGCACTCTATTTTTAACTGCATCTCAGTTACGTTTTCATTCTTGTAAAGTGTATTTTGAAATTGGATGTTATTTTTGGTCACAATTTTGTAGTATTTTCATCTGTTTCATTGACTCTTTTGTATTAGGCACTTTGTTAGAAAATATTGAAAGAAGAGGATATCTGACAGAACAAGAAGCAAGTGAAGTTGTCAGAGATATTGCAAAAGCTTTAGATTTTCTCCACAAAAAAGGTAAGAGCCTATATAACTTGGTGCATTTTTCCTTACCACCAACCCTGTTTGTGCTGCTTCTCTTGAAATAATGACGCTGAAGAACTACAACTCTAATAGAGCATTCGTAAACAGGATATGAGTATTAGTATTCTGATCAGCTTAATATGTTTTCATTTCTTTGAAAAGGTTAATAGCAGATTTATTGTAAGTGCTTCACGTCTTCCGTTAATAACAAAGGTCTTCAGTTAATGAAGAAGTGCATGTGCTGAAAGTGTCGCAACAGGTTCTGAACTAAAATAAAAATAAAAATACCCTTCAAAAGTTTGAAAATTTCTACAGCTGACCTTGAATTTTAAGAAAACAGATGCTGTGATTTGTTTGATTTCTGCTTGCAGGCATTGCTCATCGGGATCTCAAGCCTGAAAATATATTATGTGAAAAAGAGGGAGAGGTAATTATTATCAGATTTACATCTTAAAAAATATTTCTTTTCTTTTAGATTGCAATTGACGATTGCATTTCTTCATAGATATAGAGAGAAATTATTTTGTTCCTTGAAAATACAACATTTTAATCCTATTATAATAGATTATAATTTTGAGCATTCTTTATTAAATTTTGATAACACATTTTGTATTTTGCTCCAGGTTGTCCCGATAAGAATCTGTGATTTTGATCTTGGCAGTGGAATAAAGGTGGACGGGGAGTTTTCACCTGTCACCACACCTGAACTCCAGACTCCAGTAAGTTGATTATTAATAATTCTTTTATTTTGACAGTACAGGTTTTGTTCATAAAGTTTCCCATACAATGGCATAAGCCCCATTCAGAATAGGGGACTAGTCTAAGGGTCAAATATGGCCAACCCACTTGAATACTTCCCCACAGGATATCTATTCAGTGACTTTTAGCGGATTAGATGGCAAGCTTTGTAGTGGGTCGCCATATTTGACCCTCAGACTAGTTGGTCCCCTATTCTGAATGGGGCCTTAGAAGCAGTTTATGGCCACATATATCTTAGCCTGGAAAAATGAAGAAATATTTTATGGAAGCAACTTATGAAATGTATCTTTAGAGACCACTTTAAATGGTCTAAAACTTTGAGGTTTTTGTTTAATAGATAAAAAGAATTGGATTTGAGCCTTTTTGACAGTTTGTCAATATAAAGTTGACTAATCCTTAATCGAGAACATATCTTGCGAAGCATATCACAGTGTTACTTGCAAGCAGAGAGGCCTTGGACCACTTTCTGGCTTGTTGTGTTTGGCATTTGATGTTATGCTGGAGGTTTGTTTTGCAAAACTCCTCGTCCTTAGACATGTTCTGTTCTGTAGAGTTTATATATCATTAAAGTGGTCTGTATTGATAGTAAAACTGCCCTGTTTCAGCCTGAGTCTATATTCTCGTACTGGAGAACTGCAATCCATTTGAAGGTTCTGTTATCGATTTATTTCTTGGACTGTGGGGTTTTCATATCATTATAGTTCTAGTTCACATATGAACTTGTGCTTTTCATTGCACATAGCATCATTCCATTTATATCCTTTAGAGCTGAGCATCATCAGGCAGTCCTCACTGCTTCCATTCCAATTGTTTGGTTCATCTGAAGTAAATAGACATCCATTTTTAATTAAATGACCCTGTAAAAATGTAGCAATTCGAAAATGTATAAAAAAAAAAAAATGATAGAAAACAGAAAAAGTCAGAAGGCTGTCAGGTGAGAAGTGTTTGTGTGATGAGATACAGTGATGACAGGACATTAGTGTGGTCAGTGGTTTGTGATATGATTGATGTAGCTATGGTTGGTGTGAGATGTACATTCTGTGTGTGTCCATGAGTGCCTCCCATGCCTGGTGATTGCTCCTGCCCCTGCAAAAATTTGTCTCATTTAATGCTCACAGTTCTCAATCTGCCCTAGAACAACATGTTTTTCTCTTTTAATGAAAAGTGTTTTTAGTCTGTTTTAGGACATTCTGAATGACTTCCCAAAAACAGTTCTTGAACTGTTACATTCTTTACAGAACAACATTAGAACTGTAAAAAGCAAATACAAATGTACAAATGTTCTGGAATAGATTGAGAACCGTAAGTAAATGTTAAATGAGATAAATTTCTGCAGGTCTCTATCCATATATCAATACAGGCACATGACATACCATCATGATTAAGTGCAGTCTGTGGTTGTTATTGTGTTGTATTATTAACATGGTTGACCTGAGAAAAATGTCAATGGATACCAGGAATTATTGGATCATGGGAGGAAATGATGCTTCAGCTGATCACGTTACTCATATTCCCGGCCCATAAGGAAAGCAGATGACATGATTAAATGATCAGAGTGGCAATTCCTGTCAACGTTCTGATATATATCTAATGACGTTGATAGTTTTGATTTAAAGATTGATCTATTTTAACATCAACTTCCTAATGTGATATAAAGGAACTATTTATCTTTCCACATTAGAATAATGTTTCTTATTAAACACCCCACCCTGACCATTCAAAAGTAATCATTGATAATTATCCAAATTTAAAAGAATGAGCTCTGTTGTTTGCCAAAGCAACACAGGAGGAAATATAAGATATATGCATTAAGTGTCTGTGTCGGACCCCTGTTAGCCTGCAGGGATGTGTCCTGAAATACCATCTGTGACTGTTGTTGCCAGCATCGAGTTGCACTAGATATCCTGGTAGCTCTGCACAGCATACCAAAATAACTTTTACATCATCAGATGAATAGCCTCAGTGGAATTTTCAAAAAAAGTGCACAAACACCATCTGCATTAAAGCAACTTAAACTGTAGCGTTACTTGTTAATCTGATGCACACTTTACATAGCTCATTTGTTTGCTAAAAATAGTATTTTGTGTGTGTATGTGTGTGTAGATGACGTAAATAATTAATTTATTCATTTATTTATAATGGGAGGGAAAATTAGTGTCATCTAAGATTAAAAATATGGTGATAAAAAAAATTTTACCTGTGTTCCAGTTTGTGAATGTGAAAGGTTTTCCACTATTGTTCCATTTCCACTCACCAATAGGTGGCGCTGTAGTAGTTACATTTTGGCTATCAGCATTAGGTGAAGAAGAGTTTTGAGCTGGAAGCTTTTCATAACCTCCTATCCAGAACCCATATGCATAGCCACCAGCTGGTGATTGAAAAATATAGATAATGTATGTATTTTTTTTACAAAAAAATAATTGTCATAGATTAGCCTTGGGATAGATTAGCATGTTAACCATTCCACGTTTTCTCTTTAAACTTTTTGTTACTTTAGTTAGTCAACAAAGGAAAAACAAGGCTCAGTTACTTTTCTTCCTCAATTTTTTTTTTTTTTTTTAAGATTAAAAAATTTAAAAAAATAGATGTCAAGATGGAAAAATAAAAGAAGGGAAAAAACAAGATCTCTTCAGAGCTGTATTGTTATGACTATGGCTTTCATAGTTGTATCCACAAATTTCTCTGTGAGAGCACATTCTGTACCGTCATAGTACATGGCCGCCGCCTGCCTCCCTATGAACACCTGTTCCTGCTGTGAGGTGATGTCCATGAGGTAGGCTCCCATCAAACCACAGTCCCACTGAGCATCTCGCCATGTTGCTGACCGGTTAACAACCTTATAGCATGAGCAGTTAAAGCGGACAAAACTGTGGGGGCAGTCTGGAAAATATAGGCTTCTGAAGTATGAAAGTCTGTATAGAGATCTTTTAGCTGCATTTTACAGTTAATCTGATGATTTGTTTGAATATATTGTGATATCTTGTAGAATTTGACATGACCAAAAAAAAAAAAAAAAAATCCTTTGACCAAGGTGTTACTAGGTATTTAAACATACCTGTGTAGGTGTGACATAACACTTCAAATCTTGGTTTGATAAAAACTGACTATGATATTCCTTCTTCTTTTTTTTTTTTTTTTTGCCTCACCACTTCTATATTTAATTCATTATGTCAGTGTATGAAATCTCGTCAACAGAGTGCGAGTAGCCATATTAACATCTACCCTAATGTTGTGTCACGTGACATGAAATGACACCTTTTCTACTTCAAAGTTACACTGCTTTTATCACCTGTTCTTTTTTTTTTAATGGGCTACACGTAAACATTTGCTTTCACCTTGTTTTAAACACCTGAGTTGTTCCTGTATGTCCCTGAGCACAGATTCCCCCGTCTGCACCCCCTGGCACTGTGGACCAGCCCCAGCTACTGTGTACCTGATACAGTCGGGGCCAAAGCAGGTTCCTAAAGATCGCCCCGTTTCTGCCTCGGTCGTTGGCTGACAGATGTGTCTCTGGACCGTACAAAGTAGCAGTGACATTATTAGGCAGTTCAAGCTGGCTGAGCGACATAGCCAATAATCCATTGCTTGGGCTCTTAGTGTTGTCGTAAGCTTCCCCTGTACGTATTCTCATAAGTAGAGATGCAATGTGTATTTAAAAACCACCATCCCCAGATTATTTGTATAGGTCGCCCTGTTCTAAAATGGTCCCCTTTATGTAGGGAGAAACAGCAGGAGGAATGTTTTTATGTTTGTGATTTCATGCATGATTGACAGTGCATTGCATGTTATACTTTATTATGGCCCAGATAATATGGCGTGGGACAGGTATTTTATATTTTCTTTTAGAAAGCAATTTTACATTGGCTGAATTGTTTTAGACAATAGTGGTAAAAATGAAACTATGTAAGAATTGGTGAAAATATGTAAAGAAAGAAGAAAACACTGGGAAATTGCAAGAAATCCTGTTCATGTTTCCTTTTTCACAGCAGTAATGTTTAAAGTCTTTCAGAGCAATAAGTTGGATGCTAAGGCTATTTACAAAACATTTTATTTCTAAAACCTGCTGTTTGCGCAGTTGTTTACATTACCAAATCAATATAAAAAATTTTGGAGAAAAAATGTATACAAGTCCACAAAATATGAGCACACAATGAGTTTGGTTAAACAAAGTGGAATGTTTGTACAAAAAACTACAAAAAGCAACGCAGACAAAAGGACCTTTAAGTGGAAATTCTGAAGCTCAGCTTTTAAACGGAATATGTGTATTCTTATATCAGAAAGCAGTTGCTATATAATACTTAAATGAATTATATATGACTAAGCACGCTTTCCTTAAAACTTGAGTAGATAAAAAAATCTGATCATCAGTTTTACAGTGTTCAACATGGATTTTTGAAGAATCATACAAGATCAATTTCACAGATGTACACATGAGTATTCGTGCAGATATCATCATTCCAAGTGTAGCCAATGTTATATGTCATAAGAAGACAGTCTTCATCTGTGCCTCCCCAGTTATTGGGCTCACCTTAATGTAAAAAAATAGAATTCAATGTTTATGCAGAATCAGAGAGAATTTTCTTCTTATCGTCATGTAAATCCCATTTTGACTATCAGCCAAGATCAAGGTTAAAGTATAAGCAGTTTTCTAGAATCATTAAGTCGTAATGTAAGAATAAATGGCTGAGTGAAGAGAAAATCCTGTGAATACCTAAAAGTATAAGCTGTCAAAGCTTCAAAGCACAAAATTGACTATTTTTGTATTGGTCTTCTATTAACTTTCAGAATTTGAATCTTTGTGCTTTTTAAAAATATTCATACTAACCTTCGCTCCAGTTGAAGTAAGTCAGATTTTGATTGGTTGTCTCCCAAGTCCAAACTCCGTCTACTCCCACAGTTGTATTAGGCGGTTTCAAGTCGTACCCTCCCAACCAAAAGCCTTGATTGCTGACAAATCCATCACCTGAAAGAATTGTTACCAGCAGATATAAAAGTAACCAGTTTGTAAGCTTACAGCTGTCCAAGGTGATGGCCTCTGTTTGACCGGTGATGACCGCTGCATCACCTCAAAGTTACAACAATAGTTTCTTCAAACAACAGCAAATTTGAAGTGATCTACGTTAATAAATAACTCTGAATTTAGCTTTTGTTTGAGGAAACTATTACTCTGGCTTAGAATGCTGAACTTAACTGATGAAGATTTTTGCCGAGTCAGCTCGGTCAGTCTACACAATACTGGTCATTGTCCATGTGTCACTGGACTGGTGAGTGTGACTTGCATGGATGAGTTCCAAATTTATTAGCCTTTCTCTTTGCAAAGTACAAAGGAAAAAGTCAGTAATTGTTTACTGTAACTAAGAATAAATCCAATTTCAAAATACTAATATTCCTTATATGAAATGCAGAATTATACACATTCTGGTTTGATACAACGGTTCCTATACCTTCAAAGTAGTGGCTAGCCACCTGTCGTCCTATTGTCTGCTGCTCCTCAGCATTCTGCACGTGCACGAGGTGTGCTCCCATGGTGGAACACGAGTAACGTGCATCATTCCAGGTAGCCGTGCGATTTATGACCTTGTAGCAAGAACAGTTATTTCGAACAAAACTGTATGGGCACTCTGGAAGAAGATGAAATATATGCTCATGTATATACCACATCATATAAATGTGTTGAAAAAAATGTCTAGTTTACTATGTGATAAACTTAAAATGTTAAGACCTTATGGCATCATGTTTTTGTTTGTTTTTTTTATTAAAGAAAATTTGTAAAGAAGTGATGGTTGATTTATCTGAGTACCTTTGAAGATGCAGTTCAGTTTTCTGTCTTGTTCATCCAGCCTGTTCTGAAGTAGAAGATTTTGTTGCTGTATGGTGGCCAGTGTGGCCCTGAGCTCAGTTTCAGAATTCTGGTTCATGCCAGATGTGGAGGTGAAGCCACTGAGGTTCCCAACCTGTTGCAGAATGTGATTGTTTTGCTCAACTACAGCATTCACCAGATGCAGGAGACTGGAGGTGTTTCCTAGGCAGACAGCAACACTGGAATTGCTTGTAGCCTGGGATGTGTAGGAATTATTTTCGAGTTTGAGATGTGTTGGCAGACGTAGAGTGACTGGTGTTTGAGTCTCTTTCTGTGCACATGGTTGAATTAATGCGGCTTGTTATGTTTGATAATGAGTGGATGAGAAATTCTAGCCTGGCACTGTCAAATGTGATGGTGGAATTTCGCTGGGAGACATTCATCAAAAATCTTGTCAACATACTTTCTAGGTGTGGCTGAAGAAGTTGTTCAAATTGTGTGAAGTTGAAATTCACAGCAGATGAATAATTCACTCCCATGCTTCTGTTTTGCGTCGTTGAAAAGTTGATAGAATCTCGCAGCTCTGACACTTGCTTGATACAGCTTTGATTTTCCATCTTGGTTTCTAGTCTTTGAATCAGCTGATAGATGGCAGAAGTGTTGCAAGAGCTGTTAAATGACTGGTTTTGTTGCTGGAGGTTTGCTAAGAGTACCAAAATGTCAGCCATTTGTGTGGCTAGCTTAATCTCCACTGCTCTTGTCTCATTTAACATTCCCATGAGTTTGTGGGATATATTACATTGAGTCCAGCCTGTAGTAGTATTGCCAGTAGCCACAGTCTGAAGAGTCTGGTTGATTGTGGTTAGGAATGACATAATACCTGTCAAATTGGATGGAGAAATGGTGGAACTATTGCAAGGATTTTTTAATGAATTTAAACTGCAATTCCTGCTTATGACATGTGTCAAGTTGACCAGTTGTCTTAGTGTCTCATTTTGTACCTGAAGTAATGGCTCCAATTCTGCGGCAGAGGTGACATTTGTAAGCTGGTGGTGTATCTGGGACACTATCGCAGAAGTTTGATTTAAAGCCCGACTCCAGTGACTCATATTTAGGTGTTTAAAAACCTCCATGGCAATCCCAGAGGTATTGAGCATACTCATATACTTGGTAACATTAACAGCCTCAGTGATATTCCTCACGGAGTCTTGATAGGCTGTCTGTAATCTAGCAGCCATGACATCAGTCCGCGCCAGGCCTGTGTCCACCTTGATCCCTATATCTTGTATGGCAGGGAGGAACTGTTGTTGGCAGGCTGACTCTGTAGGTACCACAGTAAACACACCCTGGCACGCAGCCCCTCCCTGCTCACACACTGTGGTAGACTGGGCCTGTATATGACCTGTTAGACACAGGGTGATGGTCATTAGTACGGCAGTCACCCATCTTAAACCAGTTCTAAACCTTGTAGAGCTCATCTTGAAAGTTGACTTTTAACACCTTTTTACCTGCTTCTTCCCCTCTTTCCTCTCCCGCCTATGACTTGCTACTCACTGCACAGGTGAGTTGTTCTAGTGACACACAGGTGGGCTGTGCTAGTAGTGACATACAGGCGTGCTGGGTCAGGTCACACCCCTCATTCTACTCAGTGGAATCATATTACATGCTACAGAGACAGTCTTCACAATAGCATGGAATAATGGTCTACATGTCGATTTAATAATGGCATATTGACTGTGTATTTGCATGTGAAAGCGTAAAGTAAACCAACAGTACCATAGTTGAAATTCAGGTGAGGTCACAGGTCTAGCATGGAGGATGCAACATCACCCATTTCACCTGTCTCGTCATGCTCATTTCTCAAGAAATACGAGACGCGAGTCTTCTTTTTTCTCAACAAACTTAGATATTTATCTCTTTGTAGGTAGATGATTTGCAGACCCTCATTTGAAATGCAACTATATGACTTATAAAGTGACGTGCTTAGAGCAGTGACCAACACACGTTCACTCAGTGTGCACACACATGCAAGCTCACACACACACAATCAACATAGGATTTTTGGAATATAACTACTGATATTTAAAAAATATATTTATTTTATTATTATTATTTTTATTTTCATCTATTTTTGATTATTTATTTATTTATTTTATATTTATTTACTTTTTGTGATAAGTTTGCATGTATTGGGTACAACCATTTCATTAAACTAGTTTTATTGCTCTCTTGTGAAAACTGGACTTAGTGAAGTTGAGTATAGAAATATTTAAACTTAGCTCCAAGAGTATTTTCATTTGAACTTTTGTATGGTTGTTTCTGAAATTCTCATGTTCTATACCTTGGTATTTTTAAATTGATCTGCACATCTGGAACACAGGGAAAGTAAACAAGACAGACTGAAAAAATACAGAATGTCTTTATTGGATGTATTACAGGGGAAATATGCTATTGTATTTACAAGTGTTCCCCAGATCTCTGTAAAGGTGTACATATATGCCTGCAACTAAATGTTAATCTGAGGCATCTGTTCTACTGTTACTGCCTGAAACACAAAGGCAGCAATTATAATGATTTGATATAATACCAAGAACAATGTTATTGGTTCTGATACTTTGTGTAAAGCTAGATTAATCCAGGTACTATCAATCAACACATACGGTGTATTTCTGTGGTTGTATAATCAGAAAAGGATATAGTTTATATCTAAATCTTACGTATAGCAAATTATCAAGTGGTCAATAGCAGCATGTGTGGTTGAAGGTAAGACTGTTGAAAGTCTCATTTAAAGCATCTTTGTCCTTTAGATTACAACTTTGAAGAATATTGTTTTTTTATCTTAAATACCTTGCAAATGAACCTTATTAATGAAACATTTTGATGAAAATGCAGTCCACTGAAAGTCCTCTTCTTTGAATTTCATGATGATAATTTACTCTCCATTTCTGGTATATCTGTTATTTTTCCCTATTTTCGAGGAATTGGTGATGTTGCAGCCAAAGTCATTTTTTTCTCTTCCTCACTTGTGTCTCCTATATAAGGACTATAAGTCCTGCTTTTTCCAACAGTTTCATCATTAAGTTCCATTATTCCTGCCATCATTTGGCTGACAACGTCTGGGCCCCCTTTAGCATCATACAAAACCTCCGTCTTGTTACATAACGTGACCACCGCCCTGTCATCACCATTCTTCAGTTTGCCAATTGCGGCTGTCAAGGCATCCATGTATCTAGTAGCTGTCTGCCACCTGCGTTTCATGAACTTCATCCTGTGTTGTAAGTCCTGGATGTAACCTAGGCCATTCCTGGAGACCACTTTGAGTGCCACCACCTGGTCCTCCACTGTACTGGCCTTCAGCTGTAAGTTCATGATGAGGACATTGAGTTTGTTTAAGCACTGCTGTATGCCAGCCACCCCCTGGTCCTGTTGGGTGTGACCCTGGGGCTGACTAGGGTAGGATTCGGTCACAGCATCATCGGGGGTGGTTCCATTTTCTGAGGTGCTGATTGTCACCTCAGTGTGGTCATTGACATAGTCACTCCTCCTGACCAGGTGAAGGGCTGTGGTTGTTTGTACCAACAGTGACGGCAGAAAGACACCCAACACCACAATAACGACAACAACAGGGTGAATTGTCCGTAGCGTCATGATGTATCACACAAGCTGTCTGGAAATTGTTTCTTGGCCAGAGCTTACATGGTTGTAGTTTTATAGTTTACTCCAGTGGCGCAAGCTCACATCAAAGGCACTCTAAAAGTGTGCTTATCAGGCTCATTGCACAAATCTGGAATTTTTTCATGCAATAACTCCTGTAGGTCGTGACACAAGAGGTTTCTCTCGCTGCATGAAATTAGAAAACATGCGCCAATTCAGACCTTCATTACAACTACACAAACACGCTTAGATGCATTTAACAAATCACAGCTTACCCCCACAGATGAAAAAGTGCAAGATTGTTGACAGATTTATAGGCTGCCTCAGCCAGCAACCATTTCCTGCTATAACGAAATATTTCATGTTTTCATAGTAAATTTTCTCAGCTGGCAAAGATCCCAGGATGAGGCAATAAATTAGACTTGATGATGACATCATTAATACAGGCGAATAAATAAGTGGAAAGATTAACTTCTCTGTTAATGAGCACGTTATGAGGTGTTTTTTGGAACCAGGACAGTTTTTTGGCTCATTTTTCTCTTTAAAACTTTGCCAACATCTCTTTATGTTTTTTTCCTGATAAATGACGTTTGGCTTGCAAAATGGGCCTCCTTTGAGGAAAAATAGAAATGTATGACTGGTCTGGCGTAGGATGCTGCAGTCAACTTGTTCTACTAGAGCCAGTGCTTGTAGCTTGTGCAGAAACTCCTTGGTGCCTTGATGAGTGTATGCACACAGCAGTAGGCCTCCAAGCACATAATGAGCTTAAAAAAGGAAACAATGTATTCTTTGTGGCCATGACGTAAGAAAGGCAACTTGCTGTCAATAAGGTTCAGAATGCATTGTATCACACAGGTGTTTGTTTGTCTCAGTTGAAAAGGTGAATGAACAGAAAACATCTCTCTAATCTTCTTTGCACACTGTACACAATGCAGGTGGTCATGTGCTGTACAAGCGTTGTTTTGGGGAAAGGGCGTTCTTTATATTGTAGCATTTTTCACTTGTTGGGACATTGCACGTAATTACATTATTTGCAACATGTTTCAAGGTGCCAGACACGTTTAATTCAATTTACAGTTGAAATATTTCTTCTCTTTTTAATGAGGCAGATGTGTAAGAAAATACTTGGGATTCATTATGTTCATGGATGGATTAGTTCTGTCTCAATATGCACTCTGTGAAACTCTGAACTATTTTAGATATAAATTTCAAATTTGGAAGTGGAATTGTCATTGTTATATTTTTTTACATCATAACATATTGCAGCAAATTCAGTTGCAGTTGATTTTTACTGTTCATAAAAAATTACCCAGTGTTCTGTTGTGTTTTCCAGGTTGGTTCTGCAGAGTACATGGCACCTGAGGTCGTGGACACCTGGGTGAGCGATGAGGCAACACCTTATGACAAGCGATGTGACCTATGGAGTCTGGGTATCATAACGTAAGTCTTGGTCTGGAACGTTGATGATTGTGGGCTGTTATGAAGGCGTCATTAGCTTGATGGTGGAGTTGTTTTGGCAGATATGTGATTTTATTACTTACCAAATTGATTATATAATTGTAATTTATGTGGGTCTAATGAAATTGTAATTTATGCATTTGGTGAAAAATGCGCTGTTTGTTCTAAGCTTGAAAATGAAACAGCATCCACCCATTGCAAATGCTTTAAGAAAACGGCACTCCTAGTTTTCTTGTTAAAATTGAAGTTCTTCAAGCACAGAGTGAACACTGTGAGTTGATTAGCTGCAGAAGGTTCAGTAAAAAGAAATGTGTGTGGCAGATGGGAAGGCGGTAGACCTTGAGATATTTTTTGGCAAACTAACTGTTTGCATTGGCCAATAAATATCAGTGTTAAGTAGAACCGACGGGAAAACTTTGAGACAATGCTAGCAAGCTAATGATGTGCAAACAGTTTAGTGTGGGTTGTTAAATGATTCATGGAGGTCCTTTAAGTACAGTTCTAGGCCTCGGATTCTAGAAAAACTTGAGAGGTGAATACCCTGCTAGAATTTGTTTTCAAGGTGCTCTTACCTAATCTGCAACAAAATTAAGTTCTTCATCTGCCATTAAATGTGCTTAATTGACGACTGTATATTTAATACTTTGAACTAAGACCCCGTTCCTATACCTAGATCTATATAGCAGGATCAAACCATCTCCAAGGGGTTTCTTGCTAAATTGTTTTCACCTTAAACAGCTCTGATGTCTGGCATGCCTTCTGAAGCTGTTAAGGGGTAATTAACTTTGTTTAGCAGATTCAGTAGGCATGCCAGACATCTAAGCCACTTAAGCTGAAAGCTGTTAGATCGATCTAGGTATGGGAACGGGATCTAAGTTTCTCTTCACATTGAGCAGTGGTATATCTTACTGAACCAGTCCACTTGGAGATGCCCCAACAACAAGTAGTTATGCTACAGAGGGTTTTACTCCATTCCTCAATAAGTTCACATCTTGATCATCAGCTAATTCTTTGCCAGTGCCCATGAACCAGTCCAGTAAGGTGGACAGCTAGATGTGAAATAAAGCCATTGATGTAATTAACATTGCTATCTGCTATTCCATATTGGTGGTCTATAATTCCAGGTACATCATGTTGTGTGGCTACCCACCTTTCTATGGTAGTTGTGGTACAGACTGTGGCTGGGAGAGAGGAGAGGCGTGCCAAGCTTGTCAGGTACTATAATACTTCAGTCCTTATACATCCAACAAGATATTGGCTTACATTGTAAAGGTGTCTTTGTCAATGACTTGGAGGTGTTCAAGTATTCATTCTCTTTATTCATTTTAACCAAAGTTGTAGTGCTGTCTATCCAAAAGGACAAGGCAAATAGCTTACTATGTAGTTAAACTGATATTTTGTGTCACAGTGTACTTATTTCCTTGAATTTCCAGGATATGCTTTTCAAAAGAATCCAAGACTCGGTGTACGACTTCCCAGAGAATGAGTGGAGCAATGTGTCTGAGGCGGCTAAGGACCTGATCCGTCATTTACTGGTCAGGGACCCATTTTCTCGTTACACTGCTGCCCAGGTGTTGGAGCACCCATGGCTGATCAAGGAACAGCGCCAGGTGCCTTTAGAAACTCCAAAAGTTTTAACAAGGTAAATATGGTGCTTTTCTCAAGGAAAATAATTAGATGTCATATTGTAATAATACACAGATGGTTAATATTACACATATGGTGAATATTTAATGCATGAACATTTACTTTACTGAGAACTTAAGAAGAAAGCAGATATAGTAATTCAGTTATTGTAACTAATAGATGCAAATTTAACAATCAGGAAAAATTTATGTCTTAACTTAATGATTACAATGACATCAATCTCTTCTATATATTCACAGAAACAATAGCACCAAGAACCTGGAGGCATTTGCAGAAAGTGCTGTATCTTTCAATCGGCTCATGTTGCAGCATATGGCCATCTCAGAGACGAAACCCCCCACATTTTACTGTGGCAGCAGCAGAGAGAACTCCACAAGCAGCAACTCTACCAGCACAGGGGAACCTCAGCGCGCCATGTTCCAGATTGGGGAAGAGGACGAAGACGAGAATTTAAGTAGCGACTCAGGATCCGTGTTCGGGAGCATAGAACTGACTGACTCAAAATGCAAAAAATCCTTGTCTGAGGAGAAAGTTGTTCCAAAGCTAAAGAGTGGACTCTCTCCCCCCGGGACCTCAAAACTTGCCTTAAGACGTGCAATGCAACACACACAGCTCGGAAGCATCAGTGACCCTGCGAACACTAGTGTAAATACTGTGAAAACAATTGAAGTATCTCAGGGCTAGAAGTGTATGACATCAGCAGGTTCTGCCTGCTATCAGTAGATATACAAGCTGAAAATCCACCAACAGGAAACTGTTTTATAAGTCTGTGAAATGTGTATTTTTGAATGTATAGATGGGGCTTTGTTGCAAGATAAGCACATTTGATCTAATTATCTGAGATCCAAGAAAAAAATATGTATATATCCAGCTGTGATGTTTGCTAAGCATTTGGATCAGGAGGTTATCATAGCTTATGATGTACATAGTCAGAGGCTTGGAATGATATTTAGGTTCTGACCATTTGGCTGGTGCTGCTGATGGCTACCTCAGTTATATTGACCAGCATTGACTTTGCAGGGGTAGCGCTAGCAATTTTTGTCACTTAGCCAAATCACCTCTTTTTTGTCAATTTGTTATCAAAATGGTTATAATTTGACTAAAACAAGTCAAATCAAGCCCTTTTTGTTTAGCCAATGCAAATAAGTTTTAGCATTTGGCTAAATTGGCGAGTGTTAGCACTACCCCAGCTTTGATATGTTGGTCAATATGGATGAGCCGCCTTTCTAAAAATCAACTAATACTCGGTGCTACTCTAGATTGGTTCCATCACAAGGTAGCATTAGATATAAAGATTTTTTAAGGGACAGGGTCTATTCAATTAATATACGATAAAAAGAAAAATTAATTCTTTAAGTTATCTTCTTTTCTGTAGAGAAGTTATTGTTCATTTTTGTAAAATGCAATTTTTATCTTTTTATCATGCCATCATTGCTGGAACATGTGATAAAAAAAATCTCAGTGAGATTTCTTGCAGGCTCAGTTTGTTTTTTAACTTCATCCCCTATTTTAGTTATTCGCTCCCGTTTCACTTGGTTTATCCAATCTCTAAATAAGAATCCAAATGTATGGTTAAAATGTACTCCATTACCTTTAATACAAAGTCCATAGATATCACCCAGAGCACAATAAATCAGTGTAGAATTATTAGAAACTATTTGATAGTGCACATTCCTGTAGGATTCAGCCAATTTAGTATGTTGTATATACTGTAAGCAGCACTTTGTGATCTCAATAGTCTAGGTTTTGATGCCACATTCTTTTCTCGATTAATGTAGTCCCGTTTTAATTGAAGGTAGTTAGGTCAGAACCTTTTGTGTTGTCCTTTACTGTGATGTATGTATGTATGATTTTGTGTGTTATGAGGATAGATCTGTAAGATTTAGAACTTTCTGTATATTTTTATAGAACTTGAATGCTTGAAACCAATTTTTATTGTTTGTTGGAGTGGCAGAAAATTGATAAGGAGTTTTTAAGATGTGATAAAATTACAAATATAGGCAATCACAATGGTCATCAGAACAGTGTAGTATTCAGTTTAAGTTGAATAGTCTGGTTCAGCTAGCATTTATTTGTAGATTTATAGTTTTCAAATATGTGTCCCACAGAATTCAGTATTTATAAAGCTACAGATCTGGAAAAAAATCACAAAAATATAGTCAAGAATGTATAGTCACATTCCTGAAATCAAAGGTTAAATGTTTGCCATATTTTTGTTGTCTAATGTCCTGATGTATGGTTTTCATATGAACATTATTTTTTGTTTTATTGTTAAATTCTAAGAAGTAGACAAAGACTGGAGATGTTGTGTCACACACTTTCTGACATCGATGAACTACACATGATGCAGGATAAAAACAAAATATCTAAAGGTTTTAATTTCTTGTTTCATTTAGGATCATTTAGTACCATCAGCTGCTAGATGAGGTATAGCCGGGAATCCCGATCTAAGAAAGCTAGCTATAGACTTGGTTTTACTTTAAAACAAATTGAAATTTAGTAAATTGGCTTTCTGCCTAGAGTCATCTAAGCTTCATAGCTAGTCTGGGGTGATTCCTCATTGCTCGTTTGGTGCATGGTATTCCTATTGCCAGCACTTGTAGCTAGTTCTGTGTATGGAGGGCGACGTCGAAATCCTTTGCAACCATACATGAAAATTATGGTTATTTTTATTTTTTCAACATTGCTTAAGAAGTTGTATTTTAAAGTGTTTATAATGAATGAACAGGTTTATTTTTAAGGCTCAATGGTATCAAAAATTATCTTTTATATGCTGGAAGATTTTTTTACTCTGTGCAAGACTGGTGAGAGTGGATTGTGAAAAACTTCAGTGCCTATTATTTAGAGACTGAAAACAGGTTTCTTTTATTATATAAAATACTAAATTTTTGTTGAAAAATAACTGCTTTATATTGAACAGTCCTTTGAATGTTATTTTTAAGAAAAACTGACATTTGTCTATCATTTTTATCGTTTTGTCAAGAAATAATCTTGGAAATTGAAATCATTGTCATTTGATCGTTTCAAAGTGAAAAATAAAGATTATTGTCTATTTTTGCCTTGAAGTTTGCTTTAAATTGCAGATAGTTTTTCGATGAAAAGAGTCACCTTAATTTATGCTTCTCGACATTCATAAACTGTAACAATGAACAAGTCGCAATATGCAAATTTGGACATTCTGTTGTTCAAAGCTTGGAGGGGAGATTCTGGACCACATGGGCTTATCTTGTAACAGAAAGAGCATGTGTATTGGCAGACATACTGCATTATGAGCTATTGTGTACGTCACTTTCCCTGTTAAAGTCTCAGTGAATGACGCAGTGACCAAACTCCCATAATAAAGTTCAACTGTACAGATTAAGTGAAACCATTTATAGCACGATCTTAATAATGACAGTTTTCAAAGTATGGTTTTTAAGCAAGTCTTGAAAAAACACTAGCCAAGCAAAAGCCTCTGAAGTTTTCATTTAATCGTTTAATCCATGACAGCTTAATCCATGTTAAAACACAAGAAGGGTATAAATTCTACCTATAAAAATATAAATATTAGATATTGGTTTCAGAAAAAAATCTTTTAAGAATGTTTTTTTTTTTTTCAAAAGCAGAAGCTCTCTCTTTTTGCATTATCAAAAAACTCGCACTCCAAAGGAAAATGAAGAAAAGGCTATATTTCATTATTCTACATTTTACACAATTATTGCACTACATAACTGCACAAGTTTTACAGATAACTTTTCATGAAAGGACAGCCAAACAGCCTCTATAGATGAAACCAAGAATGATGCACATGTATAAGAATGTCAACAGAAAGAATGAATTCTCAAAATTATGGTTTACTATCATAATGTGTTATCATGTTTAAATTGTCATGCACTACTTCTCTCCTTTCTCAATTTTTTCTAACTGTTCGCTGTAAACTTTTTCAAGAGTTTCCATTTCATCTCCATCACAGGAGGCGTTATCCTGGAAATCAGGCTTTGATAGTTTGCTTTGTTTATGTAGCTTCAGCTTTGATGATTTTTCTTTTTTATCTCCTCTCTTGACAACTGAAACATTGCCTTGAGGACTGTTTTCAAAAGACGGCTGCCCTCCACTGGCAAAGCTGTAACTAGTGTCAGGACTACTTTTCTCGCCAACATGGTGGTCTATTGCACTGAGCTGAGACGTGTACATGGAATGCAATTCCACAAACTCACTGCTACTGTTCTGTGCACCACTAGAATTGCAAGACTCAGTATGAGACACATCACAGTTATTTCCAGATGATGAGAGATTTTTCATTTTCCTGTCTGCAGAAGAGTTGTTCCCAGCCCCTTCTGAAGTTAAAACTGAAGGCGTTTTTCTTTTCTTTTTAGTCCTCAGTGATTCCTTGTCTGGCAGGGGGGTACTGTTAGCTATGGCAGCAGCAGCTGGACCTGCTGGGGAAGTCCAGTCACTACAGTCCTCACTATCATCATCCAGAACTACAACAGGGGGTTCCATTGAACCACTGATGGTACCATCAACAGTAGAATTCTTTGACAAGGAAGATGAAACAGAGTCCATATCTCTGAATTTTTTCGTTGTGACTTTCTGTTTCTTAGAGTGAGGCAAATATACATCGTCATCCAAATCTAATTCATCATCACTATCTGAAAGTACCACAGGTTTGCGTTTTTTAACACTAGGCTTGTCTTGCTTCTTTTTCGCACTTGGTTGGCTTCCATCCTCAGAAATAATGGGGTGAGCAGCAAATGCTGATTTCTCTGAATTTATAATGACAGGTTTAATTTTGTCCTTTTTGCTGCTGCTTTTTATGGCGGGTTTATTGAATGACTGGGATGGAACTGGATTTGATACAAATGCCGATTTCTCAGAGTTTATTGCCACTGGCTTTGTCTTTTCCTTTCTTGCTTTCCTTTCAAAGTTCAGACTTACTTTTTTGTCAAATTTGATCACCATATTTGCTTTTGGACCTAAAATATGAGAGTTCAGAAGTCAGTAAAAGACAAGAGCATTTCCTTAATATGAACAACAAGTTGTTATTGCACTCCCACATTTTTAATTGCTATGACAGTTATGAAACTTAAAACTTTCCAATGTGTTAAACTTTGTTTTAGAAAAATACATTATATGACTTCTCATACCTTGATCCCAAAATTACTAAAAAAATATTTTAACTGAATTGCTCCATTGCCTTCTCAACACATAAAGAATTATTTCCCAAACTCACCAGGCTCAAGGTAACTGTATGTAGTGTATGCAGTGTAATGGAACACCTCCTTCAGGTAACCCTCCACAATCATATATGTGATGACCCTCTCACAGTCCTCTCTACTGAGGCCAGGCACCTGGATCGTCTTCACTCTGAGGGAGGCCACCCCCTTCCCCAGCCAGGCTTCCACCAGCTTGAGACCTGTGACCTTCTGGTTGGTTCTACCAGCCTCGGTCAGGATGGTGAAAATGTCCTTGCAATAGCTTGTTATGTCCACCAGTTCAACATGGACTAGAATAAAGAGTTGACCAGTGCAGTAAAAATGTTATTATTCAGACAAGAGGCATATGTTAGAACCAGAGAGTAAAGCTAAACTGATTTCAACCTTCAGCGTAGGTCAATTATTCCAGCTGAGGGTTCAAGTTAATCAAAAGGTGACAAAAACATTAGTCTATAACTGCCTTGTTGCATGGTCATGAATTCTTATGATAATTGAAAATAATCGAGACACAATGAGAACTTTTTGATGAGGTATCTAGCTGATGCAGTGCCCATGGAGATCTAAGATGGCAGAGTCAGTTGGCTAGGAGGTAAACTCACTAAACTAATTGACCTCATGTGACTGCCTTTCAGCCAATCGGTGAGTGTCAAAATTCACAATCATGCAACAAGGCATTGTGTGTGTGTGTGCACATGCATGCAAATGAACAAGTGTGTGTGTGTGTGAGAGAGAGAGAGAGAGAGAGAGAGAGAGAAAGAGAGAGAAAGAGAAAGAGAATATCCTCACCTGTTCTGCTGGCATCACAGTGATCACACATGCCATTACACTGAAGAGAATCCCATGCTTCACCAAAATGTTGAGCAATAATGCTACGCCGACATCTGAATAAAATGTTTAAATCTATTTTACCAAAAAGATTCCACAGCAAAAAAGACCCATANATTTACGAAAAATGAAGAAATTAGGTCATGTTCTATCTGTTACAACGGACAAGTTGTAGAACAGCAGTAAGTTTTGATTTCATGTATAAATAGATTAATGAGTTATCTGTTAGTCCTGAACACGCTTTACCCCAAAGACCTGTGAAGATGAAGATATTGTCAAAAATAGAAGGGGGGTGTTCAAAGCATGTGGTTTGTAGGCCTGAGAAAAACGCTTGGTTTGTTACCATGGAAACAAAGAGAGTGGAAAAAGTGTATATCATTTTAATCCCCTATCTTTAGGTTATAATATATAACCAAACTAAATCATTTGGTGACACCTGTATAAACTTTAAGGCCAATCAATATAACCCTGTTTTTCAGAAGAATTTTTGGTTGATAAACCCCCCAAATTGTCACTGGCCATATCTCTGTAAGTAGGGATTTTTTTCAGGAAATATTGCAGCCTCAGATATTGTTCATATAAAGGTTCAAACACACCAAATATGATGTAAATCCGTTCACCCCCACCTTGCCGCATTTTCTACATTTGGTTTGGTTTTCTCGTGGACACACACTTAAATATATATATATATATAGGAATGGTCTCAAACTGAGAGTTCAAAATCCAAATGGTTTTCAGTAAGGTACACCTAACAGCATTATGATGATATCAGCAAAAGAAAAAAATGAATATCCAGACAGTAGCCCAGCACCCACCACCCCATGTCCAGACAGTAGCCCAGCACCCACCTCCCTGTGTCCAGACAGTAGCCCAGCACCTACCTACCCATGTCCAGACAGTAGCCCAGCACCTACCTCCCTGTGTCCAGACAGTAGCCTAGCATTCCATACAAGTTATCAAGTCCTGTCCTCTCCACAAAAACCATGGTGCTCTGACGGAAGATGTCTCCAAAACGAAAGAACAATATACAATATGCCCTATTGTCATCTCTGCCTGAAATGACCAAGTAAGAAAACATATATCAATTTTTGTCACAAATAAATAAATATAAAATAGCACATCTCTCTATGAGCACATTCCCATAGATTTTAGATTGATCTATCCCCATGGGGAGTCTCACAAGATAACTGTCAGATAATCCGCCTACTACAAGCTGTAAAGGGGTAATTAACTTTCGTGCCCGCTCGGCTGAAAGCTATTTAGTGTGAACCCCCAGGGAGTTAGGTCGATCTAGGTGGATCGATCTAATCTCTGGGAATGGGGTCTATGGCACTGTTCATCACTTAATAAAACAACTGTCTGATACACTGGTGATGGTGAGGCTAATTGATAGTCACAAGCTTGGCAGGGTATAATCCTGCTTATTGTGCCTCTTTAATTTTGAACATCAAGCCTAGCTTCAAGGAGAGTCAATGTGAAAAGGCCCAACTTTTTCACAAAGCTTCATTAATATACTAACTTCTTTATCTTTGTCCAACTCTAAAGATTTCTGTATCAATGTCTGTGTTGGTTGGAATTTAGACTAATCGTGCAAGGCAGGCATTTAGCCAGTTGACTTTTCAACCATTTTACTTTTGGATGACCATTTTTTAAATTTTTTTTATCAATGGAGCAGACAGAGCCTCAGTAACCTGTGTGAGTAAGATTAATCGGTTTTGGAGTACTGATGGTCCAAGTACAAGCTACATGTAGAATGCACAACACTGCTTACCTGCCCTGCCACTTTCCTGATAGAAGTTCTCCATTGATTTACTGATAGAATGATGGATCACAAACCTCACGTCTGGTTTGTCTATTCCCATCCCAAATGCTATAGTGGCCACAATCACCTTGAAGATAATGAAATATGAAATAAAAAATGAAATTAGTTTTCTTACTTGAATTTTTTTTTATGGTTCTCAATCAATTCTAAAATACTAGATAGACAAATCAACAACATTCATCATCTATCCAACACAATTATTTGAAAATCTTTGTATTTTGATCTTTTGAAAACTGACTTGGATCTTGTTCTGCATCCAATCTCTGTGAACAGTGGTTCTTCTAGCAGCTGAGATGTTGGCATGGTAACAGCCTGCAGGGATTCCTCTGTCTTGTAGCCCCCTTGTGATCTCCTCAGTGTCTTTTTGAGAGAAACAGTACACTATACCTGAACAAGAACAAAAATTAAATAAAATAGGGTTATTTTTTAACTCAAGCGAGACTTTACTCCTACGAATCATTCTTGTAAGTTTGAGAATAACTGATGCAGTTTTCTATGTCTAAATATACATTCACAAAGTGCCTGTTCTTAAATGAAAATAACTTGGCTCTATTTTTTCTGTTCACAAAATGTGCAAATGCTAACTGTTAAACTATACTGACCTCCATTTTACATATAACCATACAAAAACTCTGAATAAATCTCTACTTAAATTTAAAAAATTCCAGCAGCAAATCATACAGAATCTGATGTTCCAGCAAGTTTCAAGAATAAAATAAAATAAAATGCCAATTTTCAAATCCAACCTGCATTTTATGTATAGAAAAGCACAAAGTAAAACTAATCTATCTATAATTACCATGCACAAACAGAGAAACAGATGATCAAACATACACAGACAGACAGACAAAAACATTTATTGTCACATAATTCAATAGTTCTAACCTGCTTCCCCTTGAAATCTTGTCAAAATTACTTTACTAATCTCATCTAGGTTGTCTTTTAGATTAGATGACTTCACTCGCACCTAGAATCAATGTGTATATATACACAACCATCTTTTTGAATGATTCTTATTGGAAATTTGATTCTCAAAATCCATACAGCACAGCAAAACAATAATTTACAATTATTTATCTTAATTTTTGCAAAATCTCTTTAAATTGCACTAAGTCTTTCTTTTACCAACAGACACTGTTACTGGGGGGGGTTCAGCTGGAACCACCTTTGGGTTATAGACTGCACCTGTGACTTACCTCATAATAAAGGTTTGGTCTGTTGAAAGAAGCCTTGAGCACCAAGCACTGTGGGATGTTCAGGAGTTTTGTGACATCTTGGATGACCTTGGTGGTGGCTGTGGCAGTAAGACCAAGGATAGGGACCCCTGGAAACTGACGCTTCAAGATGCCCAGAATTTTGTAATCTACAAATCAAAGGTACATTGGGTAAAGACTTTTTACATTTTTTAAAAATTTTTGAATGCAAAAAAAAAAACTTAACTATTTCATCCTCTCATGAGACTACTAAAATTCTGGAAAACAAAATCATCACCACATCACCAGGACATTCAGCTATGCATTACAATAACTGACCACAGACAAGCCAAGATACATAAAGCAGAGGAACACTAATTTTGCATAATCACACATCTCCACACAAAATTATTAATCCTCCATTACATTGTTATCAATGAAATCATTTACCAGGTCTAAAATCGTGACCCCACTGTGAGCAGCAATGCACTTCATCGATTACAATCCGTGCAAAGTTTCCCATTTCATACATCTTCTCCAGCCGGTTCATGAACCGTTTGCTCTTAGCTATCTTCTCTGGAGTCACGTACAACAGTTTTAGTTTGGGAGTTTTGGTTGCCATGGCGTCATGAACCTCCTTGACATCCTCTTTAGAGCTGGCAGCATTGAGCAGCGTGGCCTTTATGCCCACGATGTGCAGAGTCATCAACTGGTCCTCCATTAAGGAGATCAAGGGGGAAATGACCAAGGTGATACCTGGAAACATCGAGACTGTACATATGGCATCTTAGACCAAATTGATGGCTTCTATTTTCCAGTTGAATTTCTAATATTAAAAACAGGAAATATTCACTGTATGTTGTGATTTAAGTCATGACAAGATTGACTGAAAGCAAGCTGAATTTTCAATATCCTAGCTGGGAATAAAATACTTAAAAATTCTAGAGTGAAAAGGAAACTTTTTAGGATCTACAAAAAAAGAGTATAACTTTAGAACACAACACTTAACTGTGACATGTTTTACATATGCAACAAGAAGTAATGAAACTGCTGGATGTTGTTTCTTGATAAAAACACAAAAAAAACTGTAGAGATTGTATTTACAAGTTAATTATTTTATCTGTTATTTCATAGCAAAGGATGCTTCATCATGTTAGAGGCTCTGAGGGATTGCAGACCTTTGCTAACAAGAGCTGGTAGCTGGAAACAGAGGCTCTTCCCACCACCTGTCGGCATAATCAGAATACAGTCCTTCCCGGACAAGGTGGCATTCATGGTCTCCAACTGGTGTGGCCGGTAATTGGGAATTTGGAAGATGACGTTCCTCCTTTCATCAAGTTTCTGAGACCAGGGGAAATCTGTGATTCAAAGTTAAAAAAAAAAATATATATATAAAATATATATATATATACAATCTCAATTCAATAGAAAGACAATTATATGCTATTTAGGGCTTTTCCAACTGCTTGTTTGTTTAACTTTCTAGGTTAATAGCCTTTTCAAATTATTAGTGAGCCCCACCCCCTTTCTTTTCACTGATAATGTAACAGAAGCATGAAAAGTGAATAAATCAATGATTCAAAAGAAAAAATTAATTAATTAAAGACCAAATTTGCATTCAAATGGAAAATTATAAAATCAGTAATGAAAATCAGTTTCGTTGCTTTACCATTTATCTTTCAATATTTTAATTGCTTTACAATTTATCTTTCAATATTTTAATTGCTTTACAATTTATCTTTCAATATTTTAATTGCTTTACAATTTATCTTTCAATATTTAAATTGCTTTACAATTTATCTTTCAATATTTTAATTGCTTTACAATTTATCTTTCAGTATTTTAATTGCTTTACCATTTATCTTTCAATATTTTAAAGAAATTAAGATCTACCAGATTTGTTCCATTTTTTTTCTGAGTCATCTCCACCATCACTGCTAGATGTTGAGGCAGACGACACCGGTTTAGCTGAGGTATTTTGTATGAGCTTTGTCAAATTATCCTTTCTGTCAAGTAAAAACTGCTGTCTTTCAAGGAGTTCTTCTATTTGACCCTCAATAGACTGAAGTTCTTCTTTGACTTCAGTCAGCTCTTTCTTCAAATCTTGTCATCATGAAAAATAAACAAAGGATTTGGCTTTAAAAGAAATATCTTTAAAAATATTTTACAGCCCGATTCAAATGTTGTTATCAACAATGTCAGTTCAAATTTGCCAAAAATCACTTTTTCTGAATATATGCTGAAAGAATGACTCATAAATATGACATGGGTCAATTATACCTTCACACATTCTTTAGCATTCTTGTCCATTAATGTCAACTCTCTTCTTCCAGTTTAACCTGAAATTATAATAAAATGCAGATTTATTTCAAATCCTCACAAAGAACCCCTTCAAGCCCATATTTCCAAGGTCAACATGCCAAATATACTTCATTAAGTGTAAAAAAGCATTTGAAAAAATGCCTTGTAAAGAACTGTTTGAAGAGAATGTTTTCCCCCCAAGGAATATCAAGGCTATCTAATTTGGATTTAATCAATGTCAAATAACATCAAGCAATGAATAAAAAAGACATACTAGGTTTACCTGAATATTTTAAACTGAATCTATATGTAAAATACAAAAAAAAAAATAAATAAATAAAATGTAACAACCAAACAGATTTCCAACAAAAAAACATGGGGACTTACACATGTGTTCTAAATTTCTGCGACATCAGAGATTACTATAGTACAAACTGCTTAAATTACTGGTGTTTTTTTTTTTTTTACAATAAAGCTCTTTACTTTGGCATATGGCTTAGATGGCTTAGATGGCTGGCTATGGGTACTGATTAAGGGAGCTACAAAACTGTAACTAAAATACATTGTTCCTACGCCCCTTCCACTGTAAGCTACCCACTGTAAGGACAGAACATAAAACACTGTGCCCTTTAACTTTCACATAAACAGGGGGTGAAGGGTTATCAGCACAAAACCTGATGAAATAATGAAGGATAACTTGGTAATGGATCTATGAAAAGCATATAATCTTCTAATCAACTTTCACTCCTTGACCCTTTCATTAAGTCACACTCTGTCAACAATCAAGATGGAAGATTACAGCATGCTAACTTCTCATTAGAACACAAAGCCACCGGAGTTGTACAGACATATCAATCAATCATCATTTATTTCATGGAGACCAAAATCAATCTCTCCTTGGATAAAATGAAGTAACCCAATTACATTTCTAATTGTTTGATCACTTTTTAAGGCCTATTCCACTTTATAAATGTCTTTTAAAACAAAAAACAACTTTGACAAATGTGTTTACTGAAAGTGTTCAATTGATAAACCTTTCAAACCAATGTGACTGATAATTTATATCCAACAAAAATTTGTCAGCATAAACGTCATGTCATTTGTCAACAAAATATTCAATCTCAAAATTTATTATCAAGCAATTGATCAAAAAACGACTTCCATTCAATTAAAAAAAGCCTGACAGGCTACAGAAAAAAGACTGTCACAAATCCTAACCTCTGATAATCAAGAGCACATAGATAAGTTAGTATTTTGATTCCACCTTCTGTACTGATTCAATTTTGTCTTCAGCCTTATAGATAGAAGTGTAAAATACCTCAAAAGCTATGTCTCTCTAGTACAATATATTAAGGTGTTGCTCAATCTATACTGATATCCCTGTGTAACTTAAGATATATGATACTGTAATTATTATTCCCGTCTTGTGATGTGTGCACCTGATCTTCTTGAATGACATGATACCTACAGTCACTGTAATCAGACTCTCCTTAGGGCTGAAGACACTCAATACATACAACATGCCTCCAGTAGCAGGCTTACATTGTACACTGAAATTAAAATCAATTTTCAGTCACAGTGCTTTCAGGCATACATCTACTAGAAATGTCCAATATAAAACACACACACAAAAAAAAGGATTTTGCTCCCAAGATATAAACAGGCCTTATTTCTAAAAAATTAAAATGTCTACCAATTTGAAAAGGAAAAGGTATTTGCACATCCCAACTAAATTCCATTTTTTTCTAGATGCAATTGCCATATGGCATTTTTTTATTCTTAAATGAAGAAGATGAAACGGACAATCTTTCTGCTGAGCAGTTTACTTGTCAATATTCACCATGATATAACTTAATTAAACCTGTGTTATATAAATGAACCGTAAATATTTTATTGCGGGTATTTTGAATACCACTCTCAGCAAAAGGTAATGTTGTCAGGGCTTTCCATTCTGGTGGTCCTGCTATATGTATTCCCCTCCACCCCCCACCCCCCCCCCACCCCCACCCCCACCCCCACCTTTCAGTAACCCATCCACCCACCTGTCCTCCCCTCTCTCTATCTATATATTCACCCAACCATTAACATATGCAAGCATCTTTTCACTGAGCAGTCTGAATTTTGTGCACTTCAATATTTCCTATGCATCTCTTGCCTTAAGTGTACTATACTATGGACTACTAAACAGACTAGGATCTTTCACCACCAATAACAACAAGTGTTGAGAGAGAGCCAGTCCAAGGTACCAGGTACATATAAAGATGCATTGGAAGCGAGAGCTAACATAACCAATTCATTGCCACTTAACCTGACCAAATGCCACTTTATAGTTCAAAAAGAAAAATTTTGAGAAATACAAAAGGTTTTTTCTTTAACTCTCATTTCAATAATTATGCTTTTGCTTGTGACTTTTACAAACAGGATGGATGGATAAATAGATCAAATTTATGACCAGAAATTTGAAGAAGGCACAGATTTAAGGCTTTTTTATTGGCTGATCGAGTGATAATCTTTTTATCCTTTGGCATATGGACTATATTTAAGTCATATTAGTATAAGAAAATGGTGATTAATATGCATTACAGGGAATCTATGTTCACTTTACCAGCATATATGTAACTTAAAGTGAGTATGTCCCTACATATAAAAGCATTGCCACTGAACCCAACCAAATGCCACTATAGTATTTTACTAGTAACCACATAATAATTCACAGATGAAATACGTATAACTTACTGAAAACTGATATTTTCACAGATTACTTTCTGTGCATTATGGACTAGAGAGAAAAAGTAGATCAAATCTACGACCAGAAATCTGAAGAAGGTGCCATTTAAAAGCCTTTTACTGCTGCCTGAGAGATTAATTTTGTGAAAGGCTCTTCATGGTCTCTAGATAGGATGATAAAAAGAGAATAATTGTTAACTTAAAGACTTAACAACATAAGTCAAACACTATGGACCTTGGTCACTTGAATGGTGATTTCATGCCTGAATCCAAACTGTAGGAAACAGGACATCAAGGTAAACCCTTGGAAGTTGGCACATTGGTGGGTTCCAAGGGTTACTCCCACATCCTAATTCCTAATAAATTTGACATCCAAAAACCTTTTAATTTTTTCCCCCCAAAATATGCCTTCCTGGGAATGACAGTGACAAATTTTATTAGTATGCATTCAAAAATGGTCTATGCCAATAGGACCTAATGGCATTTTTTATTTCTGCGTCCACGAGGGGAGTTGTTGGGCCTGGAGGGGTAAATGGCACAGGGGCAAATCTATGTATTATATTACATTACCAGGAAGAATAAGGATGCAGAGACACAGAGAGATGACCCATTTTCTTTGACTCTTATGTGGTAGTACTAGTAGTATGCTTCATGACACAGGTAACCAAAGTAACGAATTAAATGTTAACAAAACTTACTGTATCTCCTTTTTTATTTTTGATCCTGTGCCACTTTTACGTTTATTACATATATGACATCTCAAGGAAATATCGGTATCAAAAGGCATAAGCAATCATACAGTACTGCCAGTAGTTACACATTTAGTGTAACAACAACATTCATGATTCAACGAACTCGAGTGTCTTCCACTTCAAATAAAACAAATAATAAATACCATCGTCTTTTAAAATTTATAAAACATACTTAGTCCTTCTACCTCTCACGCGAATGGCTCTTGCTAAACAAAGGCACCACCAATGAATTTTTCTACCACTGTTGTTGAGACAGTGGCACAAGCAACTTTTTCATGAGGACATGGACAGCTCTATGGGGGCTGCCATGTTTAGTGACGTCACATCAATAAAATTTTGACAAACATCAGAAAGCAAGGAACTCCTCTCAAATCAAGACCAAATTTAATAATTAAAAAATATAAAAACACTAATGTCCGTTCTTGGACAAGAAGCCTTTTATAAAACTAACTTTTCTGGACCGAGAAAGGATTTCTCTTGCGTGACCTCATTTTACGATGGAAAGTGGTCACATGATCAAAATTAGTTCAAGGTGTACTGGAGAGGAGTGGAAGTTTGTTTTCTGACTCATTCCAATTATTTCACAAGGATTTCGGAGATTTCTAACAATAAAACGATTCAGAATGTCGAAGTGATTGACTCTTCATAAACAATGGATGTACTAGCAGAAGATCAGGCGCTGCAGGCGATGTTCGGTAAGTTTTTAACAACTTGTTCGTCGTGTTCGATATGGTGATTACATTTACAGTGGCAATACGGCTTACAATGAGTGGAGGTCCTTCGCCTGAGGGAAAAATGATGATCTGAAAAGGATAAACAGTTGGTAGAAAATTCACTTAAACTTGCTGTTTATACAGGAAATGTTGTCATGGAAATTGAAATTATTTTCTGATCGTTGGCTTCGTTTCGTCCCCATGTCAGCGTTATCTGGAGGATTTAATTTGACGCGAACTCTTATGTCCGCAACGTATAGTTTTTACTACACCTTCACCCGGATATACAATTTGATTCTATTTTTGTTTATCACAGTTAATCTAGGGACGAGTTTGTATTAAAATAAAATGCGTAGAATAACTAAATAAGTAAGTTAAATTGAACTGTTTGTATTGTCTTAAATTCGATTGATAAACACTGGAGAAAAACTGCCAGGCCCTTCGGCCCGTGACTCTAGTACATGTAGANTTTCGCGGTTTTCGCGGTTTGCGTACTTTCGTAGGACCCCATGTAGATCATACATGGCCGACCATTGATTTGAATATATAATTACTTCCCTATACTAAACATTAAGGACTTTTACAGGTGAAAGTTAAACTTGAGTGTTAGTTTTAGGGATCTGTAGCCATAGTGTTGTTTGTTCTGATATTGGAATTGTTTAAACGTATTGTAGTATGTGCCTTTCTCTCTGTTCTCCAGTGAGGGGGATTATCCCTCTAGTATGCCGGTGGGCTAGTTAAACATATAGAAATACCACATGATTCAGGTAAAACATTGTACACACCTTTTTATGACTGTGAATTTTAAAGAAGCTTATTATCTCCAGAGAGGTAAATTTGTAACCACCAAGTGTGGCTTGTAAACAGGGCCTGAATATGGAAATGACAGTTGTGGTCGGCATTAATAAATTATATATCTCTAGATCACAATCAAGTTTGTCATTATTTTGATATGATAAACTGATGGATTTCCTTATATAAATGAATGCTAGGTGCTAAGTGAAGAATTCCCTATACCCTTAAATATATGTTTTTCTTAGTTTACTTGAAAGAAAATAAATTAATTAACTTGGTGAAAAATAGGAATTTAAGAAGAATAACCTATGTGATCTATGGCATGATAAACCTTGGGGAGGTATATAAGACCCCTGCTGGGAAAGTGAACTGCTTTCACTGACTTCTTAATTAAATGATTACAGCAATTATTTTTTAATGAATTGCATGTAGCCCTTATGCTGGAAAGATATCTGGGAGCCTCAAATAATAAGAATAAATTCTGAAATATTTTTATATTCATGTAATTTTTTTAAATTTATTAATGATAATAGCATTAAAATAACATATGGACCCCCATATAAAAAAATTATTTATATTGTATTCTGTTTAATATCGTAATCTTGTAGAAAAACTACAATCTCTTAATTTTTCTTTTACTTTGAAAATAAAATTGGCAAAAGGGAGGTTCATTTTATTGAAAGATGATCGATAGAAAATTGTATAAATGAATTACTTAAAAGAAGTAAGTTCAAAAGACTCTAAATGATTACAATTTTTGCTCTAAAAAATCAGAGAAAAGGGTCTTTGCGTATAACCAGTGTATTGCGCAGCTTGTGGTTTTAGTTTTCATCAATCTGAAGATTGCCACAACATGCTGGGGCTCATTGGAAGTTAAAGCAGGCAAACAAACTTCAAATGCCAATTCAAATTAAAGAAAATATGGTCAAATAGCAACCTGGGCTTTACTAACTTCAGGTCAAGATGAAAATCTTAGTTTTATGTGTACCAACTCCGCAGACAGACAGACTGTAAAGGGGAAATAAATTAGTGCTGAAGTATTTAACTTAGATTCTTCTCCACCTACTCTCATTATTTCAGTGAATTTGCTTTTAATTTAGTCAAGTTCATTAAACCTGTAGCAGATTTAATATGAGACATAATATTGCCCAGTATATTGGGAACAGCGGGAAATTTACAGAGCTTAACTTTGATAGGTTTGTTCAAAGGTGGTCTGAGGAAAAATGGGAGTGGATATATAGAACAATAACAGAGCAATTTCAAGTCAGGTGCCCCTCAAAACACATACAATATGCAAGACATTAAACTGGGCTGTAGGGTTTTCTGGAATGTTCTTCTGGGCTGTTATAAAATCCTAATCGGTTGTAGAATTTTATGACACCCAGTTGTAGCTTTAGTTCTCTAGTAGCAAAAATGAGCCGGATGGCCTATGTAGTGTTGACTTTGTTGAACAATCAGTGATGTATTAAGTACTCGAAGATAAGATGAGGTGAGGTGATCAAAGTACAGAGCAAGCACTGACAAATACTGGCAAGTGCTCCTGTATTCAGCAAACGACAACATCTCTCACAAGTGAAATAACTTTCTTGTAGATTTAACCATAAAAAGTGGCAGCTTCTTTCAGACCATGGAGGACATGGTACAGCAGGGTAAGGAACGGAAGACAATTATTTTAGGAGTGAGGGCATGGCCTGTGAGCGTGGGGGAGGATTAATTCCTGTACGGGTTATCTAGGTGCTTGACGGATAAATGGTATCCAATTTTGTAATACCTTGAAATGTTTACCTAGGGATTCTTCAGCCTCACCCCTTTACTGAGATTGAATGGTTTGTAAGGAAGGGGAGGAGGCGTCAGCCTTCAAAACAAAATCAGGCCTGATCAGGATGTGACTTGTATTTCCACTCATCTTGTGACTTTGTGTGGGTGTCTCTGTAATGTGTTATTTCACATTCTTAATTTTCTGGAGGCAAATATGGTTGATTTTAAGTAAAAAAGAATCTTTCATTTGGTGTCTAATTGGGGTGGTTTCATTAAAAAAATTGCTTTATGCATCATCTTCTACTCGTAAATGTCATTTCTTGAAGGTATTTTGATACCAGAATATATATATCAGGTAGCATTAGACATTAATTTATATACTTCAAAATGTTTATTTGAAATTCAAACCTGAAGGCTCATTGCCTCTGAAACAGGTATAAAATTAATGTCATGATGGCAAGATGCAGAATTAAAAATACATCAATCAAAAAAAAAAAATCATTGAGAAAAAGATTGGTGATAAGATTTTGAAGAATCCCTAAAAGAATTAACTTTTAACAGAAGGCAGGTTTTAACAATGAGAATTTTGGAGAGCATTATATTGGCAAGCTATTTTCTTCAAAATCAAAATAATCTTTTTTTTACTCAATAATGTATTGAAAAGAAGATAAAAGAATTGTTCAAATAAATTACAAAAGTTAAAAAATGAAATCTAAAATATATATCCATCTCATCAAGATTTTTACTTCTGAACATTTTGCACATTATCACCAGCCAAACTGCTGGTATATGTCAAGTGTTCAGAAAATGCTACCACTGGTTGATAAAACAGTTATGAGGTATTTTAATTCTAAATAAAAAAAAAAGTGTAAGTAAATATTAGCTTCCCATTTAGATAGTATAGATACAACATACAGCAAAGAATCAGCTCACTGGTGCATTAAGCCAATATTCTACACTATCCAATTGATGCTGTAAGCTATTGGGGCTCACTTTACAAAGGGTTACCCTCAATTATACCAGTAGACTACATCCTTTTCCTGAATGTGTGCACTTGTGTTTATACTGCAAATAATATGTGGATCAACATGCAGTGGAGTGAAGAAAGCAGGCATGTGGCACATTTAACACAACATTTATTCTAAGTTGAGGGGCTTCTCTGTTAAAACTTTTCAAAGGTTGAGGAGATTAAAATTGTATAAAATATATACCTAGCTTAGGGTAAGACGGGCGAGCACACTTTGTACAAATTCCTTAAAACCAATTTCTGTCATGCAATTGACAGTTTTCCAAATCCCTGGCTTTGATACGGATATATGTGTAGTCTGTACTAATGAAAACTGTTATCCCGCGACAAGGGGAATCAAGCTAATTAAGATTAAAAGTTTGCCTTAGATAGTCTACCTGGAAAGGTGAGGTACTGTGGTCTGTTCATTAACATCTTGTGGTATAGACAAGCTGTGTCCAGGCATGATTTGGTGACTAGAATAGGATCACTCTAGTAGACCTAGAAAGGAGGATACCAAGATGTTTGCTTAGAAACTTGATAACATTCATGGAAAAAAGTACTTCTTCTCTTGTTCACACACTGTTCAAAGTACAAGTTTTTTTTAATACAAATTTGAAGGGGGGAAAATGAAAATTGAATCTTTGAAAATAGTTCTTTGGAATAAAAAACAATTATGTATTCTGGAAAATGTGGAAAGGTATTGTTTAGAGTGAAGGCTACCTGCCTCTGATATATGATTCAACTTTCATATAAAAATAATACATATGAGGCCCATAGCCAACCATTTTAAAGGGGAGGGGGTCTTTTTTTGAAAAAATGGAATTTACAATAAAATCCATGTATACCTCAATTAAATTTTACCCAGGCTTGATCAAGAACGGACCATTTTCCAGCACAAAAGGTGGCTCTTTCCAAATCCCCCCTCCCTTCCTCACCCCTACCCCCACCACCCCACCCCTTGCTACGGGCCTGCAAATAAGACTAATAAGAAACTATGAATTAATCGACAATATTTTAGGAAAAGGGTAATTATCTGGTATAACTTGATCTGCCATTTCTAGTTGTAAACACATATTCCCAGACGTGTTTTTTTTCTATAGCTGTATCATGTCGAGACTCCCAGCATTGGTTGTCAGCGGAAAGCAACTCTGGTGCCCCGACTATCAGTCTGCCATCATGACACTGCACACTACAAAGTTATTGTCATCTCTGCAACATCATCTTTCTTTCATCCTGTATTTCTTTAAAGCTGACACAGTGTTTTTTTTATTCTTTAACATCATGCATCTTTTCAGCATCATGCATCTTCCCCCCTCAGTGCACAAAAAAATAACGGTTTATGAGAAGGCAATTTTGTATTTTTGTATAATGGTCTGTTGTAGAAAATAACAGAAAGACAGCCACGGTGGGGTTTAGGATC